TAACTGCAAAATATACAGTATTTATAATAATATAATCTGATACAGTTTTCATACTAACGAGTAAATATTCATCACCTGCACAACATCACAAGCCCCAAACGTCTTGCTGATCAACTTAGCACTTCATCTCGCAAAAACCCCCGAACTTACAGGGTCACAAGCCACTGACACACAGTCACTCTCGGTCATTGTCGCTGATTGACTCCGCGTCAATTTTCTTCCTGCTTCCAAGATTCGCTAGGCCCTGTACCTCAGTGATTGGGATCCATATCTTCCCCCCCATCTCAGCTGCAGCTAGCGCCGCGATAAAAGCTGCCCTCTTCCAGCCCATTCAACTCCTCTTACGTATTGGACGCTAAGTTAGCTATTTCAATACACCACACAACCAACCCCTCCAACACCTTTTTTTCAACTCTCTCACAGCATCACAACTTGTCTGACAAAATCACACATACACAGAATCAACTATAACCAACAATGTCCGCCCAAGATAAGGCCCAGCAATACCTTGGTCAGCTCGACCGTGAGGTACGCATGTCCCCTCACTCCGCGATTATAGCCGCCGCATTGTAGTCGAGCACAAATTGCGCAACGTTACCTTGCAAAATGCTGACGGTGATGCCATTCGTATAGCTCTCCAAGTACCCCGCCCTCAACAACCTCGAGAAGCAGGCTGGTGTTCCCAAGGCCTATGCCGCCATCGGTGTCGGCGCTCTCTACTTCTTCCTCATTATCTTCAACCTCGGAGGCCAGCTTCTGACCAACTTGGCTGGTTTCGTCATCCCCGGCTACTACTCTCTTGGTGCCCTCTTCACCCACAACAAGGAGGATGATACTCAGTGGTTGACTGTACGTGGCCTTTTCCCTACCATCGGAGCTGATTCCGGGCTTTGCCGAGGCTTCCTACGATCACAAGCGGTCGCTAACTAGTTTTACAGTATTGGGTTGTCTTCTCTCTTTTCACTGTGATTGAGAGCTTCGTCCAGGTCGTCTACTGGTTCCCCTTCTACTTCGTCTTCAAGTTTATCTTCCTCCTCTGGCTCTCTCTCCCTGCCTTCCGGTAAGTTGCCATGCGGGTCTTGCTGCCCCGCTATTCGGAGGATTTGCTTCAAGTACTGACAGAAACTGAATCTGAATAGGGGTGCTGAGCTCATCTTCCGATCTTTCCTGGCCCCTACCCTCGGCCGATACTTCCAGCAGACCGGCTCGACTGCCTCTGGCCTCCGTGCCAAGGCTGACGGCCTCGACAAGACCGAGTAAACGGTCTCCAAGGTTTAGCTTGATCGCCAAACTAACTCTTGCGAATTGTCGCATGCCCCGGATCAAGCAATCTCGGTACTAGAGGAACAGGAAATGGTTATTTATAGGAACTACTCAGCTTCAAAACCACGCTACGCAAATTGGAGGGGATGAGAAGGAGGACCGGCCAGGATTAAGATTTATACCAGCTAGAGAAGCTGTATTGGACTGCTGGGTTGTTCGGGAAGACCCGTGTCGTGTGGATGACTTTGTGTGATGAATGAATGCACTGGAAATATCTTGCTTTGCTTTGAGAGATGCTCTTTTTGGAGCTTCATGAGAACACGTATTGCCGCTAATCCGTTTGCTTACCCCACATCTTTGGTTTTGCAATTGAATACCTATGGTATCGGGGATTTTGTTCTATAAACATTCAACTGCAACTGTCGCGTGCTCAGTTGCTCAGCTGTCTCAAAATGTTAACATATATTGCTATGTCACTAATCGTCAACCTCTCACTGGTGGCCAAGCTCCAAGCTTGTTGGTCTACGATCTTAGCCGATCTGGCCTGACTTGACATACACTTGACGTAGTGGTAAGCAGTGGCCACAGAACCCTTTTTTTAGTGGCCCGAGCTTTGTACCCGTTTGCCCAGACCCAAAAAGACCCGAACCGATTGTTAGAGCTGAGTGTGCCTGTGGCTGTGCTGTTCCCGAATTAACCTCTGACTGCGCCTCACTTCCCCTTGCGACCCTCGACTCCTTGGCGCATCAACAAAGTTGGACGGCACATGCTTGTCAGCCGTAACGAGTGGCATCTTATCGTGGGCTGAACCATTCAATTTGTTTCGTATTTTCCATCTTTTCACCACGACAACTAATGCTCTCCACGATTCGATCTTGTGAGAGCTCACGATGATAACTCGCAGCCAATAACAACCACATGCGACGAAAACCCCACGTTCATTTGCTGATTTCGTGTCGATAAATCAAGCTCGAACTCAACGAAACGGCAAAAGCCCCTGGAGGGAAAGGCCACAATCATGATACCCAATTCGCCCATATTAAGACCGTCCACGTCGATAATTACGTATCTATCAATTCTGGTATTGAGCTTGATGCTCTGCGCTCCTGGATACACCGAAGCTACACTTTCATCTCCCAACTCTGTCTTCGATTTTGAAACACTCATCGAACGGAGCGATACATCAGACTTGATATACGAGCCAGAGTTTGCGGCATTTGATCGCAGTATTATTGGCCGTGCCCCCCTAGAACAACCGTTATTAACGAATAATGGCCCCGATAGTAGATCGATAATTCCTGGAGGGACTGTTTGTTATATTGTGGATAAGAAGACGTTGTTTGGGAAGGACAAGAGGGATGATGATCATAAAACGAACGGGGAGACCGGGCATCAGAATTCTCGTCGAGCAGAGACAAAGACAGTCTATGTGTCTGCCAATACTTGTTCCAGGCCAACTCTAAAGACGAAAGACAAGAGCGGGAAAACAGAACTGGCACCACAACTCAGTCTTTATACTTCAACAACAAACAAGATCAAGTGTCCAACGGCAGGGAATTACAACAAGTCAAATCCCGATACTGCCAGGATACCGTTCGACGAGGGCGCAGTTATGCTAACTATGAATGCTACCAATGACATATACATCAGCGTTGTGGCTCCGAATTTGACAAAGGCCGATGGAGAATACAAATACCAGATCGCCATTTCTTTCGACGAGTACTACCACAACTACGATGCAAAAAATGGCACTGCTCAACTACTGTTGATGGACTTTGACTCAACATCAGCCCTCCTTTTCACCAGTGATTTGACTCAGGACTCGGAGGAGACCCAGCAGATCATGAAGAGGCCGCCGCCTTATCAGATATTTATTGGGGACGAGAAATTAAGATCCATCGATGGTCTGCGACATTCAACCTGTGGCTTAGCGGACCACGCGGAAATTTGGGCCAACGATAAGAAGACTGGACGACACAACGATCTCGTTACGACTGGCCTTACGACACGAGGACAAGGAGGATTGCCCAAGCAGCAATTCCTGGTTGCAGGGCTCAACCACAGTACCACCTACTCGGGAATCCTTGTCAAGATGCCTGATAGTGATAGCAAACGAGATACCAAGTCTGGGCGCACAATAGGCGGTGGAGGCACTGTCTACAAGGCCACCACGTTTGAGACTTCATCCAGTAAGATCAATTGCGCTTCAAGTTGCCCGGACATTAGCTAACCCATCACCAGGCACAAACTGTAAGATGGTTACGAATCTGGACTTCTGCAACGAGACACAATATGCCGTTCCTGGCAACGACAAAAAATTCAACAATACTGCTCTGGCCAAGCATTACGATGATTACGCCAGAAAAATGTACGCCAATTTCGAAAAGGTCATGATGCAAGTACCCTGCGAAGCACCCCCTGAGTCTCGCTACTCGCTAGCACGAGATTGTGATGAGTGCCGTGAGGCTTACAAGCGTTGGCTCTGCACCGTCACGATCCCTCGCTGCGAGGATGTTATGGGCGGCAGCAGATATAGCGTTGTTCGCGACGCTTTTCAAGCCTTTCCCAATGGAACAACGCTTCCTGATAATTTCCGCAAGGGTCTCAAAGCCGCAGCAAATAACTCCTCGCGTAACGCCTGGATCGACGAAACCGTCAAGCCTGGTCCGTACAAGGAGTTGCTCCCCTGCGAGGACGTCTGCTACGAAGTTGTTCAAGCATGTCCCGCTGCGATAGGCTTCACCTGTCCACAACCTGGATTCCCAAGTTTCAGTGTGAGCTACGGACGGCGGAATCCGGATGTTTCGAGTATAACATGTAACTACCCCGGCGAGCCAAGGACGAGAGTTAGTGCAGGTCTAGTTGTTCGGCCAAGCTCTGTTGCGCTCGGTGCTGTGTCATTGATGGTCTGGTTGATAATATAAGAGTTGTATATCTTGTTTCTTGGGTATGCTGGGCGTTTTTTGTTAGAGGGACTTCAGCGGAGATGCATCTGAGATTAATTCCAGCGACAGTCTGAATTTCGTGTCAAGGTTAAGATGCTCATACATTTATACAAGTAAGGTTATTTTGAATAACATGAGCGATTTGGTATCAGTATCCTACACAGAACAACTAAAGACAATGGGTTGCTTTGAACCCCCGTAATCTCATTTATACGCTTTAAGCCTTATTTGCCTTTGTCGCAGCATCATAATCCTTGATAGTTGTCTCAAGCTTCTCAATCGTTGCTATTCATTCATTCGTTAGCCCCCATATCTTCTCAAATTCTGTCTTGTGACCAACCTTCTCGCTCCGCACGGATCTCATCTGTCTCAAGTTTCGCCCAAGTCCAGTAAGCCAACTGGTACGTAAAGACAGCAATGAGAAGTGTCTTTGCGATAGGTCGTGTGAAGGTACGATAGAATTGGGACTGCAAGATTGTCAACATAAGCCTTACGAATACTCTTGCAAACATACCACTGGGCTTGGTGGCTTATTCGCATATGTTCTTCTAGCAACCCCTCTCATATTTAGGCTTCTAGACGTAATCATAGGCCGTAGCCTTGTTAAAGTTGTTGAAATCATTGTGTTGGTACTCGTTGAAAGAGTTCATAAACGCAAAGCAACATATCGATAAAGCTTGAAGTGCACCAGCCACATGTGGCAGTGAAGTGGGGGCGGGGCCGGTGGGGGAAAGAGACGGTCTTTACTCTAGGCTCCCCTGTCACCTTCCCTTGTCTGTCTTTAAGGGGAAAGGAAAGGAACACATGTCCCCAAAATTGTTAGCAGCCCATTTAATCTTCCCTTCCCTCACGGGCCCTTGAAATCTGTCCCTTAATACGATCTCAGTACTTTAATGCAACAAGGACCGTTTACAATATTTGAAACCGTTCAACTCTCAATTCTTCTGTATATTTCTTTCCACCCTTTTTACTCCAACTCTCACAGCTAGACGCAATGGTACGCCACAGCCTGGACCCTCCGACATGAACCAGTGTCGATCTCATGATGGAGCTAACATGATACTTCCTTGCAGGCGCAAACTCCCCAGCAGCGACGACGCAACGAGGCCTTTGCCAAGGGCAATGAAGCCAGGATGGGCAAGTCGGAGGATCAGATTAAGAAGCGTGTCGAGAAGGTTCAGAAGTCTCCTATCTCCCTGTTCTGGATCTGTACGTATACGTGAACTTCCATGGTTCAAAGAGCTGGGCTTTACTAACAATTTGCCACTGCAGCTATCCTTGGGTTCGTCATCTTTGGTGGTCTCGTCTTCGAGGGGATCTCCCGATTCTTCGGTTAAGCTCCCACCAATTGAACCTTTCTATACTATAACAACATAAACACAAACAACAACCAAAACGAATACCCTTACCAGACCTCGCTCTTAGCGATGGTACTGCATTTTTTTATATCTGGGAGAGTAAGGGTCTGCGAGCCATCTAAAAGCTATGGACAAGCATGGGGCACCAGTCCATCGTTCAAAGAAGCTGAAAGGGTGGAAGGGCACATATAATTGTATTTCGCCATGGGGGAACCTGTATTGAATTCACAGGAACTCGACTTAGGGAGAACAGGCGCAATCTGGAATCAACATAAATCGACTTCTTTTCGAAGAACAAAACAAGAGGGTTTATTTCTTTGCTTTTTGTCTACCTGACGCCATGCCGTGAACCGTGAATTAAAATAACAGCCCTTTCTTTATATAGGGAGAGCTTGTGCGAAGCCACGAGCTTCAAATGCGAATGCCAACACGAAACACATACTTTGCGTCACACAACTATGCACCAAGACCACGACGCTTGCTGCCACCATCGTTCTTCATCTTCATACCAGCCTCGAACTGCTTCTGGATGTCAGCCTCGGCCTTGGTCGAGTCGGATGCGCCCTTGGTGTTATGGGAAGCGGCAACACTAGCACCAGCCTTCTTTCCACCCAAAAGTCGGAGAAACTTGGCCTGTCGAGCAGAGCCTCCCTCGAGATCGTCGACTTGCCATTGTTCAGCCTGAGCTGCAGACTCGGGCTCCTTTTCCTTCTTGTCCTTGGTCTCGGCTCGCTTCCTCTTCTTCTCGGCCTTCTTGGCCTTCTTGTCAGATGCCTTGGGATCCTCAACCTCAGCCTCAGATTCGACAGCCTCTTCCTCTGCCTTCTCAGGCTCGACGAGTCTCACTTTTTTCCCCTTCTTGCTTTTCTTCTCCTTCTTGGATTCCTTGGGCTCTTCCTTTGCCTCGGGGGAGATATCGGCGGCGGAAACATGGCTTCGTTCGGAAGTGGCGTTGCTCAGTCGGCGGTGCTTCATCACGACCTCGTCGGCTGGGATGTTTGTAGGAACTTCGGTCGGCTGCTTGGCCACTGGAGCACCTCCCTCATCCTCAGATGAGCTATCGGAACCAGAATCTGAACTATCGGAATCAGAAGAGGTATCGTCGTCCTGCTCAGACTTGGACTCGTTGGCGGTTTTCTGGTGAGGGGGATCAGTGTGTAAATAAACAATCATGGGACGGGTGAACTTACCTCGGCGTCAAGAAGTGCTTGATACTGGGCAGCGGCTTTCTTGGCCTCGGCCAACAACAAGTTTGCCTTTTCCTGAAGCTTTTCGGCACGAGCCTTTAGCTTTTCCTTGCGCTTGGAAGCATTGACGGTTTTCTTTGCCACGGTCTTTGACTTTCGGGGCTTGCCACCAACGACCTCCTTGGGCTCAGTACTGACGGCACCGGCAGCCTTGACGGCTCGCTTCTCTGCTTTGGCGGAACGCTTCTTCTTGCGCTGCTCAAGCTTGGTTGACTTGTCTTGCTTGCGCTTCAGGTTCTTGTCTGCATGCCGCAAACGTTAGATAAGCTTCGTAGACTAGGATAAAGGGCTGAAGAAAGCAGCAGCTATCTATGACTTACCCTTCTTGGACTTCACCTCAGGGTTGAGAGAAACACCGCCAGTTGTGGACGACGACATGATGACGGTATTGGAATGACAAAAAACAAATTGGGTATAGAGTTGGAAGTAGAAGGACAATTAGAAGTTTCGATAAGCTCGTTGCCGTTTGCCAAAAATCAGTAAGAAAGTCAATCTCTTAGTGTTCAAGGTTGAGTGGTGAATGGCGCAAAGAAGAATCGACGATAGCTTCATGAAATGCGCAGCAGCACCGGGCAGAATCACCACTTTTTCTGCCGGGCGGTGAGAAAAAGTTGACAGGGGACCAAGCGTTGAACTTGGATGTGGGGCAGGAACTGTTTGTGGACATGGAAGCAGGGGCATTGTGTTTCGAGCCTTTCCACTACTTACCAGGGTGGAGCCAACAATTGCCTAAACAGGCAATCGCCGGTTTACACACCAGCTTGCACGCCTAAGCTCATTCATTGCAAGCCGTTCAGCATTGGATAACAAGAGCTTCGATAGAGTCCCAGAATTGGTTTAATCCAGGAGATAAAGTGAGTTAGTCGGAAAGTTGTGTTTATGGGGTTAACTTTTGGCGTTGAGGAAAAGTTGGCCAAGCTCTGTGTGCCCTGGCGTATTACACTCATAGCATGCATATTACATTGTCCTTCAGTAACTCACTCTGGAATGACCAAACCTAGATGTAAGTAACTGACACCTAGGAGGCTGATACATGCGTTGCTTAAGATGAATGGGAGTTTGCGGCCTCTCATGAGGTTATTATTGACCCTCCGTTCTGAGATTAAGTGGGCACATGTCTACAACTCTCTTATCGAATACCACTACTGAGCGAGAACAGCTCTGCTTACATATTCCTCCCTCGCACAGTTAATGCCGAAATAATTCTTGACTGCAAAATGTCCATTGCATATTGTAGGTTTTGAGAACATTCTATTGAACGGGGTATATATGAACTGGTTGGAGGTTACCAGACGATACACGCCGGAAACATTCAATACTGCTTAATTTCACAGAAGAGGCGAGGCTATGTGGTTCAAATCTCAATTAAAACTCTTCGGAGTATACAAGAGAATGATAGTCTATGTTTTAAGGTTATCGTGTAGACTGGTAATAAACATGGGGAGATCATGTCCATATCAGGCCACTTCTTGTGAAATGGGCAAGGTTGGAACAAGGCATACTTCAGTTCTCAGGGGCTGCTGTATACCTTCATTAGTATAGCGCTATATAAGTCGGAGGCCGCATTCTCGTATATAGGACTTTAGTACATAGACATACCATTAGACCTCAAAATGCGATATGAAGTAGCCATTCATTGGTCAACACAACTCATATCCCCCATATACCACTGTCAGCTTATCAAACCCTCAAAGCTAGTCATAGGACAATTTATCATGCAGCGAATTGGATCAAATCTTGTCTTATTATGCAAAGTCATCCCCCTTGCCGCCATCTTTAACGCCAACCAGTAGCAGAGTAGAGGAGTGCCCCAGGTATGGTAAAACATGATCTATGAATAGAAAGAGAGATCTCCTTTCCTCTCGTAATTAGCCCTTCACCCCTTGCCTTGCCTGACCGCTTTGAATCATCCCGTCCCAAGTCTCAGCCGCATCCAAGAATAGCAATCCAGCCCAAGAAGACCAACTCCATGTGAGCGAGCGGGGTAATACCAAAACAAAAACTCCAGAAGAGGGTGTGTGATAAATTATACAATGGCATTAATCGTGGTAAGTCCGTTCAATTCCTTCTATTCCCAAGTACGAAAACAACTGTATCGATGTTAGTCGAGGGAACCGAGAGAATAGGGGTTGATCTTACAATAGCTTGTTCTCAACTTATTGCCCAGCATTTGGGTCGTACAGATAAGAATCATCGTAATACATCTCGTCTGCTCCACTGCTTTCACCGTAACTTGCTTGTGCCCATTGCGTGCCGTATGAGGGTGAAGCACTGTATGTCGCTGTAGCAAAGCTATCGTCTGCGCTGTGTGCTCCCCTTCTACTGCTGCTGTGCCGACTTTCGGCCTCCTGACTACGACCAGCAAAGTGGCCGATGTTCATGCTGCCCCAGGGAAGCCCTGAAGGGTCTGAATAGGAATTGAAGTCGTTGACAGAGGGAATGCGATAGCTGTTGCCAGCGTACTCCTGATTTCGAGAATCTCTCTCGGCTCTCTCCTTGTTTTCTCGAGCCTTTTCTCCTGGGTAATTCTGTTAGTTACATGATTGCTTTTCAGAATTCTTGCTACTTACTGAACTTGCGTTGAGCAATACGGTTCTGAATTCTTCGTCTCTCTTCAGGATCTGTGATATCTGACCAGTCGACATCATCGACTGAGCTTGACTTTGACTTTTTTGAGGAATGTGTAGAAGAGCTGCCCTTATGGGAGCTGTGAGAGCTATGTTTTGAACTTCCACCCATTTTGCTCTTTTCAGAAGAATGATAATCTGATTTGGAAGAAGATCCCTTCTTCTTGTCTTTGTGACTTGAGGATTGCGACCTTGTTTGACGTGTTGGTGCAAGTTTTGAAGGAGATTTGGAGCGTTTGCCGCCTGATCTCTCCTTTTCCTCTGTTTCTTGGTCAGGGGAAGCACTCTGAATGCGAATTTCTGGAGTTTGTAATTCCGATGGCGACTGATTCGGCAAGGACATCTACTCTCAGAGAGTCATCAAATTGGAGGCCTTGAAAAGATGGTATTGAGTTTGTTGACACAATAGGGGGGAACCATCTAAGTTGTAGGACTTTTATGCTGAGACTGAGACGACAAAGTTGTAGTGTAGCAATGACAACTGAAACAAACTACACCCTTGTACTAGAAGTCTGAGATTGATAACTAGGCAGACAGAATAGGGATGTCTTGAAGTCGGTTAGAGTTTAATTGTATTAGGATATGGTATGAACGAAACTCGAAAACGAGGGACGAAGCCACATACATGTAAGGCAACGACTTTTAAACCCTGGGCCATGATAGGTAGTACACTAGTACCTGAAGGACCCAGGAAGTGAGTTAACTAGGACCCATGCGACAGCGGGATGATTGAATCGGCCAGGACCGGGGGTATCTTGGACAGTGAGTGAGTGACTGTATCAAAGATGGAGGGTAGAGGTTCAACGGCGGAGCCGGGTAGGGCAGAATTGACGTATGGAGATTACGAGGAGGGCACGAGGCGGATGCGTCAGGAAGAGGTTTTCGGGAAATTAAGCAATTGGAGGTGAGTCTTTGCTACAGATACATTCGAGTCAAAAACCGAATTCTGATAGGCGTTGCTCGCCATTCGCTTCGACTGAGAAGGATTCGCATCAGCCATGATATCCATAAGTGGCCCATGCCTTAGTTGCAGGGGGCGGAGAGAACAGGCAAAGAACTAAAACGGTACAGACTGGATAAAAATGCACTAAACAACCTTGTTAAGGTACACCACCAGATGCGTGGAATGGCGTGTAAGACGAGCCCAAGTTCAAGGATGTGCGTCAACACGGCAGCCTCTTTTCAAGCGATATCAGATCCGAAATCATTTCTTGTTCATGACTGAGGCCTCTCCAGGTCGCGTGGTGCACCAACATACGTATTCTCACAGATATTCAAGGGAGAGACTGTACGCAAGGTACATGCAAGCTATCTTGGACCCATGACGGCGAAGGAGTCATACTCTGGAAACCTTGTAAATCACCGACTTACAAACGTCCCCCCATGGGGCTAATCTCAAAGTAATACCTTAGGCTACTACACTTCAGGTCGAGAACTGTACAGTAACACGTATGTGCCCACGTACAGTGACGACGTCACAGCTGAGATCGAAATACCTTCTCTTTAAAGATATGGTTGAGTTTCGTGTGATTAAAGGAATCCAGACCACGTATGTACCTCTTGCACGCGTCTCCTCTGTAAGCCCCCTGCAAACGTGCATTCGCAACAAGTCACGCTAATTTGCTGTCATGGTTCGAAACAGTGTAAGTTGGAGAAAGCCAATGGAACACTAACTGATGTGAAAATCCGCGTTGCTAAGCCACCCGTCGCCCTGAACCTGAGAAGGGGAGCAAAAACGGGAATGCGAGATATACGACGGACGGGGAGTCGGGTCTTGGGGCCACGAGGTAATGAAAAGAGTGGGACGTGCTAGATGGGCCTTGTAAGGCAGATGTATTCTTTGACCAAGATACGTACTCATCCATGGCCATTGTACGTACATCATGCCTGTGATGCAATATCCAACGTCTTTAACCAAGTCTATAGGAAGATATAGGCATTTAATCGGATTTTCTAGGGAACAGAAAAGGCTCATCACGGATAATCTAGTCACAAGATACACCCTGCGATTCCGACCCGATATCCCCGGATCTTGCGTGCCGGACAATCATGGACAGGGATTCAGAGGAGTCATCGCCAGTGCAACTACGGATATCTTAGCTGGAGCCAGATTTCATTAGGAACGGGCCCGAGAACTTGGACACGTTTTAGCTGAGGTCATTTTGCTGCACTGCGCTGCACTGCACTGTGCATACAGCAAGTATCTCAGTGACACATACCACACCGTATGTTATGCTTGAGCGTTATGTATGTTTTAAGTTCCCTCCCGTCTTAATGACCAGGATCTTTTTTCCAAAGAGGGCTGCCTTGCGTAGTAAAGTCGTTGCCTCAAGGCTTCCACATCATGACCTGCCTTAGACGTACGTATGTCTATACATGGGATATGAGGACACGTTTTGATATCATCACGATCATGTTAAACCATCAGCCCTATGAACACGCACTCGCACAACATCCCTCAATGGGATCGTGGAGGGTCAATTCATGCATCGCCGAACCAAGCAGTCGGTGAGAATAGGGATGAGATGAGTAGAGTTATGCTACTCTTGTCTTGAGACCACAAAATAATGGTAACGAGGTCAAGGTGGCTACGAGAAAACCCTCACGCTAGGTACATATCTGTCCCTCAAAGGGCGCGCGTGATCTCTGAAGCCCAAGTCGATCTGCCGTCGCTAGGAAATTCCAGGAACCTCAATTTCATGATCATCAATCACAAGCCTCAGCTCGTCAGGGCTACACTGTATCCGCGATACATACCGGATGATCGACGCCATATGCTTGGAGCCCAGAACAACCTTAGCAAAAACAAAGCCAATTCTAGGCAGCCTCTGCAATGTTACATCTCCCTGTGAAATTTAATGCCCCGGAGGTGGTTACGAAACCGTTTTCATTCGTCATAATTAGCTCTTGGCTGTCCATAAAGAATATGCCAAACAAAAGGTCCCTTGATCAAGCGGCGGTAGCTGAAACTCTAACACCGACAGTTGGGGGCCACCCTCTTACGACTCATTTGCTGATCAATTAGGCGAATGCGAGATATTCGCCAATCTGCACGGACGTTAGGTATCGTGAATTTCTTCATAGCAAGGACCAAGCCACGAAAAATTAATGAACATTGATCGAAAAGGTATGAGAGTGCTTCTCGGCATACAATTGCATGAGACAAGGTTTTCATCAACGTATAAGTCACAATCAGAAGAACCTCACCCAGTCAAGGATACGATATGAAGACAGCAAGGTATTATTGCACATACAGCCACCTCCATTTCTTCGTCATGCGCGGAGATGGCATTTTCTATTTCTGTTCTTTGTCACATCGTGAAAGTGGCTGCATATAAACTACCATCTTCAAATTAACCAACATGAAGCTAGTGAACTAGTCAGAGAACAACTAGGTGAAGCCCACCATACATATGCCGTTGTGTCTTCAGCATTAGTCGGAAGTGAGGGTATCCGATATGCAATTATAATTAACCCACCTCTCAATGCTTGTTGATACAGCACTTGGGAGGCATCAAGTACAAGACATGGGTAAGGTACCCAGCTTCACTACCTCAAGAATATTAGTCAATCGAAGAAGCTTAAAATAAAGAAATCAGCATGATCCCCGCACAGCATGCTTCTTTTGTCAGGTGAATCACATAATAGACAGAGCAGGGGATCTGGTTTGCATCAACGGGCGGTGCAGCATCAACACCATTCACAACATGCTCAAATATAGAATTACACACCTAAAGAGATTCAGCCATTGTAAATCCATGTGCCATGTGAACATTTTGGTGGTGTCAGGAGGGCACAGCACAGTTGCATTAGTTCAGCATAGCCTACTGTTCTTTGGAGTTTTGACAATATGACTTCCGGGACTTGATGGCCCACTGCAGAAATACGAAAGAGACCTCAAGTGACGTCGAAATAAGCTCCGAATTTACCGAAAATAAGAACCGGGATTTACATCAAGAATAGCTTCTCTTTCTGCCTGCCAAGAGGTAAAAAAATACACCAGGCAGTAAGGCGTTGGTTCTGATACCATGCCTCAGGATGATATCTCCCATAATCGCTGACATAATGTTCACACAGCCTCTCCAAACGAATATGGCAAACCGATATGCCAGATACGAGACAGACTTGATAACATGCTATCAAGTCTTTTTTGCACACCAAAAGATGCCCGAGAACAGCACTTGAGTGAAACATGCTTTTGCTCAGCCATCCATAAACCCCAGTCATATCTGCTAAAACTACAGTTGTAAATGTACATGTTGTGTCTTTGTCTTTTACACAACTATTACATATTGGCCAGCATCTCAGCCTCCCGCTCAGCTCTTCGCTCTGCCGACCTCTTCTTGAATCGGACCTCAGCCCTTCTGCGCTCACCACCGTCAATCTTGCGACCTTGGCGATCCTCCCACATGCCTTCCGTAACCTTCACAATAGCGCCTGATGTTCCAGAGATGGGTTGGGCAAAAGGCCCAGCAATCGTCTGGTGACCAACGACCCGATATCCGTTTGGTCGGATCAAATATGAACCAGTGTCCTTTTCGCCCGTAGAGTTCTTTACAGCCTTTCGAGGAATTTTTTTATCAGGCGTAAAATCGTGAGGTACGTTGACAACCCATTTCGTATCGCTGAGGGCCGAAGGGGGCGGTGTTGCGACCTTCAAGAGAGCCTGTCCATCCTTGACATATTCAAAGTCTCCACCAGGGCCCAACGAACCCTTTCTATATCGCTGCATCCAATGCAAAAGGTATCTTCGGTTTCGGGGTGGTTCGATGCCCAATTCCTTGAGTTCTGGCGAGGTGAGGGAGAAGAGAGCGTTCCACGAGGGAAACTTGTTGGCGTACTTGTTGAGGCCACGGCCGATCAGGGTGAGGAAGGTCGGCACATCGGGAACGAATGGTCGGGGCTTGGGGATCGGGTGCGCAGGCCGTGTCTTGTGAAGTTGTCGGATCTGTCCTGTCCTTGAAAAGGCGCTGCCGCTCTGCAGAAGCAGGCCAAATGTTGACCTGAGTCGTTCGCTCTTCATTTTCTAGAAACTTATGTTAGAGACCACGGTTGAGAGTATCAATTTCCTATCATAAACTTACGCTGCTCAATGGGTCGAATGACACAAGTTCAGCCGCTACCTCAATCAACGAAGTCTCACAAGCCGAACGTTGATCTCGAAATTTGACGATGGGTCCTCGTTATGTCAGCAAGGCTGTTTCTGTGGCTGATGCTCATCAGAACTGTGGCGCTAACCCCTGGCTATCCGATGACGCCCCACTTATAACCGACCAGGCTGATATCCCACCTCAAATGCCTACATCCTCCTCCTACCTTCTTCCCTCCTACATACTCGATTTCATGTTGAGTCATCTATAATATTTCGTGACCTCAGGTTTGGGGCATCTCAATCTACCAGCCATCAGTGGTAAATGATAACAAACAATTACTATCAACCATGGCCCGCAACAAGGCCCGCTCCCGGCGTTCTACTGCCGAGGCGGTTCACTTACATGTTGGACTCGATGGTGAGTTAACTTATTGGGGTTTTATTCACTCACGCTCACACCTTTAACTTCAGATTTGATGCCAACATCATTCGTTGAAGGGCTTATTAGTATCATGATTTCTGAAAATGAAACTTCAGATCAACCATCATCATCCCATGAGAATGGGCCACCTACAAAGCGTCGTAAGACCGAGTCTTCATTAGCCTTGAATGCTATACCTATCGCAAAGAAAGAATTCACTATTTCTCGCCCTTGCGCAGGGCCCTCTTCCAAAAGTCAATCATTCGTTTGTAAGAGCGTTGATCGCTACATGAGCATTCATTTTATGGACAATCGACTTCGCATGAAGTCGCGGAAGGATTACCCATCGGAGCCGTTGGATGTTACGGTCAGGCTAAGACGAGCGGAAGAAGATGACCAAATGAAGATTTCTTACATCTTGGATAGCACCTCCCAGCGAGCGTCACAGCCGAATGCGCTATGGAGCACATTCGACCTGGAACTTGAGTGGCAAGGAAGGCAGGTCAAGATGACTTACTGTCGCAATTTCTACTGGAATGAATCTCCATCGCCGCACTCTCAGTACAGATCGTCACTAGATCGCAAAAACAGCCAGCCATTCATTAACTTGCTACTGCGCGGCTCGATCTCAACAGGCACACCTTATAGAGCTTCAACATGGTCTCCCATGGACTTTTACGAAGCGGCTTTTGTCCCCAAAAAGGACGAGAAAACACCCGAAACTATTCAAGTCGATGCTTTGGAGTCGAAATTATTTCCATACCAAAAGCGCACACTACAGTGGTTACTGCAACGCGAAGGAGTGCAGTGGTCAGCAGATATGCGACGCATCGTCCCATATGTACCTGAAAATCAGGATAGCGTGTATGACTTCAAGAAAATGACGGATGTGGCCGGGAATGAGTACTACTTTAGCGAACTTTTCCATACGGCGACAAGAGATATTTCGCTGTTCCAACAAGCCGAGGCTTCCATCAAGGGCGGCATTCTGGCAGAGGAGATGGGCCTTGGTAAAACACTGGAGGTTCTTGGCTTGATTTTGCTTCACCAGCGATCTCGACCCTTGATTCAGAGTGAATATGAGTCCCAGGCCAAGCTTACGCCGAGTGGCGCTACGTTAATTGTGACACCCCCATCATTAAAAGATCAATGGGTATCTGAAATTGCTCGCCATGCGCCGGGCTTAAGTGTCAAAGTTTATGAGGGTCGGAAAAGGATTTCGGAAGCGGACGAGCAACAGGCCACAGATGAACTTGCTGGTCACGATATTATTCTCACAACATACTCTGTACTGTCCTCTGAGCTTCACTTCACGACAGCACCTCCAGAGCGCTCACGGCGGCATGCAAGAGTTTATGATCGGCCCAGATCCCCCCTCGTGCAAATCTCGTGGTGGAGAGTATGCCTGGACGAAGCTCAGATGATTGAAAGTGGTTACAGCCAAGCCGCGAAAGTGGCTCGTGTTCTTCCTCGGATAAATGCGTGGGGTATCACTGGTACTCCAGTGAAGAATGACGTTGAGGATCTTCAGGGCTTGCTCCTTTTCCTCCAGTACGAGCCCTATTGTTCTGTGAACCAAATATGGCAAGATTTGATCCGTCACTACAAATCTGTCTTCCAGCGCCTGTTCAACAGGATCGCTATTCGGCACACGAAATCAATGGTTAGAGATGAGTTGGTTCTGCCATCCCAGAAACGCTTTGTCATCAGTATGCCCTTTACAGCCGTTGAGGAACAGCACTACCAGTCCCTTTATCGAGAAATGGCGGAAGCGTGTGGGCTCAGCCTCGAAGGAGCGCCAATTGTGGATGGCTGGAAGCCTGAGGATCATGAAGAAGACATGAGAACTTGGTTGGTTCGACTCAGACAGACTGCGCTGCATCCTGAAGTTGCAGGTTATAACCGCCGAACTCTCGGCAACAGCAAGAGTCGGCCCATGAGGACCGTTGACGAGGTTTTAGATGCTATGCTAGAACAAAGCGAAAGCGCGATTCGATCAGATGAGAGAGCCTATCTATCCAGTAAACTGACACGAGGTCAGCTATACGAAAACAGCCCCCGCGTAAAAGAGGCACTGGAAATATGGTTATCAGGACGAGACGAAGCTCAAAAACTTGTTTCCAAAGCCCGGGATGAGCTCAAGTCTTTGACTGGGTCAAGACTTAGGCCCGCCAGTCACGAGGACTCTGATATCGATGATGATTCTGAAGTTGAGGAGAAAGGTCAACTGTTTGAAAGTCGAAGACGGCTTCGTGGAGCATTAGAGATGTACCACAGGGCCGTCTTCTTTTGCGCGAATGCATACTTCCAGGTCCGCGAAAATCCAGAAATGACTGAGCCCGAATCCGAGGAATTTTTACGTATTAAGAAGTTGGAAGATGAGCACTACGAGGAAGCAAAGGCTATTCGAAGGGAAATCCTACAAGAGCCTCACCACAAAGCAGCCCGTCTGATGGCGAAGGTGGCACAGAAGGCATCCGAACAGTCTTTTGTTGAGATTCCGGAGCTCACAGTTAATGAGGAACGAGGTATCGAGAGCGGTCGTATTGTCGACGATCTAGAAGCATTGTACGGCGAACTGAACGACCAAGCAAATGTCATTGATGAATGGAGGGAGCACCTGGTCGGGCTGGTTCTGAAGCCTTTGGTTGATGAGGAGGACGATGCCGAAACCACTGGAGATGAATACGGCGAGTCAGCCAAAATTCAAGATGAACTCATGGTTTACGTTCAAGCTCTTCGAGCTATCATTGCTGATCGACAGGATGCTTTGACTGGGCAGACTAACGAGCTGATCAAGCACGAAACACAAACGTCACTGAGACTCGCAGCCAACGAAGAAGGGCCTGCTCCTGAAAAGCTTATTGAGCTTCTTACATTACGAGATCAAATCAAGCCACGGTCAACCTCAATGCGGAAAGCTATCAGCGAGTTTCGAGGCTTGACATCAAAGCTGGCAAGGGATACCACACGAAGCGTCCTAGAAGGCAGAATTGCGGATCGACAACTCAAAGCAACGCAAGCAATTTTGAACACACAGAGCAAGCTGACTACTGCTCTTGAGGCCGAGGTCGACAAATTCAAGAACATCATGAACCTCCGCCTGGAGTATTATCGCCAATTGCAAGTAGTCTCTGACAGTGTCCTTCCTTACGAGGAACCTGTCACTGAAGAACTCATGACGAGGCTGAAGACGACTGAGGAAAATATGCGCCAAAGGCTGTCTGCAGCAGAAGCCAAACACAGATACCGTGAGTTATACGCTCCTCATTATTTGACCCCAAATTAACTTTTCAGTCCTCCACCTCAAAGAAGCAGGAAACAAGTCTAACGAGCCGCGAATGTGCGTCATCTGTCAGACCAATTTCACTATTGGCGTTCTCACGGTCTGCGGTCATCAATTTTGCAAGGAGTGCATGATGTTGTGGTTTAAAGCTCACCACAATTGCCCCGTGTGTAAGAGAAGGTTGAAGTCATCCAACTTGCACGATATTACTATCAACCCTCAGCAACTCAAAGTGCATAGCGATGAACCAACCCAATCTCAAGATGGTACGGAGAATAGCCCTGAACAAAAACAAACCGATTCGCCAAAGAAAACCGGGATCTACTCCGAATTTAACTCAGACAAGCTGGCTGAGATACAGAAAATCGAGCTGGATGGGCCTTCATTTACCACGAAAGTTGATACGCTTGTCAAACATTTGATGTGGTTACGAGAGTCTGACCCTGGCGCAAAGTCGATTGTATTCTCGCAATATAAAGGATTTCTGGGGATTTTACGCAACGCCTTTTCAAGATTCAGGATTGGCTATGCCTCGATTGACGACCCAGATGGAATCAGACGGTTTAAGGAGAACGCCTCAGTTGAGTGCTTTCTTCTTCATGCCAGAGCACATTCCAGTGGCCTCAATCTCGTCAATGCAAGTCATGTCTTTCTCTGTGAGCCTCTCCTCAATACCGCGCTCGAGCTCCAAGCAATTGCCCGTGTGGATCGGATTGGTCAAATGCACGAAACAACTGTATGGCTCTACCTTGTGTCGGGGACAGTTGAGGAGTCAATTTACAACCTTTCGGTCCAGCGGCGGATGGAGCATATGGGACGTGTCAACAAGGGCAAGTCAAAGGAGTCGACACCTGAACTTCTCGACGTGAATATCGAGGCAGCAAACACTCTGGAGCTTGAGCAGGCATCACTTTCGCGGTTGATGAGTAAGGATAAATCGGCTGGTGAGAACGTGGAAGAGAATGATTTATGGGAATGTCTGTTTGGGCACATTGCTCGCAAAGACACTGAACACGAAAAGGATATTAGACTTCAGGAAAAGGCTGTCATGGGATACTTGGCAGCAGAGGCTGCCGAAGAGAGAATGGATAGAACCGATCAGATACCAGGATCATGACATGAAGGAATGGATTTGGCGCATGGGTTAACATCAACGACAAGTACCTGCATACGGCGCAAGCACTGGCAACTACGGAAGTTCATTTGTGTTTAGATCAGGGGTTTTATCATGAATGCAATGGCAATGCTCACGGTATGGTGCACCGAGATTATGGGTTATGTCTCGTAGCAACGTGTGGGAAAAGCATGTCATTTTCTCAATGCTCGTTTTGATACATATAATATACAACAGATACTTCTGGCTCATGGTGTCCCTTGATCCATTGCCATGTGACGAGTGAGATCATTTCTCATGATACCCAACCCCCTAGTCTACCCAGGCATTTACGCCATGACCCTTGGAACTCAGACATGGTTTCGTCACAAAATACAGTGCGCATGCGCGCAACACGTCGAAAAGAAGATATCTCACTTCCTTAATCGACTCGCTTGGTCTTGGCGCTGGCGCCAGACTTGACGCGGCGGGCGACAGGGCGGTTGATGTGGTGGTCAGGGATCCAGCTCTCGTCGTAGTCCTTTCCAGAGGGGACGGCAACGGGGGTAGACTCGGAACCGGAGAGAGGCTCAGCAACATCGATGGTCTTCTTGGCCTTCTTGTTGGTACGGGGGCGCTTAGCCTGGGGGAAGAGAGCCTCGATCCAGGTCTTGTAGACGAAGTAGAGAGTACCGGCGAAAGCAGCAGAGAGGAACAGGTAGAGGAAGATACTACAGATGTTGTTAGCTTGCGATTGGTGGAGAGGTTGAAGGGAGTGCATACATCTGGGGGTCAAGGAAGCTGGTGGGAGCCTCGACGATGGAAGCGGGACCGTTGTGAACCAAGACCTGGTGGAGGTTGCCGGTAGAATCAGTGACGACAGCCGAGAGCTCAACGCGGACCTCCTGGGGCTGCATGTCCTGGGCGAAAGAGAAAGGAAGCTCCTTCTTCTCGCCGGCAGGGACCTCAATGTTGTACTGGACAGAGGTCAAGTTGCGCACGATGCTGGCGTAGCGGGGGCTGTCCTCGGGAAGCTCCTTCATGGTGTTGAGAGAGCCAGCGACGAAGGCGACATTGATAGCATTGGCATCCTTGTTGTTGATCTCGATGACAGCCTTGGTAGGACGACCGTTGACGAGCTTGACACCGAGGATGTCAGCTTCGGGGAAAGTAGCCTTGATGTCAGCCTTGAGAGGAGCCTTGGGAGCGGCATTGGCTTCAGGAGCGTCCTTTCTGAGATGTTAGAATTGCAGGAGGGGAGATGAAGCTGTCGCGCGACACGAACCTGAGCAACAGCGCCAAAGACCTGAGCAGCCACGAGGGCGAGCAAAGAAGCCTTGAAGAACATGACGACGAGAAGATGAGGGGAACCTATAGAGAAGACACCGATGAAGAAGATTGGGGGAGGGAGATGAAGAGAAAAAGAGAAGAAGAAGCTGGTGGAGATGATGGAATATGGGGGAAAACAGGTTGGGCTGTGGGTGACAAGACAATCTGGCCTCTGGAGGCGAATGGAGCAAGGGGGGAGGGGTGCTGTTGTGGAGAATCAATTGAGATTGGTTCGAGACTTGAGGTTTTAGGGGATTATAGTGGGGTGGACGCTGGAGCTGGAGTTGTTTTAGGGGTTTAGTGGCTGTGACAGGAGCTGGAGCTATGAGCTTGGACCAATAGCGTTATTGGATCTGGAGCTGCGCCGGTTTGAATTGAGCTTATCAGTCTTATTACCAACGTTTAAACCCAATTCTGATATCAATCATCATGTTACATAGCGACAGTTGATTGATTTCGCGAGAGATCGGTGATCGGTGAAATATGGGGCAGTCCGGTGTCTTCGCCGGTCGGTCTGCCGTATGATTCGGCCCCGCTCCGGGTCGTTATCAGATATCGATGACTTCAAGGGTATTTCACCAGTCAGGCAAGTATAAGTCAAGTAGGTAAATTAATAGTGAAGTGTAAATGGTAACTAAAAATCATTGTGCTATGAAGACACGCTACTCTCGATTTTGTATAGGCTCTAAAATATGCAAGTCTATAGCCTTGACTATGGCAATGTATGCGTATGTGTATGTACTAATATGCCCACTTCAGCTTTCTAAACTGGTGAATCTTCGGTCTTTTCGGTCTCTTCAACTTCCTTTGCTTTCTTCTCCCACGCTTCCAGTGGTGGGGGTTGGAATAGCTGGCCGTTCAAGCTCGCCTTGATAGTACCACACGCCACCATAACCCACAACAAAAACTCGGCAACAGAGAATATTGTTCCCAGCACTTTGAAGAACTTCGAAGGAAGCTCCTGAGCAAGTGTCGTGGTCGCAACTGTGAACACTCCAAGAGGGAAAGTAAACGCCCACCAAGTAAGATTGAAGGTGACTTGGCGTCTGATGATGGTGGCGAGAGCAAAGAAGAGCCACACAACAGCAAATCCCCACAAGATGAGAGCAGTGAGAATACCAGTCAGGTAGAAGAATTGGCCCGCGATGGGAGCCTTGGGGATGAAATCGTTCCTGGCGAAGAGTTTGAGAGAGACTTGGCCGAGGAGTTGGATTGCTGCTGCTCCCATACCAAGAGGGCCGATAGCGATGAAAGACGCTACAGCAACTTGGCCGGGAAGAATATCATAGATCATGAGACGGCTGTAATACATGGCGAGAATGACGATAGCCATGGGTACGCTAGTTCCCCATAGAATATAGCTTGTAATGACGGTCCATATGGCGTGTTGGTCGTTAGGTAGAACATTGGCTACGATGGCCCCTGAGGTGGAGGCGACGATATCGGCAATGACGGGGAAGAGCCATGAAGGGTTCACTTGATCAAGTGTGATCTCTATAGTGTAAGCAAGCTACCTCAAGAGTCTGGGAAGCTAGAGGTGACTCACGCCCTCTGTTCGCATGATACAATGCGGTATGTAGAGACTACAAGCAGTAGCCATAACAACATCTATCCACCAAAGAGCCCATGCAAAATTGGCAGCCCAATCACCCCAGGCTGGAACACACACAAAGACTATCATATTGATAATTGTAGCGAAGCCAACCGGTATGGTCCCTTTAGACAATGTTAGCTTCAATTATGATTAAGTGGCCACATGACGAAATGCATACCTAGAAAAACAGCCTGCGCTGGATGTCGTAACGTTGAATACCATATCCCTTTGAAATACGTATATCTTACAATAGATATACAGCTAAACAAAGTAAATAGCACAATGTTTAGACAAAATATTATGCAGGAGACGTAGAATAGCCATCGGCCGTGGTAGGGCAGGTTGTGGAGGAGAACAGACGTGATTCCAGTGCCCATCGTCACTGTGAACCACGACGGTGTAAAATTGACGACAATTCGACGCCATCCTCTTCGATTCTCTCGATATTTATCGTGCTTGAGTTCTTCTGGATTCGTTGGTGCCGCGGGAGCTGCTATGTCGGAACCTGGATAAGTGACCTCGCTAGAGTCTAGGTCTGGTAGATGATCTGAGGGCGTTGGTGTGGAACTCATAGTGAGATCAATTGAGCAAACAAACCAAAATGTCTTGACGACCAGTATAAGCCATTGAATAGAAGAAAGGTCACGTTTATTTAAATAGAGTGAAAAGTACTAGTAATGAATCAAAGTTAGGACACAACGTGACGTCGCGGAATCGGCACCTCGGCCAATGCCAATTTTCGACCCACGACTCGTCGTCATGTTTTTCTTCACCTACCAAGGTCAGTCAACTAACTAACTCATGCCATTGCCACGGAGTGGACGCACTCTCTTTATAGGATTCCCGCGGAGACGTTTGAACTCGTTTAATGCCTAGTCCACAACCGTGTGATGCTCGATTGGGGTTGTCTTTGCTGAGCATAACCTCTTTTTGAAGGACTGGGTTGCTCGACCTATAGCGTGTCGTACCTGTTAGTCATAGGAATTCAAACGTCAGTTCATGGGTCCAAGGCGAAACATTCAGATGACTGCAGTGTTGCATTGGTCCTTTGGAACTTGAGACTATTATCGTATGGACGTAGAGTAAATAGTATGTTTTTGGTCCTTTTTATATAGTCTTCGGCAGTATTTGTTGTTGCATCGGAGAATTAGATCCCCCAGGTCAAAAGCAAGCCACCTCCGCAAACTACTGCCTCTCTAACAACAGCCATTGTCGTACCAATTGAACTTCAATTATATCAGGAATTGTTCTCGTGGTTCAAGATCTCATCTTGTTCCAGTCCAAGTCATCTCATTTTCTATATCCCGAAGCGCCTTGATCATACCCGTTCGCATAAGAACAACAATTGATAGCAGAACGTCGCTTATATCCATCACCCATTTTTCCGTATCCTGGTCCGCTTCAAAAGTTCACCTAACCCCATAACAACAAAACGTAAACTTAAAGATAAAAGGACATGATATGATCTTTCATCGATCAGAAGCCATGTCCTCCAATGTGACTGTTGTACTTGGGTGTCACGTAACCAGGCATAGAATCCCTCTCCTCCACCGCCAGATGAGCACCAGCAATGCGCAGCAATTGTGCACAAGGCTCCTGGCCTGACTTGACAGCGACAAACAGAGGCGAGTGGTTGGCCTTGTTGCGCTCGTGGACGCTGGCGCCCCGCTGTAGCAGCTCAAGGAGGATCTCGGTTCTGCCGGCCACCGCTGCGAGATGCACCGCTGTGTTGCCTGCGTAGTCTGACTGCTTGAGAAGCTGAGCACCTTCACCTTGCAGTAATTCCTTGACGAGTCCCAATTCGCCATTCTCAATTGCGTATCCGAGGGCCGAGAATGCAGTCTCGCTTGGCGTAAGATGGGATGCGGCAAAGTCGAGTGAGCCGGAGGGGTGGGAGAAGCTTTGGTGGGCAATCTCTGTCATCTCGCCACGGAGCGACCGGGAGAGCTTCTCCTGAATTTCCTTGACAGAGAGGTTTGTTTGAGCGAGTAGATAGGAGACTTTGGTGAGCGCCGCCTCAGCAGTCAAGTCGAGCCCAAAGATGACACCAGCTCGGCCGAGAACAGTACCGGGAGCATAAACGGGAGAGACAAAGCCATTGACACATTGACTAACATTTACAACGACAATGCCACGCTCAACAGCCGCCTTGATAATCTGCGTAAGACGACCCTCGGCACCGCCAGGGATGTTACCCATGCCAAATGTCTCAAGAATAAGACCACGGATATCGGGCAAGTGAAGTACAGCGTCGATCATCTCAGGCTTGATACCAGGAAACACGCGCAAACAGGCAACATGAGTAGTGTCAAGACCCTTGGTGACGTGAAACTTGGCAATCGAGGTTGGTCGTAGAACAAGAGGCCAATTGACACTGATGCCAAGGCCATTGACCTTGGCGATGGGCTCGCAGTTGGGGCTGGCAAAAGCCTCGAACTCTGTTGCTGACACCTTTGCGCTGCGGTTTCCACGGTACAGACGGTGGTGGAAGAATAGGCAGACTTCAGGAATGGTGAATGTTCCGGCGATGATGAGGGATCCTAATAAGTTGTCGACACCGTCGGATTGAAGTGCAAAGATGGGCGCCTGAGAGCCAGTGAGGATCACGGGCTTGCCCAGGTTCTCCATCATGAAGGAGAGCGCAGAGGCCGTGTAAGCGAGAGAGTCTGTTCCATGAAGGATGACGAAACCGTCAAATAGATGATAATTCTCTTGAACACATGAGGCCATAGCATCCCAATCGTGGGCGGAGATAGAGCTGGAATCTAGTAGAGGACTGAACTCGATGATACCATAGCGGACATGGCGATTGTATGCTGTAGCAGGAGTGCGAAGACTATCAATCTGGATCTTCTCTCCATCACGAACAGCGGGGAGCGTATCTAAATATTTGTCAGTGTGGTTCATTCAGAGTATTATTTCGTCTCATACCTGGATTTGAGAAGTCATTGAATGATGGGCGAGGAGCCATAGCATTCTCCAAGAAGTTGTCTGTTGGTTGAAGACCATCAGGGCCTTGCTGCATACAAATCGTTCCTCCTGTGCCGATGATAAGGACTCGAGACTCGGGGTAACTGGTCTCGGGAGCCTTCAAGGCAGGAGAGCCGTGAGAGCCTGTCTCACTCATTTTGAAAGTGTTAACAGTTGTATGGGAAGTGGTTGACCCGATAGTCTATCAATTGATATCAGTGATAGATAAGAGCTGATGTGAGGATAAGATAGCGACTCAGTCAGCGCATCAACGATTGGACTTTGAATAGAACGATTATCTCGAATAGAGATGAAGAAGAATAAATCACGATCAAGATGAGGAGAAGTGAAAATTTATCTACGGCACGCGCAACGTTAATAAGTAGGCAAACTAAACCTTGTGGACAAAGAAGCCATCAAGTGGATCCTCTCGAGGTTATGAAGGGGTAACAGAAACTCGATATCTCGCGGGGACTGGCGAGTAAGAGGCGATGATGTTTGGTGTATGCGATAGCCCACGGAGACTAAGTATTAAAGAGGAAAACTATTGGTGTGAAATCAAGGCCTGGAGTTGCACTGCTTGTTTGTCCTAAGCATTTTTAATACTGAATTGGTTAATGAGGGAAAATGGGATGTGGTATCTTTGATCTGGTGTTGATGATCAGTAAGAAGTGGCAGGGGATCAAGAGGATATCTTTACGGTGAACAGAGAGACTAGATTAATCCGGGCAGAGCAGATTGATATTTATTGAACATGTATCCAAAAACTAAATACATAAGTGACCTCATTAATGATCCAGATATCCCATCTTTCACCCCAGAGATCAAGATCTCCAAGATGCGGGGAGAATGAATAATAATTACTGGCACTGGCCATTACTTACTGGACGTGCGTGGGTTGGGCTGCATTTTTCGACACATCTTCTACAGGCAAAGGCTAGAACAATGTGGATTCCCTTCTATTTTGATGCTTCACAGCACCAGGGAATAGAGCGACCTCCGATTACGGGGCCCTACAATAATAGGGACTTGAGACGTTGGGCTGACGGTGAATTCGATCAAGGATAGTAACTTTAATAAATTAATGACATTCTTAAGATCTTCATACGACCAGGGCTGCCAGTAGATATGGTTAAACGAAACTTTCCGCGATATTCATGCTTTTTATGCTAACGTAGCGAGCTTTCACATGCCCAAATACCAAGTACAGGATGCTTCAGCCATAATATCAAGTAAACGGGTTTTCAAGGTCAAATCCAGCCATGGCTTTAGGTTGGTTATGTACTCAATCTCAATGGAATTTGTGGTCAATTCATGCACAGATACAAGTATGACGTACGCTCCAAGATCACAATCATTTTCTTGCCGCAAGACAATCGCAAAAAAAGTGAGAGGATCTCAACAATGACGATCATGAACCCAGATGATAAAATGGATCCAACAAACGCAAACGCAAGGGTCTGCAGGTACGTACCCTTGGAGCACCCATCCCTTCTCTCACCACTAAACTTCTTCTGGACATTCTGCCACGTTCCAGGCCTGACCGCCTTCGTGCGTCTCTCTAAACTCTCGTCTTGGCCTTATTGTAAAGTGCATTGACAATCAAGGACAATCAACCAACAAAACATCTATAATAGAAACCCCGCTCACTCTCCTTTTCAAAATACCAGCGCCGACTCTTCGACTCCTCCTTAGATATCAACCCAGAACCGCCAATCATTATTCAAACTTTTCCCGATGATTCACGATTAAGAGGCGATGCGAATCTTGTGAGAAGCCTCCCAGCCTCACTCACTCTTCTCGACGCGCGCATCGTCAACTCTTCGAGCAAACAACGACGCAGATAAGATGTCAGACTCGACGCCTGATGGCACTTCGCCTCGAACCTTTGCGCTCAACCACTTGAGACCAAAATCAAGTTTCAAGGGATGCTCCCGTATTTCCGACTATGAATTGTTGGGCAAGCTGGGAGAAGGAACCTTTGGGTACGAACCCCTTGGTCGGCGCATATATCGTCGATCATCGCAACCGAGCCGCGATCGCATATACTAACGAACATTCAGTGAGGTTCACCGCGCCCGCTTGCGCAAGACCGGCACACTTGTCGCCTTGAAAAAGATCATCATGCATCATGAAAAGGATGGCGTATGTCGACGCACCACCCCACCCAAGAACTACACTGACGATCACAAGTTTCCCATTACCGCCCTTCGCGAGATTAAGCTTCTCAAGCTCTTATCGCACAAGAACATCCTGAGGCTCGAGGACATGGCCATCGAGCACCCAACCAGACAGAGTGAGTGGACACGATTGCTCCTTGGTTGATTCAACTGACCAGCCCGTTCAGCCGATAAGCGCAAAAAGCCCATCGTATACATGGCCACTCCCTATATGGATCACGATCTTTCCGGTCTTCTCGATAACCCCTCGGTCCATTTCAAGGAGCCTCAAATCAAGTGCTACATGCTCCAACTGCTCGAAGGCCTGCGATACCTCCACGACAGCCGCATTCTGCACCGAGACATGAAAGCTGCCAACCTGCTCATCAACAACCAAGGTATCCTTCAGATTGCCGATTTCGGTCTCGCTCGACACTACGAAGGAGATGTTCCCAAGGCTGGTCAAGCCTACGGTCCAGGAAGGCGAGATTATACTGGTCTGGTGGTTACTCGATGGTACCGACCACCTGAGCTTTTGCTACAACTACGGCAATACACCCCCGCTATTGACGTTTGGGGAGTAGGGTAAGCGTGAATCTGAAATTCCCGATTCTTCTTGGTTCTAACAATCAATGCAGCTGTGTGTTAGGCGAGATGCTCTTCGGAAAGCCCATTCTGGCCGGCGAAAGTGACGCACATCAGCTTGACATGATCTGGGACTTGATGGGATCCCCTAATGAAGATAATATGCCCGGGTGGAAGCAGTTGCCTGGGGCTGATCATCTGTCCCCGCGGCCACGAACTGGCAACCTCCAGAACAGATTTAGAGAGTAAGTCTGCATGGGACAATCCTCAAGGTCCGGTCACTAATCTCGTCTTTAGGTACGGCTCAGGCGCGGTCTCGTTACTGAAAGAGCTTCTTAAGCTAGACTGGCGGACACGAATCAACGCAGTGGATGCCTTACAACACCCATGGTTCAAGATGGCGCCTCTACCGTTAGAGCCCCACGAGATTCCCGTTTATGAAGAAAGCCACGAGCTGGATAGAAGAAAGTTCCACGACCGCAAGGCTGCCTTGCCCCCTGCCCCCAAGGGTGGGACTGTAGGTATTGGCCCAGATGCGAAGGGCGCCACAGCGGGCTTCAACAGCAATGAGCCTTACGGAAATGGCCGTAATGGTGTGAACGGAGGCAGATACCGCAACGGACCAGATGAAAGGCGCCCCGCTTGGCAACGAGATCGAGGCGCCGGGTTACCGCCACGTCCACCTCCGAACGACGACGCGGACTATCGTGAGCGAGGACCCCCTCGTGGTAGAGGAGCACCTGGGCCAAGAGCCCCAGATGTCGACACGTACATACCCGCCTATAATCGGGATGACCCAGGTCGACGGAGGGACGACCGCCCTCCTCCACCACCCAGAGATGATCGTCGGCGCCGCAACAGCAGAGAAGACCGACGCTACGATAGAGACCGTGGCACCATCAGCCGCAGTAGGTCACCCAGGCATGATCGGTCAAGAGATCGAGACAGGCAAGACCGTGATAGGCCAGACCGTGATGCGTACCGGAGATAGGATCAAGCGTCAGCGATGCCGCCTCACGTGTACACAGGCCACAAACGGAACAAAGATCCAGTACCATCTCCAGGAGGGATGAGATTAGGACATGGATAGTACAGGCGTTTGAAGGCGAACAACCGAGACTAATCACATGTCGATTCGGGCATAGCAGGACATGGCGCAACGGATTGATACGACCCAAGTAAACAAGTAAGGAAGAAGAAGAATATCCTTGGAAAGGCTGAGTGTCTAGCATTATTACATGAGCGGCGCATGGTATCAGAGGATTTTGGCAGGTTGATCCTCTCGTCTAAGAACATATATTATGGGATTATCCATAGCGTAGAAGTTTGCAGCTGAGCTTTGATGTACTATAGCGCTTATACACGATCAATACTCTGAATCATCATCCTCCTCGTGAATGGTCTGCGATAGTAGGCCACCAGCTGGTCGGCGCCTTTGACTGGAAGAGTCAAGCCATTGCCAGTCGAGCTCAGTGCCTGAAGATTGCGAATCTCGTCGACTGCTGGTTTCGAGCAAACTGCCCTTAGTAGTTGACCCCCCGGAGTCGATATCGTCACTCTGCATTCCTAGGTAGGACGTGATGATGGATGAGAATATGGCCAGGCCGATGCCAGCCAAGATGCCGACGCCAGCTGCAGCACCAAACTAGAAGTTGTTAGATTGAGATGAGTCCACGTGAGTGTTGGCCTTACAAAAGTATACAGCGGCTATAGGATGTTAGTTAAATCTCAACTGACTCTCATGTGGCAACATACCTCTAAGCTAGCCAGAAACGCCCATACAGAACGCACGCCAGCAAGTGTGTAAGAGAAGAGGTAAATAGCCGGTGCAAACACAACGAGAAGAATGTTGAGGACAAATGACAAGGGTATGAGAATTAGGCGGAAAGGAAAGCTGATTATAGCGAAAAGCCGTGAGAAGAACCCTGACCAGTTGAAGGAGAAGAGGAAGCTGAATACAGCGACAACGATGTCGAATGCGAGTATGAATGGAGAGACTGTGGGTGAGGCTTGCTCTGATGTCGCTGCCACAATTGTGGAAGTTGGGAGTGACGATTCGGACATTTTGGTTAGAAGAGGTTGTGGTGTTGATGGTGAGTTGGGTGAGGTTGTCTAGGGAGGGAGGATCACATCACTACAGATATGGAAGAGTGATAGGGGCTAGATGAGGCAGCTCAGTATAAGGACGTGTCTATACGATAGTATTCTTGGAAGTGTCATGTGTTAATTAATGAATGTGCTGTAGTAAGTCAAGGCATGTTATAAGTTAGAGCTCCCTTGAGCTGTTGTAGATTGTGGAGGTATGGGAAGCTCAAGTCTTATCGAGATGCAATCCATTGGGTGGTTGGCTTGAACAGCTCTCAGTGGATACCTCATCGCTTGTCTTTTGGTGTTAGTGATGGCCAGTTAGCGACTTACACAATGAGCTTTGTGTTGCCCTGACTAGAAGTATCTAAAGACTGTCACCTATCAGACTCCCCACCACGGTTCAAACATCCCACCCGTTCTCTTAGGTTCCCTTCATCCATTACCATCATCAATCAATCTCTCAGGTCCATCTCCACCCCCGCGACCAACAAAGAACAAACTAAACGACACGACCGAAGCCACAACCCTTTCCACCAAACGAATCTAAGTCGACCATATTTTGGACACAAACATACAAACGAGCAAAAGCGCCGATTTCATCACCGACGCCAAAAATATTGCATCTGAATCATCATCACGCTACACCAGGACCCCGGATTTCGCACCAAGCCCTGCGGTGCCGCGTCAGGCTGTTTCTCGCTCGTCCTCCTCTTCTGGACCTCGACGTTCAATTGGCGCTGAGAGCGCACGTATACTATTTCCAACAATCGACGTAATCGACGAGATCTGCATCATCGAGTTTGACATGCCGTTTGTCATATTCCCGATAAGATACCGATAATCCGACCTTACCCCAACGCCATCATCACCAAGATCACACCCTCAAGTCGCAGAGCACATCCCTCGAAAGGGAGTAGGAGGTAGTAAACATGGGTAACAACCCGTCTTCGTCCTCCAAACCGACCACGCCGACAACCTCGGCTCCTGGTTCGGCCCACGGTCATCATCATGGCCATGAATCTCCCCGACATCATCTCCGGAAAGATGCCCGCAATATCATCACCGGTCACGCGCATCGCTCTGCCGCGCCTCCAGAGCCTTCTATGGCGCAAGCCCAAGGCTCAACCGTCATCAATCGACCAAAGAGCTTGCCTCCTACTGCTGTCTCGTCTCTGAGCGGCTCTCCTCATAGCAACTTCGCCGCTGTTCACAAGACTGCTTCTTCATCGGATGCTAAGGGCATCGCTGAGAAACATGCAGCTGGAACTCCTGAGCCTAAGCCTGCCGAGAGCAAACCCGCCGAGTCTAAACCTCAGTACCGCGACGAACCTACCAAGCCTGTCGATGTGCCTATGGAGTCTTCTTCTCTTCGATCACACCAACCCGCTCACGTAAATGACACAGCTCTTATTCCCAATAGCAGCATCACGGATATGTATCTGACTCGGCCCCCGCGCTTACCCCTCCCTATCGATGAGGAGGTTCACACCCCTGGATCACCTATTTTGGCACCAGAGTCAGATCTGTCGATACCTGATATTGAGCCTATTGACTCGGACACCATCACACGCAAGAGTTCTGCCCTCAGTGCTACTACAGTTGATGAAGAGGATGGTGAGGAGCTGCGGGTTGATAAGACGAGACCTGTCGTTCAGACCAAGCTGGAGTGGCTGAGCGGAGGTGACAAGGTTTATGTGACAGGTACCATCTTTCAATGGAATCGCAAGCAACGATTGCATCCCATGTAAGTGCCACGATGTTATTTATCCTTCCTTCTCTAAGACATGGGTCGATCACTACGCCGTCTGTGTTTCTGTGGCTGCTTTGTGGTCTCAGATGACTGTCGCACACGATTCGTCCAGCCTGCGATAAGGATATGGCCCATATGGAGTCGAGATATAGTTGCTGACATATTACCTATCTAGCGAGGGTCGTCCTGGTTGTTTCTCGACAACAGTCTATGTTCTTCCAGGTACACACCATGTCCGCTTCCTGGTGGACGGTATCATGCAGACATCTCCTGATCTGCCAACCACCGTCGACTTTGGCAACAACCTTGTCAACTATATCGAAGTGAGCCCCGACGATGCTCACAAGAAGCAAGTTCCTGCATCTCCTGCCGGCCCCCAAGCCGAGGCTCAAGTTGCCGCTGCTGCTCAGACAGTCTCACAAGCTCAGGAGAAAGCTTCGAAACCACCGCCCCAGCCAAAGGGCAAGCCCGTGCCCCCTCCAGAATCGTACCGAAGCCAGATTCCACAGTACCTGGTGGACTTTGATCAAGCCGAGGATTCGCAAGCATACCAGTATGCTGTCAATGCCATTGAGAGGCTACCAAATCCTCCTGCGCTACCAGGTTTCCTGAGCAAGCCTATCTTAAATGCGGCGACCCTTATGAAAGATGACAACAGTGTGCTCAACATGCCAAACCATACGATTCTAAATCATCTTGCCACTAGCAGCATCAAGAACAACATTCTTGCTGTTTCAGCTACTACTCGATACAGAAATAAGGTATGTCTGCTATGCGAAGTGCCAAAAGAAAGGATGATGCTTACCCGATGCAGTATGTCACAACAATCGTCTACAAGCCCACATCCTCAGATGATTGATAAGACACGATGGACGAACATAATGATTGGGTCATGAGTCAGAACCCCCTATGCCTTGGGCCTGCTTTCAGACATGCGGGCTTGGGTTACGATGTGATGTTGAATGCTTGCTATGTATTAGAGGTCTGGGAGATAAACAAGGATTGGCTGTCTAGTATTCTTAGTTTTGATTGAGGAGCAGTGGTGACGAGTTACATAGTGATGGCGACATGAGCTGAGAATAACGAGGGATGTCAAGGATTCTTGACGCCATGATGAAGCTCATGCGGGGAAGCTCATGGATCAGCTTCAGCAAATACACATAAACATATCTGACGATTACAACTTCTTATGATCTTGCTCATTTTTATTATTGGCAGAGAGGTTCAGTCTCTCCATTTGATAAAGACCTCATCAGTTCTGAATCTCTGTGTACATGTACTCTCCTCCAAAGACGTCCTAAACCCTGTCTCATAAGCCAACAAACCAGCGTGCGCAATCATGATTCCGTTATCGATGCAGAATCTCTCATCGGTAGCATAAACCGATCCTCCTCGCTCCCTTGCCATATGTCCCATCATCTCCTGCAACCTCTCATTACATCCTACGCCTCCCACAATGAGGACCTGCGACGACCCGACGTGAGCCATAGCCCGCTCTGTGATCTCCACCAACATCGCGAATACTGTCTCTTGTAGTGAGAAACATAAATCTTCTGGTGTGAAATCCGCGCCGGCCTTCATCTGTGCAGCGAGTGCATCCGCCGAAGCTAGAATTCCAGAGAACGAACAGTCCATGCCCTTGACTGCGTAGGGGATATCGAGGAGCTTGCTCCCCTTCTTGGCGAGTTGTTCGATGTTATATCCCGGTGCGGGATCGTTGCTGATTTCTAATGTGCGAGCGAACCGATCGAGACAGTTTCCAACTGCTATATCAAGTGTTTCGCCAAATATCCTGTATCGCTGCTCGGCATACGCAATTACCTGCGAATTACCACCCGAAACGTATAACACAACCGGGTTATCAGCACCAGTGATATATCTCCCCATCTCGATATGTCCCACGCAATGATTCACGCCAACGAGGGGTCTATCCCAGAGTAAACTCAATGCTCTAGCCGCAACAGCAACAGAGTTCAGCGGGGCGCCCATACCCGGGCCCTTCGTGTAGCAGATACAATCGACATCTTTGGGAGTGATTTTCGCTTCGGCGAGGGCTTCGCGTGCGAGACGGACAAAGTGGGCGCGGTGGTGGGCTGCTGTGTCTTTGGGGAGGAAGCCTGTTCCCGGAGGGGAGACGAAGGTGTCGCGGAGGTTGGAGAGGATTTTTGTCTCGGTGGGAGTGTGAAGAATGACACCTATGCCGAGCTTGTTGGCAGAGCCTTCGCAGCCGAGCGCAATGTAGGAGGGTTTGTCTTTGAAGGCCATTTTGTATGTGAGGTTGAAGATGGGAAGTTTAAAGGTGGGGGTATCGAGATGATGGTGTTGATGCCACTGCCTACGCTGGATGGACGTTGTCAACTTTACTATCAGGGTTTTAAACAGAAATACAGGAGAACATAGAAACAGTATAATTATTATTAAAACTATATTTCAAAGAAACCGCAAACGTTGACTCAGTGGTGTCAAGAAAGCAATAAGTAGACGTCTAATCGATAGAGGGGCAGATCTGATCTCGGCCAGGCTTTACTGAGAACAAGGGCAGGTTTGTAAAGCCCCTCGCTTAGCACCCTGTATATCCATCCCACAGTGAGTGTCCCAACGGGCACCAGGCGTCATCACCAGCCACAATTTCTCTCGTTTCCGTAGCGGACGGGAGGCTCCGATTTACAATTTTCAGGGTCCAGCTAAACCGTGAACAGCAACGGTACATAAAACTCCGTAACCAGGGCAGATCTTTTTTACTGTAACAGTGGTGATCAACAAAACAAAATATACAACTGTGTGAGAACTGAATCATGAAGAATGTATCAGTAATGCAATAACAAGAATATTAGATCCAACAACTTCACACTTATCAATGAGATGAGCTACTTTAGACCATCATGCAAGTTTTTTTTCTGCATCTTTTCTCTTTGGCACCAGCCACGTTGTCTCCATAAAATGCTTCTACTGTGGCTAAAAGATGTGTAAATCCACAACACCCGGTTCGCCGGCCACTTTTCCTTCACCCGCAGCCCGCCCTCCACTCTAAAGCCTCCTCTATCACTCGCATTTCGCACTCGACAGCTTTTCCCACTGCCCCATACCATTAAATCACTATCCCAGGGGGCATACGCTTCTCCCCGTGGCACTGGCAGGTATATTGCTCTTTGTTTCGAGTTTCTTTCTCGCTTATACTTTACGTGGCCCCTGCTAATATGACATCCGTATCAGCTTGTCCTCTCGTCTAAGCTTGGTCACCTTTTACAGCACGGCACCATGATCATGCAACATCTCCTCTTCTACGACACAGTCAACACGACTGTACACTCTCTTTATTTCTTCTGAAGGGCTTGCCATTACGATTATATCGTCAAGTTTGCACTCGCTGTTGACGGTATATCAGATCCCGATACTACAGAGCTTCCCCTCAGCCTCCAACAAGACAGCGCATGATCACCTTACAACGCAACGACGATCTCTCCGGTTACAGCCAAGACATACGATTCACGACAGCTGGGAAGAGGCAGCATCATCATTTTGGTCTAAAAGCTGACCGTTGTTCTTTTTTTCATTTTATCTCGACCTGGGCCGCAGAATGTTCTTTCACTTCAAAACCCGAATAACCACCACCCGCTCCGAAACTCCTTGCAATGCCCTGGTCAACGACTAAATAATACACGATCCCCCCTCTGTCTGCCGAGGGCTCATCGACTTTGCCCAGCAGTCCGCCGTCCGTTCTGCCAATATTTCTGGGGTATAAAACAAACATCCGCCATATTCATACAATTCACTACCCGCGGTACGCTTACGGTACCGTCTGGGCTGCTTGAGCTTGTGCTTGTGCAACCGCCGCCGCTTTAGCTTGCGCTTTCATCGCCAGATGTGCTTGTGCTGCCGCTTGAGCATGGGCTTGAGCATGCGCATGCGCCGCCGCTTGTGCTGCTGCTGGCGATGGCAGTACTCTGTTACCTGCTTGTGCTTGGGCTGCTACCACAGCATCTGGTGGTACTGCTGGGCGTCCTCTAAACATGTATGGATTCAACGGAATCGTTGCCCGGAACTTCAATGCTCGGGTATCAAAGGGATCAACCTCATACACAGGCGGCTCATCGTCATCTGAATCCGAGTCGTACCTCCACCGATCCGACATCTCACCATGTTCCGGCGGTGGCGTCACCATACCTCTTCGATCAATCCACAATCGATTCAGTCGACCAATGCGTCGACGGAACGAAGGTTGGCTACCCTTGGAAGGCTCATTTGATCCAGCAGAAAACTGGAAGACAGGTGTCTCACGTTTGTCCACTTGCGTGGCATCAGGTATGTGTGTGTCCACTTCCATTTCTGACGACGTGGAAGCCGGGGGTGTCATCAAGTACTGCGTCTTAGCTTGTCGGAACTTGACTTCTGTGCCCTGTTCCTTGACTGGCGAGAGCGGCTCCCCAGTTAGGTCAATATGGTTATGGTTCCACTTCCGGTGATTCTGGACCTTCATTTCTATGTCAAGTCGAAGTTCATTCTCCTTCTCTGCCAGCTTGTCTGACAACAAGACAAGATCGGCATCAAGCGTTCTTCCATCAGACCGTACAGGTTGCCGCAAGTGGGCACCGGTTGGCTGTCGGATAACTGGGGGCTCTGCAGGCTTGCGTTTCTGAGGCTACAAAGAGAGTTAGCATCCAAGGAGCGGAACAGTCTCTCGCATTGCGAGCATTGGTTTGGCGTACCTTTTGATTGACGAGATCCTCGTCCTCGCCTTTGATGCCCAGACGAAGTTTGGTTTCCTTGAGTCTTGCCCTTTCTTCAAACAGAGCACGGTCCATCGACATGAGTTCTCGCTTCAACATTTCACGTTCATATGCGACAAGTACCAATTGCCGGCCATCCTCAAGTTCTCGTCGCAACTTCTTGAGTGTTTCTGCGATTTTGTTGTCACGAGCTCTGGTCTTTCGAGTCTGGCGTGCCTCGCGTCGTCTGAAACAGACGAAGGGATCCGTGTCATCAGTCTCCTGATGAGTCTCAAACTTGAGAGTGGGATGCAATGGCTTATTGCCAGCCTCCTGTCGCCTTGACTTCCAGTATTCGTATACTGGCTTAGCGTGTTGAAGGATAGCCGGCGACCCAAGTTCGTGAAGTGCAGGTACCATCATGTCATAGGCGGCAACGGTATTATCGACTGCTGCAAATGGTGTCTGCTCCGCTGCCGTGTCTTCGAACACCTCCATGATGCGTTCAAAGTCATCCTCAGAAAGTGCACCGGCAGCGGGTGGTTTACTATTATACTGTTTGAGAAACTCATCGTCCTCGGTGGTCATGTCATAGAGACATGATATACACTCTTCAACTGTTTGTGAAAAACGGATGTAAGAGGAGGGTTTGTGAAAAGGGACAGGATAGAGCTCATCATAGTTGATGTCGCTCTCCTGGGGAGGCGGAACAGGAATTTCTTGATCATTGCTGGTTCCTGCCTCCTTGAGGATGGTTTGAAGATGGTATTCCTATTGAGAATGTTAGTATGAGGTCGAGGCTAGGAAATGGACTGCTTGTTGTTGGATGATAGTACCATCCAATCACAGCAAGCCAGGGATGGGGTGAGGAAACATATCACGTGAACAAACACGTGATATCATGATATGTGGCAGAACAAAGAGATGACTCACGTTTTCCTCGGCCTGCTCGACACCGGTCGCGATTTGATTATCGGTCGTTAAAGCTTCATACTCGCTCGGATCGATCTGGTCTTCGCGAAGAACTGGAAGCGTCGTCTTGACGTTCAACTTCTTGACGCGGACTTTGCGTGATGACATGATGCCAGGGGGTTGGAGGGAGGTGGGAGAGAGAGGCGGTCAGGCGGCGGAAAAACCGCGAAAAAAAGCGATCAAGTCATAAAACGAGTACTTCTAAGTTGATTTTGGACAAAGAATTAATGGAAAAGGTGCTGTTGTAGTCTTTTTCGATGGCAGCGTGGTCGGGCTCGATGGGGTGACGTTGGGGTTTGTTTTGGCGCGTAAAGATTTTTCTCTGCTGCTGCCCGGAGTTTTTGGCAAGGGAGAGTCAATGAATGGCTAGAGAGGGAACGGTAGAGTTTGATGACGGTGTGCTGATGGGAGGGGTCGAGGTCACTTCGCACGTTATCTTTGCGGGCGAGGTACCTATGACGCTTGGACCACTGCCTCCTTTTTTTTGGGGCCGCACTTTCCTTCCGTTTGGTACGGAAGCTCATGGTTTGTTTTGCTGGGAACGTGCATTTTAGTGGTAAGTGCCCCGTAATAGCGCTTGCTTTTAGTGAGGTAAGCACTGAAAGGGTAGGAACGTTTGGTTGCTGGCTCGACAACTACGTATCAGACGGTCTTTGACAAAACGGTGAGTTGTGTAAGCTTTCATGTTGAAGTTCATATAGATATTTCTTGAATTTTATCATTTTTTTGCCTTTTGGTATCCTTTAATATGAGAATTTCTCTTAGCGAAACTGTATTCTTTGGTTGTACCTTCAATCAATCCAAGTTTCAGTTGCTGACCGTGACACAAATATCAACATGGAAGGTGCACCGTAAGGATAACGGAAGCCATTCAAGAGGTCCTGCTTCTTGAGGTGTCGCCGCCCCGCAAAGTAATTACCCCTCTGCGCACTTGCCCCTTTGCGCAGAAGATCGGTCTAGAATTACCTAAACTTAGCGATAGTGACAGTGAGACCTCACTTCAGCCTTATCACCAACATTTGGACAACAGCACAATACAGCTTGTTTATAACCCACCGACGCTCCCTCGCCACAACCTAACCCAACCCGAAACAAACTTCCACACTCCAATCCACGACATTACTCTACGTTGCCAAAATGGGCAACACCACCAGCGCAGTCCTGGACAACCTCGTCCAAGGATCCAACTGTGAGCCTTGCCCTGGCCCCTTGGAAGCCCTGACCCCTCAACGCGAACGCACGGTTGGGGGAGGGATGATGGAGTGAAACATATACTGAGATGTACGGTTTCTAGTCGACAGAGAGGAAGTTGATCGTCTGCGAAAGCGATTCATGAAGCTGGACAAGGTGCGCAAGCTCTCCGACTTTTTGGTCCTTTGTCATGTCGGATGATGCGCATGGCTAGGACTTTCACAAGCACAATGGACATGAAGAGCTGACTTGGGACTTCTTAGGATAACTCCGGCACGATCGAACGCGACGAATTCCTCAGTCTTCCCCAGATCTCGTCCAACCCCCTGGCAACACGGTCCGTCCAAGCTTCTTCATACCTCTCGCCAATTAGCTAACTCAGCTACAACAGAATGATCGCCATTTTCGACGAAGATGGTGGCGGTGACGTCGATTTCCAAGAATTCGTAACAGGTCTTTCAGCTTTCAGCAGCAAGGGAAACAAGGAACAGAAGCTTCAGTTCGCCTTCAAGGTCTACGACATTGACCGTGATGGTTACATCAGTAACGGAGAGCTATTCATTGTCCTCAAGATGATGGTCGGCAGCAACCTTAAGGATCAGCAGCTGCAGCAGATTGTGGACAAGACTATCATGGAGGCCGATCTCGACAAGGACGGCAAGATTAGCTTTGAGGAGTTCACCAAGATGGTTGAGTCGACTGACATCAGCATGAGCATGACTGTTGGTAAGTTGTTTGAGGCTACAGTTACGTCTGCTTCGGCGATGAGTTATGCCGTCGTGATTGGCAACTGGGACTTGGGTGGTTTATCAGACGCTGACATGATATTACAGACCAGTTCTAAGCGATCGCCCACAGAAGGGTGCATACAGGGTAGGAGAGTAAAGGGTTCATCATTGCCATGGACTTACACGGTCCATAGCCCTACGAGGGCTGCCGGTGGAAATGGATGAGGGAGATGGGGTTGGAACACCTAGCGAATCTACACATCATTACGATCATGAATTCACGCATTCTGTTTTGTTGACCGACAGACTAGTGTTACCTCTGCTCAGCTTATGACAAGCTAATAACTCAGTATATTCGAATGCTCGCTTGGGTATGATATCTCATCAGCGTAAGGGGGTTTTACAGCTCTCTGAAACTCCCCATGCCTACGACTTGCATGGCGACCGTCTTGACTTTGTCCGCTCTCGAGACGAAGACAAAAGCGTCGGTTCATAGGGGGCTACTATCAGTGTGAACTTCAAGCCTAAAGGCATGAATGATTCGCTTCTTCATCTTCAGCTCATTCATTAGACCATTATTGAATTCGGCAGTTTATTCACCCTAATGAATTATAGCTCCACGGGTTTCTTGATTACTTACCAAGGGTAATAGAGTGCTGCTAATATCAAATTCATACAAAAGGCCATCGATAGAGACTCATATTTTCCTAGGTTACAACCTGGATTCGGACAGTTCGGGCATGTTGCTCATCGAGACCTCTCTCAGTACCGTGCAGAATCACATCAACGCCATATCACTTTATCACGTTCAACTTGGTAGGAATAACGGTCTTTGGAAGGGCGACCGCGAGATCTTTTTCTGAAATTGTTTGAATCTAATATGTCAGCATCCCAGGAGAGTGCGCGATCAAGTCTTGTGTGGGAAGTCATATCATTCCCACAAATCCATTTTACCCTGCGTCTATGAATGAGACTCAATTTACTCATGATCTCTAACAGGGCCGTTCCTATATTATTCTAAAGTTGGAATATATGCCAGAGCTGGAAAAGACTATTGTCTGTTGCCTCTCAAAGCGACCATGCAACGCCATCCAGGCGGGAGTCGGAATATGCTCTCGCTCAGGGCGCATTTGCACAAGATAATTACATCAGCAAACTCTAACACTTTACGACACTCTGAATACGATTAAGATAAACGTGCCGCGACGGCTATGACGGATATAAAGCCGTGCCGAACGCGTGGCTGAGGCCCCTTTTTCGGTATGCTCGGACGACTTCAACATCGTCCAACCATATATATACTTTACAGGGGCCGCACGTCTTGGGTGAAACTCAAAACATGCGCCTCGTAGCCTTGACGAGGCTGATGTTCGTTTTCGCAGAACATGGCAGGGCTTGCAAAGGCCATGAGGAAACAAGGCTATGCGACGCTCATGGGGAGAAAGTTCAGAAGTAGGTTATACTTGCCAAATTCAAGTCGTGATGTTCCTCTGTTTGGATATCCCCGGTGGTGAGACAGGGTGCATCATGTCCACCATGTCCATATCCAACGACACACCCTCTTGAGTGACATCGAGTTCCTCATGTTTTAGCCCCGAGTCATAGCGGACGTTGCCGGTCGATCCCCGGCGTCGGGTCGGGGCTGCATCATGAACCGCAGCAGCGCCCCCACGTCTCGGACCTCGATGTGATGGAATTCAATATGAATGCCGATAATTGTCGGGTTTCGCGTTTCACTTGCTGATATGTCTGGCCTCAAAAGTGTCAAGAATGCTATAGATGGCTTGTTATACCAACCCTTTCCAAGAAAAGGATTCCATGTCTCACAACACCCCAGAAATCTCGGGAGCTATCAGGATACCGGGACCGGGGTGACCGGAGGATCGGTATTGTAGCACGGCTGGTGAAGATCCGGGGCATGAGGATCCATGTCTGGAGGCTTGCTTGCATCCTTGACAAGCTCATCACACCTCAAGATACGGGCGCACAAACAAGCCCTCGGCAGCTGACTCGATGTTGCACGAAACCTTAGCTGCATGTCTCGAACAGCATGCAACCTTTCAATGCGAGTTGTTCAGGTATTGGGCTGTCATAATGATGAGGCTAACGAAACGAAATTGTTTCGCTGGGAATTAGTCTTGGTTGTCGATCAGGATGTAACCCTACCTCTAGAGGAACATGGATATATCTTGAATATTCAAAGTGGGTTAGGTCGTTTTGTTGGACTAGACAATTGTTTAGTTTGGTTTCGTTTTGTTCCCTCGTCAAATCTCCCTTTGTTATCTCCAGGAAGCAGAGGGGTGTAAGTTGAGGTTGGTATAAAATGACCTGTCATATTCGGATTTTAGTGTCGTCGAAATTCCGGCTGGCTGGGACGGCGAACAGACGTCCCTGTTTGTGTTAGGGGGCGTTAGAAATCCGATAGACGAATCGCGGGAGACAAATGCCGGGATTTGATTCGTGATCTGTCGCCAAATGCAGACGGTGTGTAAGTATTGAGCCGATCAGATCTGATACCGCTGGTTAGCGACAATAGTCGCGCCACCACACTAGATGACATTATTGGCGTGATCGACGAGGGAGGCATCTTAGACATGTCTTTTGGCACTTTCACGTCTCCATTCTTGAAGAGTGGCGCACGTCAGGGTTGTGTTGTGTATGCATAGGTCAGCCATGGTCTCAGCTCTCGAGACAAACCCCAAAGCTGAGGAATTACTATGTTGAACAGTCTGTCAAATTCGCCTATTGGTTACCAGCATCCGCTCAGCTGGAACACCAAACACAACTAACCCCCACAAATTGCGGCACAGGCACGCCAACAATACGGCGCAGTCAATGAATTACATGGATAGTGTTTATGGTGTTTTCTTTTGTTCATCAATTGTCCAGCTGACTTCAGGCGTCGGTAGCCAAGAAAAGAAAGATGCTCGAGGGAGACCAGAGGGTGAGCTAATGCCCAACGATTCAGCGGTCAGGCGAAGTCCTGTGGAGTTGAGCTTGATAAAGAGTGTCGGTTGTTTTCATCCGCTGCCTGCAGCGGAACAGACGGAACAGAAAGACCACGACGGCTGGAAGACACGGCGAGACTTGGAAACGCCGCGATTCAAAAGGGGTCAATTAGGTTAGGCCCAGTCAAGTCTAGCTACTTGGGAATGGATGCATCGAGAGGTCAGATGATGCAAATGATGGAGGCGAGTTGATGCCCGATGCATGATGCATGATACTTGCTATGCTGAACTGGGGCGGTCTCAGAGATGGATGGATGACACATCAAACAGCCCAATTCTTGCCGCTAAGAAGTAATGGTACAGCGTGTAAAGTCAACGTCAAAAAGGGCGGGGTTTCAATTAGGCGTCGGTGTCATTAGGCTCTAAGGTGAGGGCATTCATGCATCTCTCGAGATGTTTCCCTGTTGTTGCGATCTGTTTCCCCATTAGAAGCAGTTGCCGTGTCAGAGCGTCAGCTGCGATTCGACAATAATGTTTCAGCCTCATTTGGATTGCGTTGCATCGCATCAGCGAGGGGCAACGTGATCGACGTTGGGGCGTTCACAGCCGTTGGACCTCAAGGCTCAAGCCCCAAATCCTTCCATGATTGTGGCGAGTGAGTACGTGATCGAGTGATTGGGCTGATATTGGGTAGGGCGACATGAACAGAGCGATAATCTTGCGCCTTTTTGATGCTATGTTAGGCATCGGCCAAGTCGAGATACTGGAAGGGGAATTGCTGGTGATGGTTCCCGAGCAAGTCAGGCGGGGTGCAGCAATTGGCTGGAGAATTCGGATGAAGCAGAAATGCAGCTAAATCGTGACTGTGACAAAAAGAAACGAATCATGTTTGTCAATGCGGATGCGCCTCCACGCTTTTGGTTTACTAGAGTCGATTGCGTTACTGTAGAGTAAAGCTGATCCGTAAAAGAAGAAGAAAAGTTGGATGTAAAGAAGAAAAGAGAAGCGAGGGTATCCCCGCTCTTAAGAGCGCAAGTATAGGTAGGAGGGGTCCATCCAGCTCAGTTCAGTCCGCCTCGTTCTTTCCTCACTAAACCCGGCTGAGTTTGGGCAACTCGAAAAGGTCCAAAGGAAGAGAGAGAATTGGGTGTAAGTGAAAGTCCGTTCGCGACTATTATCCAGTCTAACAAGTCACTAGGTTTCGAGGACACGTCAGTAGAATATGGATTATCATCTGATCCTGCCTATCTTTGACTGGTCACGTCGCTATTATTAGTGTTGCCAGATAAAGAGTTTACTGGAGATAGACTGGGCTCAACTCAATCAACTAGTAGATTTCGAAACAAAAGGTTTATTTGGTTGGTAAAACACAACTGCCGAGGACTGTGTTGCAGCTGACCAGTCATCTGTCATTGTAACTGCAACCAACTGCATCACTTATGTATGTACCTGTGTGTAAGCCCCCCTAAGAACTACCTTAGTCGAAATACCGTTGTTACCAATCGTCCATCTCTCGCATGCTTGAATCGAAACCCCTTGTGGCATTCGTGGCTCTGTCCTGGCAAGGATATGCTTGATATCTTTGTTAGCAGAGCGGAACAGAGACTCCTCAGTAACATCCAGAGAGGAGATGCTGTGCCGTGTTACTCCCTCCACTGATTGATGATCACCAAAACAGAGCAAAATCTAGATCTCCGGGAATCTCCCGAATGTAACTGAGCAATAATGTCATCCCTTCCCAAGCCTAATGATGATGGTGATATGTTATTTGCTTTTTATGTCACTTTCTTTTTTGGCTTCATGTCTTCTCAGCCACGGTGGATTACATGCTCCATGTCAACTTATGGATGTCCTGTCAAGCAGAACCTGGTACATAGCCCCCACTTGACTCGCGTAATCTTTCACAACTCACACACCCCCAAGCCACACACTGTCCATTGGCTCACAGCGACCGGGTAGGGCAGACGCCTCTTGTTTTGAAGTGCTTGTACCTGCATAAGAAGCCACTTTTGCGGGAAGACAACCGACTCGACTTTGTACCAGGTACGTATCGTTTCGCCATGACACTGTTGCACCTATGCACATGAAAATGTAAATGCGAATGCGCCTCTCTCTTGCAGCGAAGCTCGGCTCGGCTCAGCTTCACAAAGCGCCCAACTTTGACAGGCCAGAGAATTTCTTTTGCCAGCAGAGAAAACTGGACTTGGCTGGTTGACAATGTTTCTTCTTTTGTTTCAGAGACTGAAGAGGAAAGTCATCATGCATGAGTGCATGCGTGTGTGTGAGATGCATTAGGCTGCGCCTCTCCTGTGTAACCAACCTCGTCCTTCATAAATGCGGCCTATAATTAACAAAGACGCACGGGACATGTCGGTGAACTCAACAAAGTCACCGAGTTATCTGTCGGTGAGTTGATGTGTTGTTGGCGGTTCTGCACTCATCAGCCATGAAGAAAGAAGCTCAACATGAAAATAAACTAGGGCGAGTTTAAGGCAGCCATGTTCAGTGAAAGGAGCTGTCAGATTGGTAATTATTTAGCGTTTGAGTACGCCATATGAACTCAACCTCCACAACGCCAGCCACTCCCGTGCATACGTCAACAACATCAACAACAGGGAACATAGACAGATGACATCCACAGTCGGAGACATGCCCAAGAAAACCACATTCAGTAAAGCTGCTCTTCGATATTCAAGATAAATCTGTCGATAACCCACTTGGAACAAAAGCTTAGGTACCAAAAAGCACTCGCCTAACCATCAAAACCTCAGCCATCATCTTTTTTTTCCCCTTATACTGCACATGTTGTCACTGAAGACTAACCAGCCTATAATATTCGCAGGGATCAAACTCAGCCCGCTTTCTCTCGCAAGCAATACCCTTCAGGAATAACCCCGATGGCAACTCCCGTTTCTTTAACTACGGATACTACAGTAGAGTAGGTAACTAATTAACCCCTGGCCTGGTATTGATCCCCCCTGTTTTGTCGCTTGTCCTGTCTTGTCAGGTCTTGTCCTTCAAATTCTTAGGGCGGCCCCTCTCACTTACATGGGTCTCTTGTCACTTTTCTAGACGAGGCGCCATCACATCCATTCCCATATCCATCCATCGATCTGCTTGTCAATCCTCTCCTTGGTTAGTTAATAACATTGCGGGGGCCAAGCTCCTAGAGTCTACGTACCTCACCGACCTATGCTACGGATGTTAATCCATTCCATTGGAGCCAATTGTAAGCTGGTAACATTGGGCACAAATCACCACACCGTAAAGTTCTCCCTGCTATGGCTATGGCCATGCCAATTCATTCACTTTCACAATTTGTAATGCCTAATAAAAGCACTCCTCAGTAACAGTACAATTCTATCAGCTTCTATTCAAAAATGCGTCTCATCCTGGTATTCCCATTCATCTAACATAGCTGGCAAGCCCGCGAGGTTCTTCCAGTCCCACTCTTTTTGCCCGCCCTCCTAAATGCTGTAAACCCATGACCGCAGACTTTCTCTAACTCAAAGCAAGGCTCGGTAATAATAGTACAGTGCTGCCAAGTCTATCTTGGAAGCCTGATGAGAAAAGAAGAAGAGAAAGAGAAAATATGAAACCCAGCCCAACCCAACCCAACCCTGACCTGACCTTTGCTCCAACCACAGCAAGGCAACTTGATGCAAGTCTGAACGCCTTTCCCCGAAATCATTATCCACGCGCCCTTCGGTGTCAAACCCTTATCCATTTGCCTCTGCAATGACCAGCAATGTATCCCATACCCGTATAATACATAGAGTATTGACCATACCCTCTTTTCCATTGAACCCCGCGATGCAATCATGATTGTAGTAATCCTATGCCTTCGTACACTGCCAGCAAATGGTGGGAGAAAGTCTGGCAAAAACAACATAAAAGGAAACTCGTGAACAGCCCGTTGGGCTTACCATACATGACATCAACCCAAGTCGTAAAGTGCGAGTGACGAGGGGGTAAGCATAATACGCAACAAAACGATCGATACATCGACGCGTGAAAATAAAACAGTTGTGAAGCGCAACGAAAACAGCAGATCCCTTATTGCAGCTGGCGCTCAATACAGTGGCGCAATGCGGGCATTGGGCCGCGATGCCTGAATTTTGAACGCAAATATCGGTGTCAAAAATGAGCCGTGTGTGTGAGACATGTGTTTGAGTCCTTGTGCAGTGTTAACTGTGTGCGTTATCGGTTGCCGCTGTCACTGCCTTCTTCTGAAGCATCGTATAAATCCAGACAGTCTTCGAGAACTGCACGCACATGTTAGCGAATCCGGTCAGACTCTCTGGGTGGGACTGCATGTGCTCACCAGCAGTTATTTGATCTTCCCATACTCCATATTGATAGTCCACCAGGCCATGGCGCTCAATACCGTCACATAGCCTTATTAGTTCGTTTCCCATCTTTTTAATCATAGCTTTTGGAACCAGACTTTGCGTTCTTGAAAGTTGTTGAGATGAAGTCATTAGATCAATTTGGCGCTGGCCTAATCCGAGCCAAGCGTGGTTGAAGTCGTTCCACAGTTGAATACGATCAGCATGGAGGTTGGTATCGTCAAGATTAAGGCCTGGGAACGCAACAGTGGTTAGCTCCGGCTTTCTTCTGTTCCCCTCCACGATTCCATAGACAGTGTAATACATACCTAGATCTGCGACCTGAGACAACAGCCAGCTAGTGACGCTAAGCAATGTCTCAGACGCACTCTCAAGAGATCCATTCACTATCTCCTGAAATATGCTCCCTAGCTGCCTCTGGTAACTGACCCATTTCTCCTCGAGGGCGCCTTCTGCATAGTCGTGGTCGTCTGTCATTGAAACATCGGCGGTGTTTGTTGCCTGCGGCATTGCGCTCACAGTGGACATGCTGTTGCTCGCATAATTCATGGCATTGCTTTGCTGATAAACATTCGCGGATCCGCTTGAGCCCTGCGCCGGTTGCTGTAGACTCGGGCCAGCTGAGGCTCCAGTCTCAGACCCAAAGTAGCTCGAGGCGACGTCTGGTGGCATCATTTGCATAGCTGCAGGTTGCCGCGAGCTGAATTGCTGCGCATCGTAAACTGTGTTTTGCGTGCTCGGTTGGCCAACGTTATACATCATCGTAGCTGCGGTACTGTAGCCGCCAAAGCCTTGCGCTTGGCGAGAGTCGTGGCCGTACTCAGAGCCATAAGCTATAGCTGTGCCAGGCATATTTGCCGTCGAGAACGATGGACTAGATTCTGAATAGTAGCTACTGTAGTTACCCGGAGCTCCCATGCCTCGCCCTGACGATGAAGGGCCAGCAAGGGATGCAGGGCGATATCTGTCGTTGGAAATTCCAGCGAGCGAACGGCGCTGTTGTGACGGATCGTTAAGTGAGTATCTCTGATTGGGGTTCGAATGGACCGGCGGTTCATTCTGCCTCCTCATACGGTTCGAGTCGTCCATGCCCCGAAGACCTTCGATACCACACGACCCTGCTGTCGGTCCCAGCTGATGGGTGGTCGGCAACGCTGGTGACTGTAAGGCAGCCAGTTTCAATGTCCCGGAATAGTTACACAATAAACGGTGCTGTATCAACGGGGAGGAAAGGGTATCCTTTTAAAACAAAATGATGTGGTTGCAAATATGTGACGGAACTGTGTTGTTGATAGTGCTGGAGGGGTCACCGCGGGGTTGCTGAAGAGGTGAAGTCCACAGTGGGAGTAGTCGCGATGATCGATAGTCGGGGGGTGTGGTGAGGCAGGGAATGGATGGCTAGCTGGGGAAGATAGTAGTCGAGTTGAGAGATCAAACGGCTCTGCAAGCAGGGTGCCGCCGGCCTATTATTCGCAAACAAAACACAGCGGTTTACTGATCAGGCAAGAGAGCTGATGGCTCAGCCGGGGATCTGGGTAGCAACGTAGTTTATCAAGTCGACTCCCAATCGTAAGCTAGAGCCTAGCGCGTTCATGCCCGGTAGAGGCTGGACGTCGAAAAGATGACGAAGAACAAGGCGTTAGTTAGGTCTAAGTAGCTTTGTCTGGGGCTTTGGGGCCCAGGGCTGATTTGCGGATGAGTTGTCAAACGGTTGTCTCGCCGTCAACTAGGAGGATCCTGGCCAAGACCCCATGTAAGAGACCTTGAGCATGACAAGCTCGAGCCCACTGCGATCTGCTGGGGCCACTACAATGCACCAGGGTCTCTATGAGGGACCAAGTAGATGCTCTAGGAAAAAAGCTTTCACTAAGCCGGTACGGGCGTACGATTCCGCCGAGTCGGTGTGGTGACAGTCTTTTGGTCACGTTGAGGAGGATATGACTGAGAGCAGCTAACAAAAACGAGGATGTATGATCGAAGGGTCAACAGTGGGGCACGGGAATAGACGTGAGTCGCGGAGATGACGAAATTCATCAATAGCAAACAGAGGATAGCCAAGGGATCTATATAGCATACTCGCAGAGAAAGCATTGCACTCGCTGGAGGGCACTATGATATGCTTAGGGTCCACCATTGGAGGCAGGGGCAATGTGACTGATGAGACTCGCTGTGGACTCAGAAGGGGTTTCGATGAGAAGGGAGGGGGGTGTACAGTAGACCAGATGTGAGGGACAAGCAGGACAAGTGAGGCGTATCGTTTTAGACTACTAGCTAAAGACGCTGTGTGAATGGCGTCAGGGCAGCCGACATACATGTTAAGCCCATGGAGAAATCCAAGATTGAGGCAAGATGAATGCACGCGTGTGTAACCCGAGCATTGGATTGAATGGGCAAGGAGCATTATATGCTTCAGCATCATCCGCAGAAGGGGAGCTGATCCAAAGAAGATATGAGGCAAGGTGGGAAACGGAAGTGAGTGGCCCAAACCACTCTAAGAGAAATCGAAGTCCAGGAAGAAACGCCAGCAATTGCGGCTACAATGGTACGTAGCCTGGAAGCAAGAGATCCATTCAACAAAGAGGGCTCATGAGAACGGGTTTGGAAATTGTGGAAGGATCGGCGTCGTCCTTCTCCGTCCACCACGTAACCAGCCTAGGCCACCACCCCTGGCCCAGTACCTTGGGTAAGAGGCGCCAGGAAGATTGGAGGAATGGTACATATCGAAGTGGCTTGCCTGGGCGTGAATTGAGCGGACGGAGGGTGTAGCGTCTCGGATCCTGGGGCGCCATGGGTGCTTTGCGCAAGTACCGGACCGCTTTTTGAGCCGTGGCCCTAGTAAACATCCGGTAGTCATTGCAATTGCTCATGCTGGGCGCTGAACAGCGGCTTCTCCTGCTTTCCATCCAGTGGTGACTAAATGTTGGAATCCTGTTCTGCTTTTTTTCGTCGTCAGAAGCTGGGTATCAATGCATTAGATGAGAAAAGCGGTGGTCCCAAGACTGTTGTGGCTGCTATTTCCATCCCATCGCCATCAGGCACTTTGCGTTGACCTTCAAGTCTCTAGAGTCAGGTAGCCGCCAAAACAGTTTCACGCCTTGCGTTTTAGGGCTGTGGCTCTTAAAGCTCCAGTGCAAGTGGTGAAAAGCAACCAGTGCTCAATTGATATTTTTTGGCTCATTCTTTGGTTAAAGGGTTAAGTGGGCTAATGCCAGGAAAAACTTGACACGAGACCCGCCAACCACAACTTGAACACACATGGTGATATTTTCGTAAATTGCAAGACGCTCAAGCTCTCTTGTTTGAAGTACTTGTCACTGTTAGTTCTGGAAACACCATGTCTCAGTCCATGTATTTCGTAAAATATCATGGCTTGGGAACATGAGGGACAGAGTCACCGTACGGGGAACAGAGACAATTGTCGAGGTGTGTGGGTAATTCCTAAGCTCTGCATCATGGTTAAGTGGCTCCGAAAGAATCAAGCAGATCTGATCGTGTGAAAAATGACCACTATAGCCAAACAAGGCCAAGCGGTTCCTATCAAAGATTGAAGGCTGCCTCCCCAGTGCAGGACAAATGCCAGCTAAAGTTGGTGCATCGATTACTGTCTTGGAAGATGCCTATGATCGCACGGTTTGCAGGGGATAGTTCGCAAAAGTAACCAGAAAAAGACAAAAAATGTTCTCATATCGATCTTAGGCCTGAGCATTATTAGCTGTCTGTTGGGGTTTTCCTCCCGCCTTTGCCTGCCCTATACAAATTAACGTCGGTAGGTCGACTTGACTCTTACGTGTCTGTAGCAACCAAGGGCTAGGGATTTGAGGGTGACAAGAAAAGCAACGACAGGCTATTGCAAGGGCTGAAAGTCGTAGGAAAAGAAAAGAAAAGCAACACAGAGCCAAATCGAGCAATGGCGCTGGTCCACAATCCACATCTGGAGGTGGTTCCAAGTGAGGAAGCCGGAAAGAAACGCTGGCCAATCGACAGAGGAGGGCGATACCAACTAAAATCCTTGTTGGAGTTGAGATGCTCGTGCTTTGAACACAACGCGCTTGTTGCTTAAATTGGAGGTAGCTTGACCCTCGCGCCAACCGTCCGGAGAGGGCGATATTGTTATGGAACGTGCCAGCAATGCTTGAGCTCAGCTTGCTCGGATTCAATTTAATGCTTCAGGCCAACCAGCATAAATGCGCGCCCCTTGTGGGCATGCCATGTTGCTAATAGGGGTTGGCGAATTATCCGGATTTTCGGAAGACACTCATGGCGCCGGGAAAACACTCAGTTTTGAGCATACTTTGAAGATTCAATGATGCGGACTTAGATCGGGTTTTAGAATGGCATATGTCGTGAGGAGTTGTTCGGACCTTGATCCTGGTTGGCTTGCGTGAGGAAGATAACAGTCTGACGATGTCGATTCACTGAGCAAAAGTCAGGGCGTTTCCGTGGTTGGTCAATGGCTCTGGGAAAGCGGAAATTTTCTCATAAAGACTGGGGTAGGCGTTGGTCAGGGCACCTGCCAGTGAGCGATGCTTGGGATACAGTGGGTAAGGCAGGTGGACTTGAGTGGGTAAATGCCAACATTTTGGAAATGAGACAAAAATAGGCTTCGTCAGCACGATCTAAGGGTCCAGATATTAGACTCTCACATTGATCGTCTGTGTCACGAACAAGACTGCAATGAGGCTGGTAATCACATACCATCTTAGTGGTTGAGTTTGCTTCGTTGAAGTGGCAATTCCAGCTAACGAGTTTGAGGGGAAAGTCCATGTGATCTTCACATTTGGCTGGAAGTTGGCAATAGAAGGTCAGCCTCAAATTCGTTGCCTTGATTCCTGCAACCTCTGTACAACTATGGGGAGGATCCTTCCTTATTGGTATCGGGTAACTTAGAACGGGTTGGATTGCCTTAACCAGCCACACTTTAAATGGCAACCTCGATTTTACCTGTTTCCATAATCTCTTGCCTTTAGTACTAAGTCTTTCAACATCAACAGCGTCATTAATTTTATAGGTAGACGATGGCACTTGAACACGAATATCATGTAACTGCTTTATTGTTTCATCACACACGCATTACCCGTGAGTTTACAAGAGAACCATTGTTGTCCCTTCTTCACTTTCAATGGCTCTACTGTCGTTAGCTACCCTGCATCAATATCTTCAACGGCAGCAGGTGCTTTGATAATACTGTCAACCAAGGGTCATCACCGAGATCTCCCACCATCCGGCCGACCCCACATCAAGTACCGGTACCTGAATGACCAGGATATCTGCTGAAGCGCACTAGTTGACGCGCATATCGGATCATGTTTCACGCGTCTAGAACTGCAAAAGGCAACGCGCATCAGCCATGCATGAGAATATATCTTTAGTATGGCTGGGCAGCTGGGGTTCGAGGGGCGACGATAGTGATGCTGAACTCGAAGCCCAATCATGATACTGCCCAGACACCAATTGACCAACAAAGGTACCTCGTTCCGTGGATCACAGCCCTGCTCGCCTTGCATGTTCATTATCCAAGCATAACAACTGTAAGTTCGACAATGGCATTTCGGGACGCCTTCTTATGAATGTTGTGCATATGCTGCTGCTATTGTGTTATGCTGATCAACACACATATATGCACGCCAAATTAGTTTGATCGAAGAATCAAAGACGATCTCAGCCTCGCCTAAAAGCCGTTGGCCGTTAACTTTTCCTCAATTCTTGGAACGAGATGAGATTGGAGATTGTCCAGATACACCGCATGTATCCGGTACAGAGTGCCGCAACGGCACCGATTCTTAGGTAACAGGGGTCTCTATCCACTCGTGACTGCGTCCGCCCCAAAAGCCTCCGACCTCAAACCGCCGTCTGTCCATGCTTAACGCTCTCCACCTCCACCATGATGAGAGCGATTTCTGGATATTATTCATCAGTACTAACTCTAGCTGGATCCGCGTTGGCACGGGCTAAGTGGCGGCCTCAATCTTGAGTTCGACGAGGACACCGCGTGATGTTGGTTATCATTACGCCGACAACTCTGGATCTCCTATGCCGTCATTATGCTAAGGTTCAACAGTTATCGAAGGTTCGCCTAGCCCATCGCCATTGTAAGTTTATCTTAACTTTCGCAGCGTTTGTGGATTCCTACCATAAGGCTTGACATGATTCCAATGGCTCCAATCCCCGTTTTGCACGAGACACGTTTGTTGTGATCATTATGCTTCTAAAGAATCGCTTTATTTGAGTAAGCATCAGTTTTCAAGATTCTCAGGTACCCGATCCCCCAGGGGTTAATTGAACATCATTTTCGGAAGATCCTCCATCCCGCCACACCGTTGTGCCGTTGGATCTTGAAAATTAAACCAACCGCTTTTCTTCCTGAACATGCATGAGCTGAAACACTTCAAGCCACCCCACTGAAACTGTTCTAGAAACCTTCTCATTCTACAGCAATCCACTCTCCAGCTCAATAGCTGATGCAATGGTCTGCGATAATTAATCTATATAGAGCTATCCGCTTGTTCATATCAACGAGCTGCTTACCCCAAGAGTCACTAGCACAAAAGTATTATGGACGACTCATGGATCGGCCCCTATACCCGCGCCTTTAATGTCATATTGCGCGTCAAAGCAACGTCCCTCGCTGAGACGCTGCGACCACCGGGCTGCGGAAGAATGACCGCAATTACAACAACCACAGTTAAATACGAAGTTCCTCACCGTCTGGCCAACCGGGGGGCATTCGTTATTCAATTGCCATGGAGCTAATAGTGCCAGGGATGCTCAGCACTTCGCCGATTGCCATCCGCTCCGTCCCGATTCAAACTTGATAAAAGCCCGCTGTTATATCAAGGTTCAGGGCTCATGTATTACTCCAACGTTCGTCCTGCATTAGCGCTAACGATACGATTATTCAACTTTACTTCACGGCAACATAGCCGATTGCGGTATAAAATCATGACAGGAGCGGATAGCGGGAGCTACCAGCGCCTTGGTGGCTTGCTAATTACCGCCAAGGAGCACCCTTTAGGGTTCGATGGGATGGTCCGTACATATTTGCTGCAATCCGGTTCGGCCGGTAGGTGCTTGACACGTTTAGCACGTCAGAAAATGTCTTATACGCACATGAAGAAGGCTGGGGTTCTCAAAGTTCGTTGACCCCCTGCATGTCATTAAATACTCTTCAGGGCGCGTGAAAGAAGCGTTGACATCTTGCAACAAGGATTCCCATGTGATGAACAGGTACGACTTTCCGGAGCCCGAGGAGCCGGAGACGTGATGCCGCATCAGCTCATCTGAGATCTATGGTTACATTTGTCCGAGTGCACCAACTGTTATTTCGAACCGACACGATATGAACCACCGAGGAACCGGAGTGCTTTTCATGACGGGTACCAGCCATAATTGCCCGTCCACACGATCACAATCCAAACATTACAGCTTCTTTCGAAGGCCGGGCATGGGGTTTTAAAACTACAAAGGTATTGTTTATACATGAGGTTGGATGAGCGCCCCGCTCACCACCCTTCTCATCATGATCACAGCAACATGCTCAATCCAAAGTCGTGAAATGTCAACTCTGCAAAATTTGCTTATCGCTTGACCCAGGCGGGCATCTTGCGTGCCTTGACATGGCCGTGCTTCTTCCTCTCCACTGTCCTTGGGTCTCTGGTGATACACCCAGCTGTAAATACGAGCGTTAGTCATTGCAACATAATCCATCGCGACGGTGATTATCAAGCACATACCTTTTCGAAGAGCAGTTTTGAGCGCTGGCTCGTGAACGATCAGAGCTTTGGCAACCGCCAACGTAAGAGCCTCGGCCTGACCGGTTGTTCCACCACCCTCCACCAATGCCCAGACATTGTACTTGTCTAATCTCTCAGTGGCCTGAAGAGCCCAGACCGCACTCTCACGATCATGAACACGACCGAAAGCTTGGCTGAGGGTCTTGCCATTGATCAGCACCTCTCCTGTACCCTCCACAACCCAAGCCCGAGCAGTAGATTCCTTTCGCTTGCCGACACCAATGGCTCGTCCAAACTTGTCGACTGTCACCTCATGAGGTACGTTCATGAAAGGGTTGATGTCTCGCTTAAAATCCTCAAGAGCAACCCGGACTTCCTCAGGGAAGAGTGAGGTCTCAATCTGGTTCAGGCGCTTGGCAACTCGAATCACCTTGGCGTAGTGGGAGGCCTTAATTGGTTCACCAAGTTTCGATCGCATTTCATCGAGCTTTACCCAAGCTGTCGGAGGAGCAGCGCTTGGGGGTAGTGTCGGAAGAGTGTGATATTTGGTGAGAAGACGAGCAATTCGGAGGTACATCTCATTGAATTGAGGTTCCCGAGAGAAGTACGAAGCCGAGACGGGAACGGCTCTCGCATGCTGGACATCTTGGAATGGCAGAGAAATCTTCGAACTCGAATCTATCACGGCGAAAGGGTCGGGCTTGGGTTCGACGATCGTTGAAGATGTTTCACTGGCGATGCTTCGTACACCGAGGGGAAAAGTCGCTCTTTGCAAGGCAGGCTGAGGCCATGGTGCTCGGAAAAGTTTGCCTTGACATCTTAGCTGCCGTAGGCTGTGCGTAAATGTCGACATGATGGCCAATTCGGAGGATGGCCCCGTCGGTATCGTATCGGACCACGAGGTTCACTGACTGTCCAAAAAACTTCACGGGAATTCAAGGTCCATCACGGGCTAGCTGAGTCGGTGAGGTCACGTGGAGAGGATGTCCGAATAGACTTATCTGTACGCCACATGTCTCACCCGCCACACTACATCACAGCCACTTCTTTCACAGCTCGTTGCTCGGGCAGTAAGGCAGGACCCCACTAGCGCGGGGCAAGCAATTTGACACACTTATTAGAAAAAAACTTCCCCTCCCTCTTTTTTCTCCTCCTCATTCCTCCTTCGTCTCTTTGTCTGTCAACTTGTTCGTTCTCAGCTGCCTCAGCAAAGCAATCAAGATGGCTTTCGGAACTCTCTTCACCCGCGAGGTACATACTCTCGAGCATTGAAATTGAATCTGAATTTGCTGCAAGTGCAAACAAAGAGCGTCGTTACTGACTGGTCTTGGTTCTTCCAGAACAACTGCCGTTCTACCGCCATCCGCGCGGTCGCTAAGGCGAACGACATCGAGCTCAACATCGTCGAGGCCGAGAAGGGCAACGCTACTGTTGAGCACCTCAAGGCCAACGGTCTCGGCAAGATCCCTGCCTTCATTGGCGAGGATGGCTTCGCTCTCTCCGAGTGCATTGCCATTGCCATCTACAGTAAGTAAAGCTGTGCGCGATGCATGCCTAATCTGGCACCACTTTTCTTTCTTGTTACCCCTCCCTTGCGAGTGATGACCTAGCATTATATACAGTTATCCCTATCTGAAATGTCTTTTCAAGAGTTATTGTGTGGATACCGTCTAACTTCTGACCCTGCAACCCAATTCATCTTTGTCTATGTTGTCAGCTTTGTCGGGATCTTTGCTAACCCCGCTATAGTCACCTCCCAGAACGAGAAGACCACTCTTCTCGGCAAGACCAAGCAGGAGTATGTTTATGTCTACGGCCCTTGAGAAGTTCTCGTACTAACCAACCATAGCTATGCTTCTATCCTGAAGTGGATGTCCTTCTTCAACTCCGAGGTCCTTCCCAGCCTCATCGCTTGGTTCGGTCCCCTCAAGGGCGACGCTCCCTACAACAAGAAGAACGTCGATGATGCCTCCAAGGCCTCCCTGAAGGCTTTCTCCGTTGTCGAGGAGCACCTCATCCGCAACACCTTCCTTGTTGGCGAGCGCATCACCCTTGCCGACCTCTTCGCTGCTGGCATCGCTGTCCGTGGCTTCCAGTACTTCTTCGACAAGCAGTGGCGCGAGGAGAACCCCGCCGTCACTCGATGGTTCGAGACTGTCCGCGCTCAGCCCATCTTCGCTGAGGTTGCTGAGAAGGTTGAGCTCCTCGAGACTCCCGCTCTTACCAACACTCCCCCCAAGAAGCCTGAGCAGCCCAAGAAGGAGGCCAAGAAGGAGGTTAAGAAGGAAGCTGCCCCCGCCGCTGAGGCTGCTCCCGCTTCTGACGAGGCTCCTGCTGCCCCCAAGGCCAAGCACCCTCTTGAGGCTCTCGGCCGCCCCTCTTTCCCTCTCGATGAGTGGAAGCGCCAGTACTCCAACATCAAGGACCACAACGAGGCCATGAAGTACTTCTGGGACAACTTCAACTTCGAGGAGTACTCCATCTGGAAGGTTGACTACAAGTACAACGAGGAGCTTACCCTCACCTTCATGTCCAACAACCTGATCGGTGGCTTCAACAACCGTCTTGAGGGTTCCCGCAAGTACATCTTCGGATGTGCTGCCGTCTACGGCGAGAACAACGACTCCGTCATCCAGGGTGCTTTCGTCATCCGAGGCCAGGAGCACGTTCCCGCTTTCGATGTCGCCCCCGATTGGGAGAGCTACAACTTCGAGAAGCTCGACCCCACCAACCCCGAGCACCGACAGTTCGTCGAGGATGCCTGGGGCTGGGAGAAGCCCATCACCGTCAACGGCAAGGAGTACAAGCTTGCTGACGGCAAGGTCTTCAAATAAATAAATTAAAAAAAGGAAAAAGAAAACAAGAGCGATGATGATAATGGCTTATGGTTAAATGGTTGGGGAGGGTAAATGAGTTTATGATATTTTATGCCTCATGAAGGCCCTGCCGGCTGGCAATTCCCTATGTAGTACCCAAAAGAACGAAGAACTGTCTGTTACTCATAGACAATTGAAAGGATTTTTTTTTGTGAGATGAAGTTTGTGTCGCCTTTGGCAATGGCCATTTATGTTCTATCATCAACACGCTATGAAGTTGTATCTTATGAGGCCTTGGGCCTCGGGTATCTCTAAATGAATCTAAAGCGTCTATGATATCCTGTGATTCATCTTATTCCTGATACTTCCCACGTTGGCGCAGGGTCAAAACTGACTAGGCTGCATCCTCTGGCAAGACATAAACTGGATCAAGCTTGAAAGGTGACTGTCTTACAAAGCGGCTGATATCCGCCTGGTAGGCCAGTTCATTCAGGTAATCGTGAACCTGGGGCAAGACATTGGGCATTTCCGTAGACAGTCCGGAGAACTCTGGAAGTGTAAGCGTGTTGAATGGTTCACTCCGGCCCTTCTCTAACGAGTCATCAACCAAAATAGTGTTGCTCTGATTCCAAAGACCTCCCTTATGAGCCTGGGGATAAGCAGCCCTCACCCGCGGATCAGTCCATACAGTCGTGAGGCGTTTGTAGACTTGCACTTTTGCGTTATAATCACCCTCCGAGAGACCAAAAGAATCACGACCCCAGACGACAAGAACCTGCTCACGCTGCTCAGGTGTGAGGAGCTGTTCAACCATCTTGTTGACGTTTTCAGGACGGGCTGAGGACCAAATCGCAACATAGAAAGCGTCGAGGCAGTATTTCATGAAGGTCTTTGCATGAGGTCGCTCGACGAAGTTGAAGGGCCGGCGTTTGTTGGGTCGATAGAGGAGAGTACCGTTGAGGTCCATTATAATGAGAATGCGACGCGGTTGAGGGAGTCGTTCGGGGCTGAGGTTTGCTTGGGCCATATATTGGGGCGTAGGGTTGGGAACACCTCCAGAGGCTTTGCTTGGGATCTTGTGGGGCGATGAAGAGCGACGTTGAGCTGGAGGGGCCTGGATCATTGCCTTGGGGCCTTTGGGAATTCTAAGAGGAGTTAGTGACATGGTATGAAAAGACTGCATGCCATAGAGTTTTAGAGGCTCTCCATGCATCCTCAGGTGAATTCAGTATTATTCCAGACCGAAATCCTATCTGATGGTCTATACACTTCCAAAGTCCTTCGGAGCGTTGGAATGCCGCTAGAAGCCTTATGAATATATGAGATAGATCTTCTGAACGTACCTTGCGTCTGCAGCCGCTTTACCCTTCTTCTTGGGGCCTTTGGGCGCATTCTTGGGCGCATCACTCTGTCTCGGTTGCGCCAACGTGAGGCCCGGTATGTTCATCGGCCTGAATGACGACCCATTCGGCACGACGGGCTCTTTATATCCTGTCATGGCTGCAGCTGGGAGCAGGAAAGAAGCATCCTGTAATGGTAAAGTCTGTAGTGCTGTGGAGTTGAATGGTAATGGAGAAGTAAAGCTGTAGTCAAAGAATCTATGAGCACGGGATGTACAAGAAAATGCAATATTGCGGGTTTTCACGAAACGGCGAGCGGTGCCCAGCATGGGGAAAGGAGGAAGAGAGGCGCAATTAAAGAAGAATGCGATTTGCGACACCAACGTTTGGCTTTTCTTAACTTTAGCGGCCGAAATCGCGGGGCAGCAGGGGGTGGGCCTAGGTCCATTTATGCGAATCATTAAATAGAGGGACCATGGCAGCATTTTTAGACTGACCATGTACTGTAACTACTGTGCTATAAGAGGCTACTCAGGACTGCAGGACCTTATGGACTCTAGTATGTAACAAGAATAACACTCGATCTTCTAAAGTCTTGATCTTGAGGTAGGGTTTAACCAGTGACCATCTCAGAACGTTCAATACGGTTATTCACTTACCGGGGCACTAAGATAAGACCTCTTCGTGGGGCTTATCAAAGCTGGAAAATAAAAAAGTTCCCAGCGCCGCTATGATCAAACATTGAAGAGCGCTTGTTTAATTACATACAGCAGCACAACATGGCTTTCAAGCGAAAAACCTCATCGTCATTTGGACTGGAGAGAAGAGTGCGACCGAGGAGAGAGGATGAGTGGGTAGAAGAGCCAGAGAGTCAAGGTTCCTCAAGTGAGGACGATGATGAGGTTGAGGAGGAGGGTATTCGAGGCGTATCCGATGATGATGATGATGATGATGATGATGACGAGGGAGAGGAAGATCAAGAACCTGAAGAAGGGTCGGAAGATGAATCAGAGGTAAGGCCATCAGGTCCCTCCTCGAAAATACAGTGCTGATTATAGAAAAGCCTGAGCAAGACACGCCAAAGATAGACCTCTCATCGGTCTCATTCGGAGCTCTCGCAAAAGCACAAGCATCACTGCCATCTGCTGGCCGCAAATCGAAATCGAAGAAATCGACCGATGAAGACGCTTCAAAAACAGAAACGCCAGCACCCAGGAAATCCACCAAATCAAAGGACGACCCCAAGCCCAAACGATCTTCCAAACACGCCCCCCAAGAACAAACCTCCAAAAAGCCCGTATCTCGCCGCCGTGAGATCCTCCCAGATAACCGGCGCCAATATCGCGATCCTCGCTTCGACCCCCTAGTAGGCCGCGTCGATGAAGAGAAAGCCAGCAAAGCATACGCCTTCCTCGACGAATACCGCGACAAGGAGATGGCCGACCTTCGCGCCCAGATCAAGAAGACCAAAGACTCCTACGAGAAGGACAATCTAAAGCGCCAACTCCAATCTATGGAATCTCGCAAGAAGGCCAACATGCGAAGACAGGAAGAGCAGAGATTGCTAAAGGAGCATCGCCAGAAGGAGAAGGAGCTTGTGGCGCAGGGCAAGACGCCGTTCTACCTGAAGAAGAGCGAGCAGAAGAAGCAGTTGCTTGTTAATAGATATGAGGGTATGAGCAAGGGACAGGTTGATAGGGCGATTGAGAGGAAGAGGAAGAAGGTTGCTGGTAAGGAGAAGAAGGAGTTGGACTTTTTACAAAGAGGTTCTCGACCACGAGGATAATCGAGTTACAAGATCAGAGTGTTTACATCAGTACAGCGATTGGGCTTACTATCTGAGTTGTGTAAAAGACCTCCGATTGTTTCGAACAGGAGTTCATACACCATCGCTTTGACTCCATTTGTCCACCAACGCATACGTCAAACATAGCGATATTGCATTTCAAAACATCTACCTTAGTTTTTTACAAGCCACTTATGACTTAGATATGCATTTCAGCCCACCATAGCTTCTGAACATCCCTCCAACGGCCCAACCTTTCCCCTCAGTAAAAAGTTCACAGAAACAGCAAAAGAGAAAACATACAACAGCGAGGATTCGCTGGTCGTCACCGACCCAACTACTAGTTCGCCCCTTATCAGCTTATCTATGGGAGAGCGGACGGGATCCCGAGTTCTCTGATAGGTATGGTCGTATGTGATTGTCATGGTTGCAATTCTCACTTATAACGAGAGTCTGATGAGGCGGTTGGCAAACAAGGTGATCATATTAGTGAAAACAAACCCCCAGAGGGACCACCACCGTGTACAGGAATAGCATAGCTTGGTAAATTAAAGGACTATGAAAGAGATTGGATATTTACTGGTTGAGCAATAGGTGGACGAGCTAGGTCAAAATACCAGACAAACATACGACAGCGGATATGTCCTAGCTGCCACCAACGCAACTGTCAAGTCGCCTGCTTATCTGACTTGGGGGACTTCTCCCGTATGAACTTTATCTGATACTTGACACATCATTCTTGTTTGTCGCAATGTTTCTATCAACGAAGGACAACCCAAGAGGTCACAAACGGATATAGGGTAATGCAGCCACAACGTCAATTAACGGGTAACTATGGGTCTACTGTTAAGATCCGTGATTGGCCCGATTGCCGTGCACATCATTGAAACGCAAGTGTAAGTGTGTAGAAGGATAGTAATCATGTGGTCAATTAATTAAAGGAAGCCAATTACTACTTATTCAGATGAGATGATATTGTATATCAAGGTATCGTATGTGCCTTGCCTCGGCCTCAACATCATACTCATACTAAGTCATCTCTTGCCGGCCTAGAATAAAACAGGTATCTCATCACATTTATATCTCCGCTTTCCCTTAACGAGCCTGGTAATAATCACTTCAAGCCAGTCCTGAATAGTAATCAATATGTACTCCTTTGTTTAATATCCATTCTTGGTCCCATAAATCATTGCTCTAATACTGAATAGCCTGCATTTGCAAGAAGAGCGAGATCATTCCTCGTACTCTTCCTTGGGCAATATCACCTCGCTCAGCCCGCAAATTTCCTACATCTTGTTAGCTTCCAGCCAAGCAAATGACGGCCGAGAGAGATGCCTACCTTCCGCTTCCGTTTGAAATCTGTATAGAAAGAGTTCCATATTATCCTTGCTGCGCAGTCCTCAGCGCCATCTGACAAAGTCGTGCAGTTGGGCTGCGACTGGAGGCGAAGCTCCTCATCCGTTTGTATCCATGGCTTAGGAAGCGGCCAATCAGAAAAATGGACGAGTTTGGCTTCGTTATAGACAGTGGCGGGATCCCAAGGCTCAGTATCAGAGCCGAGATACCTCTTGTGATTGTCTGCACGGAACTCACCCGTTAACAGATCATAGGGACGATGCGGGAGGACAAGGGCACTCTCGCGATACAGGTAGTTCACAATCTCCATATCGAAGTCGTTCTCAGAGGCAGAATCCACCTTGGCCATAATGCGAGCAAATTCTTTTTCAGAAGGTTGGATAAGTATCACCTGAGATGAGAGGATCTCCTTCTCAGGGAACAGCCAGTAGGCTCTTGGCATGGCTACTGGTGCTGGGGGCGAAAGAAATAGTTCATCCATGTCTTGTAAGAGCGTGGAATCAGAATCGATAGAAAGCACGCGACTGTATTGAGTCTGATTAAAAGCGAGGAGCTTCGTGTAAGAATCGGCCCAGGTATCTAAAGACGGCACTAGTTAGCCTGGTTCGTGAATAAGAAGTATACCTGAATGAAATAATGAGAGTATTCGTTTACCATCTTTATTGTCCTTGTGCTGAACTGTAATGGGAACGAGCTTGACTCGATATTCATCGCGAGCTTTTATGAGCAATTGGGTATCCACAGAACTACCGTTATTTGCCTCGAACATGTGAGAAGGATACATCATCACGCGGTCGGCACGACTAGAAAGGCGATCCAACGATTCGAAGAACATGACTGAGTTACAGAGATAATCGCTATTGGTGACATATTGCGTGTAAGCGAAGCGCGACCAGTCGACCTCGATTGAGCCATGGAATTTCAATGGCTTCTGGGATAGAAACGCGTTATTTGAGAGGACGAAGAAGACGAAGAAGGCAAAAGTGAGTCCTGCTGCCCATCGATATCGCCTCGATGCCATGAAGCTTGGCGGGAATGGAGGTGCCAGTTCAGCTAATAGTTTTGCCATTTGTCTCGTAGGGCGCGATAGCTGAGTTGTAGAAGCCACTTGCAAGGCATCCAATGGGGGATTTTAATTATTGAGAAGCTGTATTGCGCGAATGAGCAAGTAAACGCCAAGTGCGATGAGACTGTGTCCAGGTAGAGAGAGTGGTAGAAAGGAGCCAGTCCTTATAGAATTATACAGTATTGTCAGGTAGAATGAAGCTGAACTCTAGATAATGAATGTCTAAAAAGGAAACGGGAAAAATGAAAAAGGGAGAATACGAGCAAACCAACAGAGTCTGAGTGAAATCCAAAGCCAACTGCCGCCCAACAGAACGAATAAATGAATGCTTGCAGCGTGGCACCTAATTTAGCAAAGACCCTGGGAAGACACTTTTGTCAAGGCGCTTAGATATGAATTAACCCTGCAAGATTTAATCTGCCTAGTTGTGAGAAGAGACAATAAACGTTTCGCCAATCAGATGAAGCCCTTGGGCCCCGGTCGATATTTTTATTTGCGGTGTTTCAGGGATTAAGACGTCCTAACAACCAACACTCAATATTCTCTGTGTACCTGGTGTACATGGCGTGACTTATCACGTAAGGTACTTCATTCCAGACGGACACACGATGCCTTCAGTTTTTTGTCCTCATTTGGATCGCTTATCCTCTCGGATAGGGAATATACGTTCGTGAAGTTGTTGCATGTTCGTTGTTCTGTCTATGCGCACTCTTAAGAATCCATAGCCATGACCTTCTAGGCCCAACAAACGATCATGATTATTCTGATCGCTCTGTTTCTAGAGAGCACAGAGCCTTGAGTTGAGAGAATTTCCCGGGCGCTCCAGAGATCATGTTTGCAGTATGCGTACTTCATTGTTGGTGACGCAGAGAGGCTTGCCAGGGCATGAAGACTTGTTGTTGGTGCAGTGAGTCTCCAAGGGGTAGAGACTTATTTCACATCCTTGGAAAAGCATCTATCTTATGCGCGTTGGTTGTGCTCTTATAGGCCAAGTGGGCTGAGTTGAGCTCGTGAATCCACCATTGGCCGAATCATGCTACAACTGGGATTCCTCATCCCAGGACTGAGGAATCTGGGTTAGGACAGTTGGGACAACTGGGTCTTGTTTGAGTTCTTCATCGAGTCTGGTCTGCTCCCACCGCTTTGCACGTCTTCCTTCTCTCCCGACCTCCTTTCATAGGGCGCTATACCTCGGTTAGTCTTCTTACGCCCCTTTTATGGTTATTCATATCCTCTGTTAGTTCCTCTTCCTGTCTCAACAAACCTTTGACTATGCTGGCAACCCTTATAACACTTACATTGGCATTGGTAGCCACCATTTCGGCCGAAGTAACCCCCAGAGAGGTCAAATGGACGGACGATACGTTTGGACCGGACGGTCCTTGGCGTGCAGTCAGTATTTGGATGGGGAATGAAGAATCGTCAATAGGTCTATATCCTGGCAGCGCTTGGGAGTCGTGGTTGATCCAAGATCGATATTGCAGAAAGGGCACATGCTTCGCGTCTAAAGCTGGTACCTACGACAACTCTTCCGGTTCGCAAGGAGGTATTCAGATGCCTGCAGATCTCAGCGGCTTTATGCTTGGTTTGGACTTGAAAGGCAATCCAGCAACTCGACATTTGGACCGTATGTGGTTGAACGGGGCTATAGTGGAAAACGTGAGTCTTGCTCTTTTGGAGTCTCAGAAGATCAAATATCCTGGCGGCCAGACATCGCCGTTCTTCGCTGGCTGTTTAAGTCTAGGTGGAAGGCGGGCTATAAACCAGAGCTTCTCCCAAGACGATGGTCCAGCCATCAACGCAAGTCTCGTGCCAGGCTGGATGTGGGAACACGAATGGACAAGATCGAGCTCTTTCGGCATGCATATCGGATCGGTACAACCTGACATATCCGGGTCCTTATGGTTTGGAGGCTACGATCAGAACCGTGTTATCGGAGAAGTCCTCAATATGAACGGAGGTCCGAGAGACGGGATCACACTTCGAGATATCGGTATCGACGTTATAGGAACCAAGTCTCCTTTCGAGTTCAATTCGAAAGATGGCCTACTTGCCAACGGAAACTCTTCTATTGGAGGTAGCCTCAAAGTCTTGGTTGATGGCTGCTCGCCTTACTTTACGCTGCCCAGGTCGACCTGCGATAGCATCGCCGCCCATCTCCCTGTCAAATTCAACAAAGATCTTGGCCTATACATATGGGATACGAAGTCAGACAGATATAAGGAAATCATCAACTCTGCCTCGGCCCTAAGCTTTTCATTCATCTCCAACTCAAACACTGATCCAATAAAGATTCGTGTCCCTTTTCTGCACCTCAATCTAACCCTCTCGGCACCTCTATCTGATAAACCAACGCCTTATTTCCCTTGCCACTCGAATGGAAAAGACCAGTATGTTTTAGGCCGTGCATTTCTTCAAGACGCCTTTGTTGGGGCCAACTGGCACCCGGATATCGATACCTGGTGGTTAGCCCAAGCCCCAGGCCCCAATATCCAGGCTACACCCAATGTTGTATCGATCGGAGAGAGAGACAAGTCTGTGAGCAAGGGCGGGAATGATTGGAAGGTATCCTGGAGTGGAGTTTGGGATGACCAAGAAGCACCCTCCAGTACCCCTACAGCGGATAGCACCGACAAAAAGGGAGACACAAAGGGGAACGAAGAGGGCAGCAAAGAGGACGACCAAGAGGATGACAAGGTTGGAATGTCGGTTGGAGCCAAAGCTGGCATCGGTGCTGGTATTGCTGCCGCTGTCATAGCGGCCGGAGTGGGCGTCTTCTTGTGCTGGCGTCGACGTCGGAATCAGCCCCAAGAGGAGTCGACTACAGAACCCGTGGCAACAGTTGATGAGTCAAAGTTACCATCGGTAGTTTTGTACCCTCAAGAGTTGCCTAGCCAGGAAGTGCAGCCACCTTATTATCAAAGGTTTGAATTACCTTCCTGAATCTGGGGCGAGTTCAATGGGCGTCTTGACTTTCTTGTTTGCTTGCTTGTTTATATGTTTTGCACAATATCTTAGCCATTATTCCCATATTAGATTTTGATCTTTGTCTCTTTGTCCTTCGGATATAGTATCAGGTCTTGTAATACTCAGAAGCGCTCACATTATGATACCTCATTATTCCCTCTCATGATGTTACACGGTTTGCTCAGGTGATCATTGTCCCATCACATTTCCAAGGCCAACGGAACTCTTGTCACGGCCCTGAACGCGATGATTTCATAGACTTGTCATGCATGAGCCAAGGCATATGTCGTATTCCAATAGCGCTGCAGGCGTTAAGTCAAGCAAAAGCAGTACATCATGTACCACTACTCAGGTATTGATTCCGCGCTTACCTCCTATCTTTAGTCTATATATAGAAGAAGTAGAGCCGCCAGCCTAGTACAAAGTTAACCCAGGCTATATGACACAGTAATTCTTAATGGAAGCAAAAGAGAAAACTATGAATACCTGTGATTGACCCCTCCACGAGTTACACGGTGCCTCGTGCTCTCTTCCACAGTCTGGTGTGTGTTGTGTAAGTTGGCAGTTGAAGGTGACTCTTTTGCAAACTTAGTTGTCATGGCGTCCCTTCAAGTTGAGCCTCAACCAGGTACAGATGCTATTTGTCTCACCATAGACTTTTGTTTGCATTAGCCAATGATCACTCTGCTGTCCCTACGAACCAAAGGCCATGTATAAAACACTGCAGTATACTACTCACCCCCCTCCCTGTTCGAATTTTTCATTATCAGCTTTGTCTTCCACTCACTTGCCCAGCATGACAACCTCTTCTCCCCCACCTTTGAATGAACACTCCAGAACCACCAGAGATAAAGGCGAGGCCAAGACCAAACCGTTTTTTGAAGAGGTCGTTAGACAGGGCGTCCTTTTTGAGACCGACAGCCCTGATTATCCAGAGGGCCAGAGCATTATGCCACGTCAAGTCAGCGTCGACTCCATGCCAATGTCCGGCCTTACAGACGAACAACTTGTCAATGAGTTTAAGTCTATTATTGCGAAGTATACTAACTCGAGGTCCCGAAACTTTTGGGATTTCCTGATGCTACTATGTGCCCTGCTGCACTTGGGGCAGCCCTCTTGATACCACTTCTGAACCAAAACATGGCGAATCCAGAGACTTGTCCGCCAGAAGGGACCCTTGTTGAGATGGAAGTCATACACTGGTTACGTGAGGCACTTGACTATCCTGTACTTGGAACCTACACCAAAGTCATGGATATCGGCGGAGTCTTTACGCCTGGGGGATGTCTCTCAAATACTGTTGCGCTTTTGGCTGCGAGAGAGAAGTGTTTTCACGGATCACGCTTGAGAGGCATTCCAGTGCTGCTGAGCAAGGTACGTGTGTTGGTACCAGATATGGCATGGAATCACTCAATACGCTCAGCCATGGCCATGATATCACTTGGCGAGGAGAATATCATACCCGTTCCCGTTGATGCTGAGTTTCATATGGATCAAGAAGCCTTAAGGTACATCATCGACCAAGAAGGGGGTCCAGGAAATATCATCATGGCCTGTGTTGCATATGCAGGTGATCCAACGTGTTTGAAGATTAACGATTTACATGGTCTAGCGCAGATCCTTCAAGACAAAGATATTTGGTTTCACGTTGATGCCTGTCACGGCAGCCAACTTGCCTTCTCAAAACATCATCACTATAAGCTGCGAGGCATCGAAAAGGCAGACTCAACTACGATTGACCCGCAGCAAACAATGCTAGTTCCCTATGACTGCTCTTTGGTCCTGTTTCGAGAGCCCAGTACTCAAGCCGCCCTGTCGACCAACTCAGACTCAATCCCCAACGCGCAGTGGTCATTTGGGTGGACTGGCCCTTTCACTGGATCTAAAGCTTTTATGTCATTGAAGATCTGGTCCTCCATCAAACGCCATGGAAAGAACAGCATGGGCTGGATGATTGATGAGAGACTAGAACTCACCAGCGCGATCCAGTTGGAGGTTGAACACCGACCAAACCTCATACTTTCGGGCGGAACCGATATCAACTCCTACATGTTTATTTACGTCCCCGCGAGTGTGCAGCAATACTGTCTTGAGCACAGCATTCGTCTCTCAGACGCAGACTTGGAGAAAGTCAACCAGCTAAATCTCCACATCCAAAATATCATCCATCGAGAACGTGTCTACTACATCCATGGGCTCCCTCTTGGAAATTGCCCGCATGGTCATTTCATAGAGCCTGGCAAGAAGGCCTTTGTCCTGCGTACCCTAAATGGGAACCTCTAGTCAAACATGTATAATGTGAGAGGCTTGCTGAACAAAATCGAACACCTGGGACAGGTTATTTTCACAGATAGCCAGTAAATCTGTATGGGAGACACTGCTGGCTCGTCAGCGAACTCTGGGCCTCCTTTGGACGAAACGGGACATGTCTCAAGCATCTCTAATACGCCAGAATACTTGTCGTCTGACGAGATGTTGCGACGGTTGGCATTCAACGTGCTAACAACGCCGAATAAGATCATAGCAGCCACGACCGGCGGTGCTAACAGATTCATGGATCTAGAGATAACTGCAGTCAGAAAGCTTGTGAATGTGATCCAGCGTTTCGGACTGTCTGAAGTCGGTATGGCGGATGAGTTTGTGAAGCTCGCAATTTCAGATGGTGGTCGGAGGGAGGGGAAAGATCTTGATTATAAGCCACGATGCGATGCGTTGGAGAAGCTTCGTAAGATCTTTCATGATGTCCAGAACACTCCGCTCGAGTAACTTTGACACCGCTCTTGCTGGTGTTTATACCGTGCTTATCTTCAATAGATTAAGAAGCCATTTGTTTATTACTATTTTGCCCTCGTATCGTAAATACTTTCGGGAAATACTGACGGCTGCCTCGCTCTAGCCAAGAATGTCCGATAGGTGCTGTGTAGATACCTCCACTGAACCACTGACATCCCATATCCTCAAACACAAGAACTATATCATCATAGTCCGTTGAAGTGGGCTAGATGAGTTGATGGAATTTGACCAGGCCCCGAGCAACATGTACATCAGTCAGCTTAGTCTTGCTGTCCTGCTGTCGCTCAGGAGTACAGAGTCGCCTCTCGAGAATATCCATTTCGCAGCCTAGTTCAACCAGTAGAGGGGAGCGTGAATCTTTGGAGCAAGATCAAGATATTCCTGAAAGAAAATAGCATCGTTGAAGTTGTCAGCAATGAGACAAGCTGTCACAAGGATAGTGTGACCTCTTTCTCGCCAAGCTCCCAACTTTCCCCAAAATAGGAGCCCGGACTAGCCGACGCAGTTCATGATGTCGATCAACTCTATCATGTATGACTGCCACAACAGGGCCGATGAGAAGGTGATTGTCAAGCAGACAGGTTGTGTCACCTGGGAAGAACTTCTTGAGGCGTTGGAGGATGGTAAGCTTTCCTGTGCCTGGGAAACCGTTCAGAGCAACAATTTTCCCAGATGAACCCTGTTCAAAGGATTTGGGGACATGGGCGTGACGGCTTTGTGGACTTGTCATATCCACGAGTGCTGTCCCAGCTGGGGTTTCTGGGTGACTTGGAAGTGGCCTTGTGAATTTTGGCAGTGCTGATGTCCAAAGGAAAAAGTGACTTGAAGGTGATAGAACGTGCCACGCAGGCCGATCTTTTCATGTGACTGATTAGTTATATTGTGCATCAACCAAAGTTTATACATCATGGTGTTACTGCTAGCTCTAAGTTAATCTTTCATCATCGTGTAACTTCACACAAACTCTGGTGCTGAAAACTCTTACAGTCTTTTCCTTTAACTGCCTACCTAGGTTATATCTAATTCTGAACCACTTCAATCAACCACAAAGACTTTACTCAAGTGCATCTATTACCTTTACGATATAAGGAAAAGTTTGTGACGTTGTCATCATGTGTTTGTCTTGCGTGGCGGTTTGCTTTCTCTGACTGTAGCCAGAAAAAGCGGTATGGGATTGTATGCTCTTCCGTGTTTCCAATACTTGTACATCCAACACCGCATTCCCACCAAGCATTCTGAATGTGGACATCGGTCCATTGTCATACTTCCTTTCCCAGGTGACCAAACCCAGTTGGCCGTTATACAATTAGGCAAGCTGTTAACTTCAAGCTTTGCACAAATGATAACAAACGCAAGCAAAAAAGAGGACAGGAAAAAAACGACATTGCACGTCGATCACTTATCAACCCCACGCTTCTCTCCTGTCTGAGGTCCCTGCGACATGTTTTCCTGATCCTTCTGACCGGCGCGGAGTTGCTCGATTGTCTCACACTCCTTACCGAGAAGTTTCTTGAGATGATGTGGTTGAATCTGATCAAACTCCTCGAGGACCTGATCCCGTCGTTTCTTCCATGCTTCCAACTTCACCCCCTGAGGTCGAGAGGTCTTGGTGACCACAAGTGGATAGGGGCTCGTGTCACGGCGGGTTCGAATGTTGCAACCGACACCTGCTTTCTCAAGTACCTGCTGGACATGGTTACGACGGGGCTTGTTCATCGGGTACTCTTCAGACATCTTTGTGTGGTGGCGGAGAAAGGCGCTGACACGCTCGCAGTCGCTGCAGTCGCAGGGAACGCCGGTGAGGGCCCATGTCCAAGGCTTACGAGGCTCTGGACCAAGAAAGTTGTCAAGAATACCCCGAGTGACAGCTGAGAAAAACTTCTTGTAGGTTGGTGTGCTCAAGGAAATGCTCTCATTTTCGAGAAGGGGAATGATGGAACGCAGAAAGGGAAGCCACATCAACTGGAAACTGGCCTCTGAAAGTCTGTCAAGCTGCTTGGTGATCTTCGACATGAATTGACCTGAAACATTGTTCGACTTTGTGCTGGCCTTCAAAAGTCCCGAGAAGAAGTCTCTCATGTCATTGTGCGTGACTGCATTCCCCAGCCTACGCTGAGCCCACATATTGGGAGTTAGCCAAGGCGGGAGTTCCCTCTTTTTTGACTGCTTAAGGATTGTTGTTGGATGCTGTAGCGAAGCAAAGTCCTGAGATTCGATCAAAGAGCCTGCCATAGTTCGATAGAGATCCATGCCCTCTTGTCGAGGAAGTTTGTCCTCGTCAATCAGAGCCATCACTCGGGCCAAGGTCATGAAACGGAAGCCAGGGGCCAAAGGCCACCTCTGGAAAAGAGGTACGACACTTGGGAATTTGTTAGCATGGTTGGAATAGATTGTAGGGGAGGGGGGATATATTAACTTACAGCTCTTTCAGGAAAACAACCGGGTGCTCAGAGTACAATGAAAAGTCGACCGCAGGTGAAGCGTCATCTGTAGTCACTTCAGTAGGGCCATCTCCGTCAAACATATTCTGCAGCGTTTGACGAGTCCACTCCAAAATTGGCCCAGGCGTTGGAAGAGCGTCGGTGGGTAAGTCACTAGGAAGGGGAACAAAGTGAGATACGACCTTGCGCTTGTGTACCAACCCATCCTTTGAAGCCATAGCAAGCGAGAGTCTCGTGTAGATTAGTAAAGAAACAGTAATAGATGTGGTAGAACATACCCTTTTTTGAGCTTGTTGAAATTGTCTAAAGTCTTGCCATCATCATCATCGGGTTCGATAACCCATTGTCTTAACCAGGTAAACAAATCAGATGGTAGAATCTTGTAGAATTTGGCCAGAATGTCCTCAACAAAATGGTATCGCTCATATTGTAGGGCAATTCTGACGACCTTTGGCAAGACGGACTTATCCTTCATCAAGTCAGGGTAAATTTCCAACTTGGGCATTACATTCTCAACGAGGCCGACCATTGTGTTGATCAGGTGGTCTTGCATATCTGGCTGAGAGCACAAGTGCATAATGTACTTGATCTGCATCTCTGGAGACGAATCGCGATGGCTGTCAAGCTGGCTAAGTAAGCCAGCAACCGAGTCGCGAGGGACAATAACGATAGTCTATTCGTGATAATCAGTGGGAGGTACAATTGAAACAAGGATCATACTTACGCTTCCACGATACCAATGTGTTGCTGTTGTACCCTAGTAGCATAAGTTAGCAATAAGCTATCAGCTAGGATTTTGCCCAAGTACGCACGGAGTTGCCACTGAATTCATACGCTTTCTCAGACTTCACACCCTTGAAGGCACTTGGATCAAGAATGTAATTCTCCGTGATGACTAGCTCATCTGTAACGGCGTCACCTTGCAGGTCTCTAAGAGTCTTGAGTCGACAAACCGTCTCGTCAACTGAATATAATGGAGGGTGATAACCTTTGAATGGGTCTGGATAGATGTCAAGGGTCCTGGCCAAGGCCAAGGACAAGGGATAGAAAGCCTGCATCTCTGGCTCTGCAAAGTCTATCATGCCAATCTCCTCTCTCTCAAGCAGTGCAAGAAACATCGTAACCGGACATCCTTCCAATGCTTGTTGAAGAGCCATGAACCGGGTCATGTCTGCTCCCTTTAGCGACTTTTGGGAAATGTTGGCTTGAGTATACTCGTGATCTAGGACATGGCATGCATATGGAGTTTTGCGATCCTTTTGCTCCTGCGCGAGCCATCCTCCAACCAATTCACGGAGGGGCTGCAGTTCGGTTTCTGAGAATGTATCAAATGTGCGAGGCGAGGATTGGTCGATGGCGAGGTTGTAGGCAAGAACCCAGCGATAACCTGACTTGACGGGAAGAACCTCGTGGTGAACATCCGAGTACCAAGCAGCACACGAAGCTTGGCTCTTGGAAGATTCATAGACAATCTCCTCGCCGCAGTGCTCCAGAAAAACCTCTCCACCCTTATGTTTCGATGGCAGACTGATGACGAGGGTTCCAAACATGTTGGGGATTTTCTCCGTGCTGGCGACAACGTTAGCTCGGCTGGCCATACGGACAGGAAGTATTAACGTACTCTGTGTGTGCCTTGAACATGGCGCCCTTTTCATAGAGAAGCATCTTGTAGAGCTCGGCGTGGACAGGCGTGTTGATGCCCATCTTTTGAGCGACGAGTTCACACAGTTCCTGGAGGTAATCGGACCATTCGCCTCCGCCAATAGTGAACTGCTCAGGATCAAGTTCCCAAGTTTTTCGGACTGAAGTGTCAACAATAGTGTCACTTCCTCTCCCAAAGGGCGCTTGTCGTGCCTGAGTGATGATCTTCATTGCTTGCGCCTTCTTGAGTGGAAGTTTGATATCACCAACACCTTGAACAGAGATGTTGAAATCCTCGGGAATTTCAATTTCTTCATCGAATGCAAACTTGCCCACGATCTTGATGTCTTTGATAGCCTTGAGAAGATTGACCTTGAAGTCATCTTTAGTAGCCATCGTGCTCGAGTCGCTTGCAACGCTCTGCTTGTCTTCGTCGTTGTCTGAGCCGGAGCCAGATTCTGTAGCAGGGCGATCGTGAGCCATCTTTCGTGAAGGCATCACGATCGGAGATTTGGATGAAAGCAAGCCAAAGGTCGTGTTTACCACTATTCAGAGAGTTGTTGCGCAAGGGGTAGAGTATCGACCAACGAAGTCTGGGTATTTTTGGTGTATGTCACCGCGAATGTGAAAAGAAAACAGATCTAGAACGAGGATGAGAGGTATGAAATAGCTTACGAGGGTAGCTCATCTGAGCTGTCATTATGTTTAAGCGGCCTTTGTTGGCTTTCATCCTTACAGTGCGCCACACTGTAGAGCAAACGAGCCTCAAGGCGCCAGATGCAGGCACTTGCTGGCAGTGGCAGAACAAAGAACACATATTACATGGGATGAAAAGTAAAGTCGGCGAGAACAACGCTTTTTAAGTTTAGAAAGGTTTTCAGGAAATACAAGACCTGGTTACCTAAACAGTACTCTTACAACGATCGTTAGATGTAACGGGGTTTTATACTACTCACGGGCTCTTATATTAACTCCTTGAAGAACATGTCCAACTTAGCCTTCCCATCATCTTTGGACAGGAAACTATTTTCATCTTTTGCACAATTCTCTAGCAAACACATGTACTTATTTGGGCCAATGTTTAATGGCTTCTTAAACTCGAACATGGCGCTTATACCCGCCAGCTTGAGTCCGCATTCCGAGCAAAAGTCCCGTTCCTTTTTGTAAAAGGCTTCAAGACAAAGCCCGTCCCTGCAAGAAAGTCAGCTTGATGAGCACATGGTTATCGAGACAAGCGGCCACTGACTCGTCGGCAACACAAAGATACTCCTGTGTCCCGAAAAGGGACAGGGCGTAATCTACTGTTGCGTCTAGCCCTAGAAGCCCTTCCAAAAGGTCTTCTTTGTAGCAAGCTCTCGAAAAATCCAAGAAATATTGCCGAAGAGAAGAGCGGCATGACGATGAGCAGTATGATGCTGCTAGTGCTGGGTCCTTCAAATAAAGTCCGCTTTCTACCGAATCTCGACCGAAGACGAAAGGGCAGTCAATGTCTGTTGAGAGAGCTTGGCGACATTCTTCGTTAACGGACTCGGGGATTGTGCCGTTCCATGGCTTGTAAGCGGTAGCTGAGTGAGTTGTGAGAGTGAAGACTATGGACGTGAAGATTGGGAATCGCATGGTTACGAGTAATCGAGGAATAAGGAGAACGATTGACATTTAAGAAGAGGGAATTGTGTTGAGAACGAGATCTCTCATGTGAGGTCAACGCATTGTTGGTCGGATGTCAAGATTACTGGATCGATCCACTCTTCATTTAAATTCTATACCAACACTCCATGATGCTAACAACCAACAGCCAATACTCCATGCTCTCACAAACGCTATTAAAAATCACAAAGAAATACGGAGTAGGCAGCCTAATCACCTCCTCCACCACCGCCTCCGCCTCCTCCACCATCACCACCACCGCCGCTGCTTCCACCACTATCTCCTCCTCCGCTTCCTCCGCCCGAATCACTACATCCTCCTCCACTACTGCTGCCTCCATGATCTCCATGGCCTCCATAGCCATGACCGCCACTGCCTGAACCATCTTCTACTCCTCCCCATCCCCAATTCCCTCTATCCCTGTGCCCATGACCGTGACTGTTACCAGCTGTGTCATCCGAGACTCCTCCATACATGTTTCCAACGGGATAGTTTCCACCATCAGTGGTAGCTGGGACATGGTATCTTCCCCGTGGAGGCCCAGCAGCGCTTGCCTTGTTTGTAGGTGTTATGTGTATATGTACTGGAGCTGTATAGGCGCGTCTTGGTATAGGTTCGTCAGGTGTTGGCTTTGACTTTTCAGTGTCTCTTTGCTTCTTCCGTCTTGGGAAATATTTGGTAAAAAGATCTTTAGGAGACATTGCAGTGGAAATGTGGTGATTGAGGACCAAAATATCGTATGAATTTGGGCGCGATGTTTGCCCTTTATACCTATCGAGACTCACTTACAAAACCGCCTCGGCTGTGTTGGTGCTAACTAAAATGGTATCCGTGGTACCATCATCTTGACCTTCAGCCAAGTCGGGCGTCTTGCAGCCCACCTGACTCGGCTCAAACCGAACCGTCTTACGAGCTTCGAATATTCTAACCAAATGGAGAAAATAGCTTAAACAGAGCTTATGGTACTTTATTAATGCCTAAATGTTAGAAGTCGGTAGAGTAAGACATGCGATAGGATGAGACGAAGCTTTCCTTGTAATTTATGTATGCGCCGATATCGCTAATTCACGAGCTTGACTATGGAAGAACTTATAGGAGCCCAGAACATAGCTCGCAGAATAAGAGACTCTCCGTCCGTTCTTCTATAGTCAAGCTGAAAAGGACTCCACATTTGATACCATGAGCTTTATGGTCCGCCGTAGAGCCGTTGGATACCTCCCTCCACTTCTAACCGCCCGGCTGATATCGACTTCTTGCTCAGCCCCAGGCTCCTCGATAAGCCAGACAAAAATGCCTGCTTTGGAAGAATGACGACACTTATTAGCTTGCTAGCGAGGCTGATTTCCTGGGTTGCGTAACGTGAAGAGAATGGTCAGTGTGGCCCAAGGCAGCTCGGCAGTTCGCTCATTGCCTTGCAAAGGTATAAGACACACGCAAACTGCGATGCAAAGAACCTGAGTCTTGTACTGCAACAACACCTGTTTATTACAAGATAACAGCGAAAGTTTCAGAACTAAACTTAGGACTGACGACGACCCAACTCCATTACAGTCGCTGCGATTGTTATTGGGCCACAACCCTCCAATGCCATTGTATAGAATTTGGTTGGAATTATTTACTACTGTCCTTTTCTTAAGAATACACTTGGCCGGGGCATTGGCTGGCTTGGGTGGATAAAAACAGCCTGCCGCCTTAAAATGTATCTGGCGAATTGCAGAAGCTGTTACCGCCATCTGTTTCCGTATAAAAACAAAATCATGGGCTGTTATTGGAAAGCGCCTTACACAGCCGAACCTGAACAGGATACCTAGGACCAGTAGCTGAAAGACTTCTTCGCACTCTCCAACCTCACCTCAACAACCAAGTTTACAGCTACAACATAATAAAATGAGTACTTTGCCAGTACTTAATATATCAAGCATAATTTTCCGTTATTCTGGCCTTGTCGGAAATCTCATAGCTATCTCTTCAGCAGCCCGTGTTCCGCCAGGAAGTCCCCCCTTGCGGTATATATACGATCAACTCCTTGCGATCCAGTCGGAACTACAAGATGGCCTCCTTTCTTTACAGGAGGAAAGAGCCCTATCGGCTGACAGAAACTTTACTACGATACTAAAATGCGCGAGAGCGTGTGCAAGGGACTGTGGTACTCTTCTTAAGGCTGCCAAGACAAATCTCGAGAGAGAGACTCAAAATAGGCAAGGGGGGCAGTTCCTGCAGTTAGTTGATCAGCTGTTCGTGCCTTCATATTTTGGGAATCTTCAAGGCTCGATCAATGAGTATACTCGACCAAGTACTCGCCACTTGGCGAAGTGAGTCAAACCAGTCTTCATTCTATTGATCCATACTAACATGGATAGCAACATCATATGCCATGTGCATGACCAATTGAGAGACATTGAAAACCGGTTCGGCATTTCTCTGGGATGCAATGCTTTTGAAGAGCTCCAAAGGTCCACAGGCCTTGTTGACGCTCAACTCGGCCAAATTCCTTGCGGAACAGAGGCTTGGGATGAAGTCTGTGACAGACTGCAACACATATTGTTCAAACTTCACCACCTACAGACAGCAGTCCCACTGTTATGCGCCCTCAACCATAGCGACAGATCACTTCGCCAGAGTAGGATCTCGACAGCTCTTGAGGGAACGTTCTCCTGGGTCTTTCAAGAACAAACAGACGATGCCATCAATGCTCAATCCTCGTTGCGTCGCTGGCTCACTTCAGATCAGAGCCTTTTTTGGGTCACAGGCAAATCATGTTCAGGGAAATCGACATTGATGAAATTTGTTTCCGAACATCAGGATACCCGGACCTTACTGCAGAAATGGGCTGGGCATAGGGAGCTATTGATCGTCAATCACTACTTTGATGCTATGGGTCTACCAATCCAGAGATCATTTGAGGGACTTCTGAGATCCCTCGTATTTGGAATTCTTAGTGCAAAGCCAAGTCTCTTGAAGATTTCGCCGTCGAGTCTTGTTTCAGCATCGAGCGCTCTGCCAGCAACTTTCAAATTCGGACATATATTCAGCTCCATAACGAAGAATGCTGTTCCAGTCAATATGTGTTTCTTTATCGATGAGCTGGACGAGTATGAGGGAGATCATGCAAAGCTTTGTCAACTGATAGAAGATGTGGCGGCCCTCTCCTATGTCAAAATCATTGTTTCCAGCAGACCACGGGGTACATTTGAGGATTCATTCGGTAGTTCTACTGAAACCACACTATCTCTGGAAGAGGCCAATCGAGGTGATATCAACAGATATATCAAATTTCATTTGGAGGGAAGCCCTTTGCAAAAGAATAAGGACTGTTCGAAGTATAAGGATCTTGATCTTGAGTCCCTCAGTGCTCAAGCACAGGGGGACTTCCTCTGGGCTGTTTTGGTAACTCGTTTTCTCCTTGATGATCCGTCTCCTTTGGTTGATGCCTACAACGGAGCAGAAAATGCTGAAGACATCCCCCACAACTTATCAGGCCTAGTAAAGACTGTGGCACAATCCTCGAACTTACAGTGTTATGGAAAAGCTGCTGAGTATCTGACAGTCGCTCGCGAAGCAAAACGATGCCTAGCTGCCGAAATTCTCTTCTTTCACAACCTCGACTTTGCCAATGATATGTACGCCTTTATGACACCAACGGACCTTTTATCGCCCCATGACGAAGAAACAAAAGAACTACATCACCAGATTCGTCGCGACATCATGCAGACATGTAGAGGACTGCTGGAAGTTGTCGATGGCCAAGTTGTCTTCGTGCATCGAGCTGTTTTGGAATTGATACATTCTGAAGAGTTTTGTAACTTTTTACTCACAAAGGTTCGGAAAGGGTTCGATTCTGATCTCTCAGTCTTCAAAGCATCCGTTTCTTGGTTCAAGCGCAAACGTTTCAGGAGCGGCGAATTCGTCGACTTACAGCCCGAGCCTGCAGCGGTCAGTTTAACATATGTACAGAGCCTTTCAAAGTTTCATAAGAAATTAGGGAGTACCTTGCCGGATTTTCAGGATACATTCAATCACCCAGTCGACGTTTACTGGATGACAAAGGCTGTCAACATCCGAGGAGGCTTTTACAACGTATGTAAGCACGAAAGATGGCTGGATGTTATCAAAGACTTGGGATATAGCGACGATACTGCAGTATCAGTTTCAGACCCACTCAAGAAGCTGTATAAGCGATGGCTTCATCCATACGAAGAGCACCTGCACCGAAAGAAGCTAGAAGAACACGACCCTATGAAAGATATTGAAGACCTTGTTGGGAGCTTGAGGAAGTGTCTTGAATACGCACGACGTTGCGATCAAAAGGAAAATACTGTCGCCACGACTTGGGCACTCCTTGACAACGTTGAAGAAAGTCTGTTGTCCATGACCGCGAGGAATCAATTCAACATATCGGATGTATCTATGGCAAGGGGCATTTACCGTCATCTTGTGATTGAATCCGGTATCCAGAGATACATCGCGAACAAACTCTGGGTTGATCCAGGATATTGTGATAACAAATATTCACAGAAGTACCGATCACCTCTGTGTTCTGCGCTTGGAGCGGCACCACATAACCTTCATCCTGCGCATCTAAGTCCAGAGTCTATGGATAGATCACTCTTCAAATCTCTTCTTGCTCTTGGGCATGAGCCAAATAAGTTTCACCATACAGGGGAGACACCCTGGGTGTCTTTTGTGAATACCCATATTCCTAACACATTGTCTAATTCACCCCCGGGGTTCAACAAGATAAACATCAATTTGATAAATGAGATATCTATTCTCATGCTTGAACATGGGGCCAGGCCAGGGGATCATGTCGAACTTCTAGACAAGAAATCGAGGACGTGGAAAGTTCCAATTTGGTTCAAGTTCCTTATGCTGGCCCATTGGGTACCGGCTTTTCAACAAGCCACGTTCGAACGTGTTTTCAGCATGATGTTGGAGAGAACCCCAGGTATTCCAGATTCCAGAGCTTTACTGGAACTCAAATCTGATGGCGAAACATATGAATGGATTCCTTTTCCATTATGGGCAATCTGTGCTGACAATTTTGCACTACCTAACATCTCAGATTCTAGCCCATCTGATGCTGGGTTTGTATTCAGGATATTTTTAGGAAGCTGTGAAAAGAATCTGAATAACTTGGAAGTATCTGAAAGGTCTCGAGAATATCTTTCGAGTTACTTCCTTCCAGACTACCCGGAGCTTGGAAGACAAATACTGATGCTCATTCCCGGAAGTGACTCTAGGACGATAGGTTTCACAACAATCACCTCGGTCACGCGGGACGGAAACACAGAGAGCATTAGTGGTCGAAATTCTACGGTTGCGACTTCAATTGAGCTTCCAGAAGGTATCGAAGTTGAATCTCGTAAAGAAGGTGCAGTGTGCAATGGTGCGAGAGCAGAGGTGGATGCAATCATTGACGAAGTTGGCTCGATTCAGTCAATTGACGAGGACATTCAGTCACACAACAGCAGCATTGCACGAACTCCAGGTATCATCGCCGCTGAGCGCCAAATTGGTGACTTGCTTTCCCGGCATCCGGATCTCCGCTTCATCATTGATGTATCCTCAGAACTTATGCCAAAGGAGAGGCTCGAGCGCAATATTCGGAGATCACTCAAGCATTTGTATCTGAAACTCAGAGAACAGACGGAAAAGCACATCGAAATCCAGGTTTTGACAACTCGAATGCTTAAAGGGCGAGGTTCAAGGACTAGAATCTCAAGAAGAACTGTCGATGGCGAGTTAGCATCCCCATCTCCAAGGAATAGCAACGAGGAAGACGAAGAAATCCGGCCGAGCTTCCGGAAGGATCGAGCTTATCTCAACAATTGGATATTAAAAACGGAACTGTCTGCGAGACCAGATGAAAAGCCTCAGCAGCCAGCAGATGCGGCTGATGATACCAAGCTGACAGAAAGTGACGACGACATGTGTGAAGAAAGAGAGAGTGATTCAGAAGAATTCCAAGCAGTTCAAGTCGCAGAAGAATTTCTCATGAAGGGTCCTCCTTTTCAGGCGTTCTTGGCACATCTTGGACTCTCATTATTACCTGATACTCTCAGACAGGCCATGCAATTAGCTGCCTGGGATACCATTGAACTTATCGATACTCCGGCTGAAGTTTCAATTTCTGATCAAATCAAAACTTCCGTGGAGAAGCTGACCGGCAGCCCCTGGGATTGGTGGCCACTCAAACCGCCGGAGGTACCTTTGCGAAGGGGCTATGTACGAATGAACTGGGCTTGCGTGAGTTACTACGAGTATAAGACACTTTCTATGTAACCTCCTGACTAGAAATAGCATTGCGGTAAGCCGTTTTGGGTACATATTACTTCTTCTCAAGCACAAATTATTGAGAGAATGGTCAAGAACCCCACCACGTTCGCTGAAGACCATTGCAAGGCCACCCATGCCAGGCGAAATACCTTCCAGAGGGTCACGGCATGGTTCAAATGGAACTCTGGAACCCTTTTGCCTGTTTCGACTCCAGTATCCCAAGATAGTCAACAACCGTCTGGTGTGGGCGGCAATAACCGAATCCAACAGGGGGTCGCTACTACAGAGCAGAACAACATCCCGCCAGTGACTATCGATGATTTAAGGATCTTATTTGGAGTACCCATGGGGCTTAAGACGCTACATGTGATCCCAATCCCGGTCAATCAACCAGACAGCAACGTTTTTCCACAATTGAAGGCTGAGTATAGAAGAATGCGAGGCCGATGGAGAGCTTGGTTCTCTTTCTGGCAGCTCAGTCACTGCAATTTCGTTAAGGTAGGTGCATGTTCCTATGAAGTTTACATTCTCATATGTCAAATGCCTCAAATTGATCTTCCAACACATATCAATAACATGTTCTGGTAATATTCATTGACAATTCATTAGTTTGAGAGCATTGCCCGTAACATTGTTGTTGCTTGTGGCCAAGATCTGCCAAAAGCGAGCGACCTGGACTACGATTATACACCAAAGCCACCTCAAGCATCAATACCACCTGTTCATCCACATATCTTCGAAGTTGCATTCAACAGCTGCACTGGGGGTAAATGCCGAAACCCCTCTCCCTTTCACGACTGCTATGAATTTGAAGAAACGACCTACATAAAGCGAATTCCGAAGAAAAAGACACCACTTTCTCCGGGAGCGATTGACATGCCTATTTGGGGGCTCGAGGCCCGGCATTGCATCTCGTGCTTTCACGTCATAATATACCACTTGCTTATTCTGGTTCCTCCTTTTGTGTTGTGGGGATGGTGGATGAGTAGGCATCCCGATGACATACAGAGCGCATCTGTTCCCATGACTGTTGTTTTGGCAATGATTTCTATGTTTTGGAGTGCTACTGGAATTATGAAGCAATTTCGTGGCGAGCCATAGTTCTATGGGTGGGTGAATCTGAAGATCTATGCTGAACTTATGACTTACGAATATGAAAACACGGCTGCTGATGATGATGGAACTGTTTTATATAAGAGATCTACAGAGCATAAAGGACCCTGCTCTTTAACAGAACGGGAGAATAGAAATTTATTGCATGCTATGTTCGAGCTGCAGCTACTACAAACTTGGCCCCTCCTGGATACTGTCCTTCTCGTCTGGAGAATGAGAATCGTAACAGAGACGACTCAGATATGAACAAGATCAGGCCGCGTGGCCTAATGGCTAAGGCGCTAGATTTCGGTCTTCAGCAACTGATCCCTCTAGAGATTCCAGGTTCGACTCCTGGCGTGGTCGATTGACACAGCTGATCCAATTTCTTTTTGCATTCTTCTGCTCCTGTAGGGAAGAGGAGCAATATGTTTTTTTTTTTCACTTGATGCAAAATAAGAGATAGAATGAGCAAAAATGTGGTTCCGCCCGGGATCGAACCGGGGACCTTCTCGGTGTTAACGAGATGCCATAACCAACTAGACCACGGAACCTGTGATGATCGAGATTAATCTCTTGGCGATTGCTGGTTGGGGCTTCGCTATTGAGCTCCAAGTTCCCGATACCACCGTGTATTCGGAAAATAGGCAGACCATTTCGTTCACCTGGTAGTTAAAACAGTCACTGATCCAATATTGAAGGAACATACGTCTATTCATACCCATACCATACGCCTGCCCATGATATTAGACGCCTCTCGTCTTACTAAAACGAGTTACCAATGTCATCCCAATCAAAGTTATCCATGTCCTGAGTATCGAATCCTTCAAACATGGCAGCATCCCCTGAAGGATCCAAGCTTCCTCCATCATTGGCAGATCCAAGTCCCAGGTCAGATGGTACACCACCCATACTGACATCAAGAGTCAAGTTATCGACAGACATATTGTCACCCTGGACACCTGAAGCCGCAGCAGCCATGGCATCTCCAAGTGCAGCGGTGTCACCATCGAGGTTGAGAGACATCTCTGCAGTTTGGAGAATTCCTGGAGGCTGGGGGATGATCATCTGTGCTTCGACACGACGATGTAGACGTACAACGATCTCAGCGAGTGCTGGGTCTTTCTTTTGGAGTTTCCTACAGCCTTCAGCTTCGACTTTGAGAAGGTCGCGAAGACTACGCTGACGCTGGACCGGTGGAAGCATGTTTCCGTTTACATCAACAACCGCAGGGGCATCTTTCGCAGCGTCAGGTGCACAGATCAACGAGATAGCTACGTCATAGACAATACTGGCACTTCCAGCCTCTGTGTGTTGTCGAATCTCCTCCAAGATAACGTGCAATACTCGTTTGGGGCCCATTATCTTCAAAGCAGCCAAGATTTGTCGATGAGTATAAGAAGTCGGCATACTGTTCATAGCAGGATGGATGCTCCAGTGGACAAGACCTTGGATGGTAAGTTTGATGGCACTAGAGAGACCAGTGGGAGGTGTAACAGTCCAAGACTCGAGCTCATTGAGGTCAGTCCCTCCTGTCCGGCGTGACAAGGGGATGCTATCCTTGAGAGTCCGCAAAAGAGGTTCAATGTCTTGATTCTTGGGATCTCGACGTTGGTATGTTCGTAAAGCATGCTCCAAAGGCTTTGCAATGAGGTTTTTGACGGATGAAAGCATTGTGCTTGCTTCTCCCGAGATGGAACTTGGAAGGAGGATGAGCTGCAAAATCTTTATGATGGACTTTTGTTCCTTTTGGTCGATCCAGAGATAGTCCGCCAGGAATCTAATCGCCGGCACAAGAGATGGCAACAAGAATGTATCCACAAGGTCTGCCTGGTCGTCAGTATGAATCGCTTAATTGGCAATGGTACTCACATTCTATGCCTCCCTTGAGGCTTTCGTCGTTGAGATAGCCATGCGTGTATGCAACCACAATGCTCTGGAATAGAGGCGCCACAACAAGATAAAACTCTTGCGGGGGGCAAGATGACATTAACTCGTCACCAAGGCCACCGGCCTCAGTATCAAATAGTCCATGAATCCATCCGTTGAGATGATCATTCTCCCTTTGAGTGAGCTCATTACATTGTCGTCCAATATGTCCCCTGCCAATAATCTTAGCAACCCAAGAGTCAGGGCTGGCGATGCCAATGTCCACTGCGTTTAGGTTATATCGATAGGTGAAAGCCAAAACCAGCAGTAGAACGGCACCAAACTCCTCGTACACAGGCTGATACTCTTCTTGATCATCTTCGTAACGCCAGTTATCAAGAAGTTGACACAGGGGTTCAAGGATGTTCGGAAGCTTCTCAAACAGAAGAATGACGTCTAATGACTGTGGTTTTGCAGCAAGTTGACTGCATAATACTTTCAGCGACATCGTTTCCTTACTATGACATGATTGCCGTAGCACCTATAGCTGTTAGAAGTAAACAATCGACGAATGAAGGCACTTACCTCAACAAGTGCTTGGCATACTGCACCGACATTGCCGTCCATCTTGTCGAGTTCCCGAACGAGCCCCTGAATCTTTTCGGTATCAGACAAACAGTCTTGCACAAGCTTATCTTTGGAATGCTTCTGTAAAGATGGTTCGTAGGAAAGAGATATTTCTCCCAAAATCCTCTCCACGTGCTCCCTTTGCACGAGGCCATGCAGTACACATGCAGCGCAAAACTCTTCCCTAATACTTTCCGTATAAGGGTTGTTGTTTCTAGACTCGTCAAACATGAGTGACGCTGTAGGAAACAGGCTTGTATCCACATGGCTCAGTGCCTCCGTGATGCAGAATTCAGCCGATGTGCCTGGGAAGCCAGGGGGCAACAGCTGATAGAGAAGTATAGGAACTTTGTTGATCAAGAATGATCTCAAAAGATGGGCGTCTTTCTGTCCCTCATTGCGGAAAACCGCGTTGGCCAAGATATCAAACGACGCGAGAATCAGGTCGATGGCACTGGATTGAATATCTCCTTGATACTTGTTGCTCATGTATGAAAACAAAGCATGGTCATCTAAAAGAGGACGTGCAATAAGCTAACAAATTAGTATAGCCATAAACCCAGGGACATTAGTCTTACCGCAGCGTTTAGATAGATGTACAATCCTGCCCGAGTGTTGCTGACTGGAATCTCTGCTACAACAAAATTGTCCAGGCCAACAGCTGAATCAAGAAGTTCGTCCATAGCAGCATTAGTAGCTTGCTTCTTCTTATCGGCGGGATCAGAGCTGGCAAGGATCTCCGTTCGAAACTGCTCGAGCTTGTCTGTTATTTGCGGCACGAGCTGTAACGTTGGCACAAAGCTTGCCAAGCTTGCAGACATTTCTTTCCGGACGTCTGTACTAGTCAGCATGAGTACAATTGAGGGGCAATTGTATTACCTTTGGCAATTGGTTTGCTCACAGCTCCTACAAGGATATCGTTCTCGCACATCCGCAGTAACAGTGCGACCAGAGCTGCCCTCGACGACTCCATCTCATCCCGTACCTGGGCTGTGTGCAATTGCTCAAGCATATCAGCTGCAAAAGCAGTAGTGAAAAGCACCATCAATTTGGAAATAATCCTTGTCATATCCAATGCCGTTTTTGAATCTCGTATGGCTTTGCCTTCTACTACGGACTTGGTAATCCCGTAGAAAAGTACCTCTTCAGCCCAGTAAGAGCTCTTCCATCGAGTAACCTTCTGTTTCTGTTCATCCTTTTCTTTATCATCGCTTTGTTCGGTCTCCTTGCCGTCATTGGCGTTCGGCTGTTGTGCATATGCATGTAAAGACGAGTATTTGTATAGCGCTTTCAGTATTGATGGTGCATCGACGTAGCCGAGCCTTGTGAGTACTTGTAAATATGGAGGGATTCGAGGGTCGAGACTATTATCGTTTGATGGTTGAGGACGAAGAAAGAAATCGGCGACGAGGGCAGGAGGTAGAGGATGTTGATCATGGACGAGTCGAACGTAATTCTCGAACTTCTCTGTATCGAGACGTTGAGAGATACAGCGTGCGACGAATTGAGACCAATATTCTATGGCCGAGCGCATCGCTTCTGCGGCTGCTGCGCGAGAGTCCATGGCGAAGGGATATTCGTATCGATGATTAAATGGTTGGTCGCGAGATCGATCGATGAACAAAGGAGCCTTGGATCGCGTCCATAAGGTGATCCTTCAGGAAAGACGCCCGTCTATTCAATTAGGCGTCAATATACCAAGAAATTCCAAAACAAATGTATTATAGTGGCGGAGATTTGCTCTCCCAGCGTCGGCGCATAAACTTATGTGGATGTAAAGCTTGAGCTGTCGCGGAGTCGATGGCCTCGGTGTTGACTTTGGTGGGACTCACTTTGGCGCGGATTTGTTCCGCGCTGAATAAGACTGGCAGGACCATCAACTTGGACAAATCCAATCGCCATAAACTACCAAAATATTAATAGAAATTACATTATTACTGAGTCTTTCATATTATGTTACTCCTGCTGACTACCTTACCTATAAGCACCGCGGCCTAGAAGCCTGACAGTCGTTGAAAGGTGAATGCACATTGATGGGACCATTACACTACATTTATGGCTGAGCTCTGTATTTCATGTACCACATATTGAGCTGCCCAAATTCTATCCAGCAAAGCGGTTAATTCTGACCCTAGACTCTATTTGTTACGCCAGGCTCAATCTCTTCCAAAATACTAATCAATTCCTCCCAGACCTTTCTGCACATCTCCTCCCCCTCATCTCCCTGCATAATCTTGGGTAGTTCATGAAAAGCGCCATTAGACATAAACTTCCCGTTCAAACTCTCATCTGCAAACGCTCCAGCCAGTAAGGCACGGGATCCCACCTCCGGAGTTCGTCCAAAAAGTGCAAGAAGACCTTTAAATATAAGATTGAATGGCCAGGGCGTGTTATCGAAGAGTGGTGTGCTACAGAAGCCAGGATGTACGCCGTTGACGATGATATAGCCTTTCCCAGATGCTTCAATAGCTTTGGCGAGTTGGGTCATGAATATGAGTTGAACTAGTTTTGTCTTGCTGTAGTGTTCAAGGACGCTTGGCTGCTCATCAAGAGCTTTGATGAAATTTGGCTCTTGTACAGGAAGGCGGCCCTAGTATAGTCAGTGTATATTCATGGTCGTTCACGGAGGACTCACCTCAAATGCAGCGTCAGAAGACACAATCACAATATGTGGAATAATGTTGAACCTGTTCGACGTCTGTCTCAAAGCAGGGAGAACAAGAAGCGTAAGTAGAGCCGTCGAGATGACATTGATGCTCAGCATGGACTCATGACCTTCGATAAGCTCACGCTTAAAGACAAGAAGGCCTGCATTGTTAATAAAGACGTCCAGTCGGTCTAACTTATTGACACGATCTGCAAACTCGCGAATACTATCGTGTGACGCGAGATCCAAGTGCCAGACCTCGACGACATTTTGTTTTCCAGTTGTCTCTTCAATGTCTTTCTTTGCATGGTCACCTTTCTCAAGACTGCGGCATGCAAGGATGACTTTAGCAGCACTGAGTTGGGTAAAGTGTCGCGCTGCCTCGAGAGCAATCCCTTGGAAATTGTTAGAGGCAGGCAATGAAAGAAGTGGGGATTCAATTACCGCCGTTTCCGCCAGTGATGATGACTACTTTGTCTGTGCAATCTTCCTCTTGCGGTGGTATTGTAGTGAATTTGCCATGGATCATATTCAACAAGAACGACATTTTGGTCAGTTGACGCTGATCGAAGCGAATGCCGAGACAAAACAAAATGAGAGTGTAGTTCAATTGGTTGATATTGGAGCCGATCGTATCTGTAAGTATGATGGATCGTTCTGTCAAATGAGATGATGAAGCAGTGAGATTCAGATGTTGCTGCTGACGAATTGTCTGACAGGTCAATTTCAGCCGAAGATTGGCTACATTGGTCCCCTGTCTGGACATAACCACTCACTGAACACAAGTTGCACCGTTACATGTTGCTAAATAAGGTAGTTTCTATTCTTTTGGGAGCCGAAAACAGGGTAGATTCGAGCTCTAGACATCTGTCATACTATATGAACAATATTCGCTTGATAGACAGCGCTTCAATGCTCAGCGATTGTTAACTGAATAAAGACTTCATCACTGGCAATCCATGGGTTACATTTTGTTTTACTGATTATTAATTAAATATGAAATCTACAGAATGATAAAAACACAGGGGAATCTCAACACTAAACAAATACCTGGATATCACAACACCTCAAGCAACAACCCTACTTCTCAAAAACCGTCATCATAGTCCTCTTACCAGCCGCCCAACCATCAGCATAATCAGTACCCAGATATCGTCCCTTGACCCACCAGATCATGATGCTAAACAGCTTCATGGTACCCATCTGGCCAGTCGCCCGGCTTCGACCAAGGGTCACAGCAAACATTGGCTTATTGGCAGGGGTATACTCAGGAATTTCGCCGCCATCGAGGTGAGTGGGAAGATTCTTGAAAAGATGTTGTGCCTGTTTGTCCGCCATGCCGAGCTGCGAGTTCTCGAGGTTGCCAGCATCTCCGATGACGAAGATGTTCTTTTGGCCCTCAACTTTAAGATGGGTGGTCTGCTTGACGTAGCCGTTGCTGTCGAGAAGGTTCTTGGGAACGAATTCGGTGTTGGGAATGGTGCCAGTAGCAGGGAGATAAGCATTTGCGGTTATCTTCTTGGTCGTTCCGTCGGCAGAGCGAACCTCGAGGATGGTATCTGATCCTGAGGGTGTTGCACTGATGACAGTTGTCTTGGGCATTGTCTTGACCTTGAGCTTCTTGAGCTCCTTGAGGGTCTGCTTGCGAACTCCATCTGTCGCGGGGGGTGCAAGAGGCAGATCGTCAGAGTAGATGAAGATAACCTCCTTGGTTCCGTGCTGAGAGTACTCAAAGCCGAGTTCACCGGCAGTCTCGGAGCCAGTAAGACCACCACCAGAAACAACAATAGTCTTAGCCTTGCTGATCTGATCTTGGATTTCATGCAACTTCGCCTTGGTAGCTTCAGTAGATCCGATATCCTTCCAGATCAGACCATCCCTCGTTCTCGAGCCAGTAGCAATGACAAGAGTGTGGTAGTTGACCTCACGAACAGTAGCACTGCTGTTAAGCTCAACACTGACAAGGTTGGACGTAGTGTCAAGAGAAATAGCCTTGCCTTGAATCCACTCAAACTTGTCGGAAGGGTAAGTGCTGAAGGTAGGTTCCAAGGGGATGATAACCTTGTCGTCGGAGATTTGGCCGGGGACAACGACACGAGGCATGGCGACAGGCCAGTGGAAGTGAGTATTGGGTGAAATGACGACCATCTTGAGATCTTTGCGCTTCATAACTTGGTTGACCATTGTTTGACGGATCACCGGAAGGGCGGCAGGGCCTGCACCGAGGACCACGATGGTCTTGACGTCTGCCATTGTGGTGGGATTGAGTTGTTGTTGTCGAGATATTAGTTCTTTGTACACAGATGCAATTGCAGTACTGCTTAAACGTAGTCGTAATGTGAGTGAAGATGCTTGATTCAGAACAGGTCGTAACTCTCTACCTATATACGAAACGCAATCCAACTACCCTCCATCCCTTGCTTTCTCAGCGGATTAGAAACCAACAATTACCAGTTACCGCGCGCACAAGCCCCGTGTGAAAAAAAAACAATAAGGTTAAAAGGGCATTGCATTTCTGCCCTTGTTTAGATTAGAAAGACCAAATGCCGCGCGCGCGGCAGATGTTGTGGAGCTGGTGCGAAATGATTGATAGACCCATAAATAAAGGCTTCTGACCAATAGCATTGCTTAACGCTGGTTCTCCCTTCTGCCGCCGGGGGCTTCGGAGACTTAAATGCGCTGTGGCTTTGGCTTTGTCAGTGGATTAGATAACTCGGCGACGGGTTCTATTAAGACGCCGAAAATATTGAATTTTAATTATCGCGACAATGAGACAATCTGCATGTGTCGCTCTAAAGCTCTGGTAAATATACGGTTGACATAGTTTCTATCGCAGCAAGTGAAAGTAAACAGCAATTGAGACATGTATAGAGCGCTCATAACCTTTACAGAGCCTTGACAACCACAGAGAATGAGAGTTCTTCATCAATTAGATTTAGACCCTGCATGCTAAGTTCAAGTCGGTTGACAGCTGGCGCACAGCCAATGAATGCCTAAGCCAAGGACCCTGGCTGCTGAACAGGGAAATTTGGCTTCATGGCCCACCTCATGCCAACAACTTTAAATCAACAGATGAATAATAGCAATAAAACAATTCGTGATTCAATGCTGGATATCATATCGACCACGCTGGTGTTTCAATAGAGAGAGATACCATATAACTCCAAGAATTACTCTATTATTGGTAATCCAGTTCCTGAATTCCAAATGCGAACATATCATCGATGCTCTAGGTTAGGCGAGCCAATTTTCCAACATCGTTTTGGTATCAACTCAAAATATCACCTATCAACAACATCACCGTGATGGATATATTCAACATCTACTTTTAACCTACAGTCTGTGGTGCAATTATATAGCTGCGATGAATAATGTATGGCTCTTATTGTCTCGTGGCCTTAGTTCCTTTTAGCCCAACAAACTTGACCAACTCTTGTGAACTTCAAGCGAATATCCAGCTTGAGATACGAAACATATTATAATGTAGTGGATGATAGATGGAGCCAAGAGGAGCAATACTTCTTCATGAAGCTATCGACCTTGATAAGATCATCGAACAAAATTGCACGTCATGATCGTGATCTCCTCACTCGTCAATTTCAATTGTCGTCATTTCCTCTCTTGGCCTGACGCTTATGAGGAGGTGTTGACGATTTGTTGATCTAGCATTGCCAGTCACTGTGGGTATAATGAAGATGCCGAGAAAGTCGCTACAGCTGTTCATCGAGATGGTTTTCGTTATAATACCCCCTATGACAACAACCGTTATGGTACTTGATCTCGATGCTGCGCAATGACTTGTCATACCCTACAGCGTCACCAACCACCTAGTAAAGCGGCCCGAAAACAAATATCAGAATGGAGATAATGTTATCGAGATCCTGTACAACGGCCGTGTATGGTGACGATGGGTTGCTGACTCTGTTCGATATGACCCATCTCAGCTTGCATGGCTAGCATGGGTAACCCTCAACGTAATACCAGCTGAGATCACGTAGTAAAAGCAACCGAGTCGAGACCACGGTGACATATCCCTTGTCCTTCTGCCGTCACGAACTGGTCGACAGGGGATACTGAAACTTTGTCGAGAAGAAAAAACCCCAGGGTGTGGTGGTGCGGCTCAAACGTCATACTGAGAGGCGCTGTAATATGATGCAAAACTTCGCCGCAAGGCAACCACTCCACCGTCGCTTTGACCGGGGATCGTAAGCAACCTACCAAAGTGAGAATTGACAGGCAGAAGTGATATGAAATTATTGTTTGTTGAGATTGCGTAGTTGATTACTCCTTATGGAGATGGGAGGGATTGGTAGAGGATTTCGAGGGAACTCCCAACTTTGGTGACCAACTATCTCACGTGAATGACTTCCCTTCGCGATTTTTATGGCCACTGCCATGCGCACAGTCCATCCAATTGCAATTGTCAGCTCGAGGAATTGATCAAGCCACCGGGCTAACATCGAAACGTGCAATGGCTAGTACCTATTCCTGACTGTTTCATCGGGGGCCATCTCAGGTCACCAACCTGGAGCGGAGCCATCTTGCATCACATAGAACCTTATGTCATCTTTTCAGACGACGTCAAAACAAACATCAAAAGCAAGGATGCGGTGCGGGCTCTAGACGAGGGTCAGGGGACCCATCCAAGCTAGGAAAACATCGATGGGTCAAGGTTTAGAACGGCAAAAGAATCTCTCCAAGTGACAGAAGTTCTTTCGTAGGTGGCATTGATGATTTTCGTATCGACAAACAGAGTTGGAAATGCAGTGTCGTCATCACGTGTCACAACGGCTGATCAGAGGCGACAGTACTAAGGAGATGCCCTTTTCAGTATCGACTCTGCTGTAAGGGGTCCAAAGGGCTGAGATTTGGAGAGTGTCGTCCAGACCTCGAGATCACAGGCTTCTGTTTGGCCCAAAATCAAGGCCAAGAAGCCGTTTGGCAGCACAAGCTTGTGGGGCATAAAGTGAGGCTCTAAGAGAGGTTTTGACGTCTGTGACAAGCTGAAGATAGCTTCAGGCAAGGAACCAACAAAAAGATTGACGTCGAACGCAGCCTTTTCGTTTGGCTGTCCCTGGTTGGCTAATGACGCAAATGGCGTGGAATGTCTGTGATATCTCTAGCCTTGTGGGTTAAGGATAATCTCTGCAGCCCGCCGCTCTGGCCTGCTCATGACGCTGGTGCTCCCTAGACGTGCAGCGTATAACAGAGGCGAAACGGTGCTGAGGCGAGATATGACGGTGTACGGTAGCATTCTGCATCTTCCTCTCAGGAGCCTCAAATCAATCCTAGGAGTCTCCGTTTTCCCTTTTTCCTTTTCCTGTTGCGGAGAAAACGAAAATGACCCCTGTAAGAGGTGACATCAGCAAGCGACTCTTTAGCGTGGCGGCTGAGTGACCTCATTGGCGCACCTGTTTCACGACAGAGGTCCATGTATGCCGTCATTGGCCCACTTGACTCTCGACTACAATTTCCCCTTTCTCTACTGGTTGAGCGGCACAGCACACAGTTTTGAATCCTCGCCATGATGACTTGATACTGTGTTGACAATCCGACGTAATAGCAAATTTCTCTCCGTTTCTACACGACTTAGTCCGTTTCCGTGGCGGGTAAAGGAGTACCAGAATGCACAAGGGGTTGCACTCTTATTGAGTGCCGACGTCAACAGATGATTCATACCGGGGTGTGTTCTGCAACCTCTTGAAGATTCAGGGTCTTTCATGTGCGATCATATCTCATCTATTCGGTGTGATGTTCACCGAGATAAGATCGGGGAAAGTGGGAATAACCTCGCTTCAAAAACTTTGTTTAGGTGTAGAGTAACATCTGCTGGTCATCAACAGAGCAAGGCTTTTCAAGGTTTTCGGTGCGTGATCAACCGGGTATGGGGAAACCAGCCGCCAAGAGGGAATTTGGGTTTTGGGCCATGGGATTGTCCCAGATTTCCCATAGTGTTGGGCCGATATTCCCGTCTAAATTCCCTCACTCAGAATGGATCCTGGATAGTGATGTGCGCCTCCCGAGAGCATATCGGGCTCTCCCCACATTGATGCTACATGTTTGAGCCTCAAAGATTATCTTCTGCCATGAGACCCAATGAAATCTGAAACCTGTGGCTCTCGATATACGCCAGTGCTTGTCGACCTCGAGATCTCAGGCACTTTGCTTGAGGCTTTTGTCAATTTGGAGTAATCCCGCTCTGATCTCTGGGACTAACTCACTAGAGAGCTGCACCAGAGTCGGAAGAATGCCAGCCCGAGAGCTGCAGTGATGATCCCTGTAATTTGGCTCTTAAGGGTCCTGTCTTGGCAAAATAGTCCAGGGCCTGGGCGAACCGTTGCTGCGTTCAAACAGCCGCGTGACCCGCTCTATGAAGCTCGTGGTCCCTGGCGTGGTCTCATGGTCTCGGAGCTGAACAATCATTCAGCGGACTTTTGGGTAACAAGCGGGCGCAGTTTGCGGTAAACTTTGTTTCCTCAATGGCACAGGCTTCCATTTCGCATTGTCTCTTCGTAAGAGGGGTTATTTGTCGTAACAACACATGTTTCTCAGGCCATGATGCCTCCGCATGCATCATTGCCCCGTCTTTTGGCTTGAGCTTCGAGACATGACTTCCAATCACCCACCGCCATAGTCGAGCAATGATGCACGAGATGACTTCAGTGCCGGGACCGGATCAGCAGGGTCTTTCTGTATTTGCGCTGTACCCCATGCCACTCACGATTGATGCGAGTTAAGCTCTTTGCATTGGTGCAGGGATTTGTTGATCAACAAAGAGTGGAGTGGAATACAGTAACGGTCGTACTGTAAATTATCTCATTCCTGCACGTAGCCTCACCTCTCGGAAGCTCTGAATGAAAAAAGTGGCGATGGGGACAGGACCCTGAACAATGGATTTGAGCGAATCATAGAAGACTTCGTCAGGGTGCAGGGATAAACCGATGATCTCTCCGAAGCTTACAGCGAGCTCCAGTAGGGAGTCGTCAAGCTACGCCATTTACATGCGCTAGAGGACGTCTATCTCTGACGATCAGTCGCTCATGATGGCATTACATTGGTCTGAGCGGACTGTTGAGCCCCTCTTTTTCGTTGTGCTCTAGGGACATTTCCCGCTTTCAGAAGAGGAGAGGAGAGGAGAGGAGAGGTCAAGTTTGTCTTGTGCTTGTTGATGGTATCACGGTTGGAAGATGTAAAAGAGTACTTGAGACCCTGACCCAAGTGACAGAATACTTGGACAAATTTGGGATAGTTATAATAATTCATGAAGATTACCGCTTTTTGTATAAGCTGAAGAGGATCATGAAGTACCTGACCTTCGTTATTTTCGCACCCTCATCAAAGGTCTCAAGTCTTTTGGCTTTCCTAGGGACGGGTATGACATCCGGGCTATGAAGTGTGTGTGTGTGTGTGTGTGTGTGTAAGAGACAAACACAGAGAGGAAAAAGAAGGGTCCATCCATGATGATGATGGCCTACGGTGCCACTCACACCACACACCCACTTACAGGCGCTAACATCGGATGCCACGCCCCATTACACAAGACGAATCCACTGTGACTGCATTTTCAAGGGACCTGGGGGTGGAGACTTCAGGTCTGGTGGGCTTGGACTTTGGGCTTGGGCTTGCAGGTACCCAGCCCGCTCCGCTCCTCTCCTTCTCAGCACTGCTGATGTGCATTCTCGGGCTGTAAAGTTTGTGGTATAATAAGACCCTGACATCCCCTCTCCATTTTGATTCTCATCATCAATCAGTACAACGACAATCACAACAACTTCAGCTACTCAGCAGCCTCAATTTATAAACTCTCCTCTTTCAAGCCGGCGTTTACCACTAGCCTATTCAATTCAACAATTCGACTCACTTGCTTCAGTCGATAATTCATCACTCATCACGCAACTCAACCTCGTCTCAATCCTCTTACACAAACACCACAAAACACCTTCATCATGCCCGCTCGATCAGACTACGGCTCCGTCTCCATGTCCATGTCTCCCCCTCCTCCTACAAACCTCTCAAGCTACTCCCGTTTCATGCACGACCACACAAAGCGTCAGATGGAGGCTTCCGGTGCTAGCCCACCCCCAACCAACGCTACTGCTCAGCGCGCCCGTTCGTCTGGCATGACAAACGGCCACACAAGCCCCAACTACTCATAAATCATGACGAGAATACGACAATTCTAGAACTCCACTCCTATCATGAGTTCTACTTCTCACTTTTTTGTCGTTCTGCCTTGGCTGTTGGGGCATGACATCAATCGCGACGTCAATGGTGGCGAAGCTGCCCCCAGCCCCTTCTGAGCCAGGGCCTCATCATCACACTTCTCTCATGAAACAACATATTATTTACGGCGTACTGGTGCCTAAAAAAGTTCATTTTTATATGACGAAATGGCCTATTTTCAAAGTTCTTCTCTTTACAAGCAAACACGACATGCAAGGCGTTTATGGTCGAGGATTTATGAGCTGCGAGAGTAGCACTGTGACATAGCGGGAACAGGGACACACAGACATTAGTGGAGGAAAGAGAATATAGCATTTAGCTATTTGCTACGACTAGCGGAATGATATATGAACGAATTATCTGATCAATACTTTTTCTCTTGATGTTGAATTGAACATAATGTGACCCTATGTTTGCGCCAAAATCCATGATCGTCATTACAATTAGTTATTTAATTTTCCCATTGTCCTTTCCCTCATGACGATTTCTTTTTGAGTCCCAGAGCAGCTGCATGGTCTTTCTTCTTCTTAACCGCCCTCTTAAAGGTTGGCGCTGGGGCTTGCGGCTCAATAGGTGTTTCTTCTGGTTCGGCAACCTTCGTAGAACTCTCTACCTGAGCTCGTGCCGCAGCGAATGCCGCCTTGGCAGCTTCTTCATCTTCCTTTTCCTGTCGTTCTCTCTCTTCGTCTTCTGTTCGTACGATAGTATCTACAAAATCCACACCTTCTTTCTCGGATCGGTTGATGCGAGCGTTTCTGTGTCGGATTTCGTCCAAGGCATCGGCAGCGGCCATTTCTCGTTGAGCATCCTGGTTCTTGGCTTCCAGCTCTTCCATCTTGTCCAATTCTTCCTCGCCCGCGGCTTCTGCTTCCTCTCTTTCCAACCTGTCCAGACGTTGTTCGACGCTCTCTTCCTCAGCCGCGCGATTCCTCCACGGCTCATTGTTCCTCACCGCTCCACTGACAACAACGTAGTCTTGGTTCTTTGGGTCGGTCTTGATGATGATCTCCGAGCTGCAGGACGAACACCGGAAACTGAGCTTAACGATCTGTATTCCTAGGTACTTTTCGTCCGGCGGAGTCTCCTTGCGAGCGTTCTTCTTCAAACCGCGATTTGAGAAGGCGCCGCATCGTGTGCATCGCATAGTAAACTAGAGAGGAGTATTAGCTTCGGTTACAATCTTACAGGACTTTGGTGGGCCAAGACTTACTGGACACATTATGCGAACCTGCTGAATGCGAGGTCCAGCGTTCTTGGGACCACGACGACGCTGAAGAGCGCTCGGATCAAAGTCGGGAGGGTAGTATTTCTGTAGTACTTTGCGTTCCGACATCGTGGGCGAATTCGAAGAGTGGGTATTTCAAGTAAGGCTCAGTTATATGCGGAAGCGCGCTTGTAGATTAAAGTAGCTGGCGGTGGCAGAGCCAGATTCGTGCTGTGTGAATGATCGATCGTGAAGATTGAAGTTTTGGAGTTGAACAGTCGCAGAGTGTAGCTAATAATAGCGGGGCTATCTGGCTGAATAATGCAAAGACAACCAATCAGCTCGTGTCGCGCTTCAGCGGGCTCCTAAGGTAAGGAAGTCATCCAAAGTCATCGTAAGCTGACCTAATTCATTTATGTCGCTTAGGACCGAGGTCTCGAGTTTCTTGTCTCTTTTAGCATACCATAAATATCTCTCAGCGAGCGAAGACATCGATATCATGGATGGCTTTACGGATACTTAAGTTAGTAAGCATAGTGCGCTGCGCCAATAAGCTTGCATTATCTGGTATATGGGAGGCCCCACCTATATCTAGGCTCCACACTCTTAACATCCTATCCATCCACCAGCTCTTTACATGAGAATCTTCCTTCACCACACATCATCGCCAAAATGCCAAAGGCCGAGGTCGGTTCAACGAAATACGTCGCAAACCGCATGAAGGCCAAGGGCCTTCAACGTTTGAGATGGTACTGTCAAGTTTGCGGTAGGTAAACGCTACGCTGTCTCATCATCGTGGTTTCAACTCCTCTTATTCTCATAACAAATACTAACTGTTTCACAGAAAAGCAATGCAGAGATGCAAATGGATTTAAACAGCATACGGTTTGGTCCAAATCCGAGATAAAGCAGTGAGCAAGCCAATCACTAACTATCATGGTAGATGTCGGAATCTCACGTTCGGCAAATGTTGCTTGTCGGCGAAGACCCCAAGAAATACATAAAATCGTACACGCAGCAGTTTCAGGCAGACTTTCTTCAGCTTCTCAGGACCGGTCATGGTGAAAAGCCAGTACATATCAACCATTTTTATCAGGAGTACATACGAAACAAGGAACACGTACATATGAATTCTACCTCTTTTGCTAGCTTAACGGAATTCGCGAAACATCTTGGCCGCGAGGGAATTTGCCGCGTCGAAGAAAACGATAAGGGTATTCACATAGCGTGGATAGACCGGTCTCCAGAAGCCCTAAGACGACAGGAAGCATTAAGACGCAAAGAGGCCCAGGATCAAGGCAACGAGGAGATAGAACAGCGAATGATTCGGGAGCAGATTAAGCGAGCACAAGCTACCGCCGGCAGTCGGGAAGAGGAGAAAGAAGAGGACAATGAAGCTCGAGAGCTAAAGCGACAAGAAGGCGAGAAGATCAAGCTCTCATTTGGAGCGAAGCCAGCTGCTTCTGAAAAGAAGTCATCAGAGAGTCCGGTGCCAGATACAACAACTCCTGAAGCAGAATCTTCAAAGACAGCAGACACAAGTACGGACAAAGGCAAAGAGCCGGAAGCAGCGCCAGTAAAGCCCAGTGGATTTGGAGGTATCTCAATGAAGCTTGGCGGAAAGCCTCAGGCCAAGAACGTTTTCGCCCAGGCCAAGAAGAACGCCCTCTCTTCAGGATCGAAGAAACCAGCAAGGATTGAACAGCCAAAGAAAATGAGCGAGGCTGAACGTATAATGAAGGAGGAGATGGAGAAGAAACGATCAAGAGAGTCTGCTGGTTTCAGCTTTGGGATGGGCTCTGGTAAGAAGCAGAGAAATAACTGATGATATTAGGGATTGTATATCAGCCTGGACCGGGTTACAAGAGTTATAGCAAATGGCAAGGGTTCAATTATGTTAAGCCCAATAATTGCATGGGGCGTTTTTGCTTTATTCTACCATAGATACCACAACGACACTTTTTAAATGATCATATGCGATTTTCATAATCTTTACTCTTATGCCAGTCCCTCTAACGCCAGTTTCGCCAGAATCAGTAGAAGATATTATGCCAAGCCAGTTGAATGCATAGCGTTCTAAGCATCGTTCTCCGCCTCTGTGCCGTCACGTCTATAACCCTAGTCAGTTCGGTCCATCCCAGCAGCATCTAAGTCCAACTTACGGAATGTACTGTATTCTATACTCGTCTTCCAGCGTCGATCGAATTTCATCGGGGAGTTGACCCGACACTTTGATGGCGTACATGCCAGGTACATAGTTGTCGAGGCGCTGGTACTTTGCGATCCATGATTTGGCCGGGTTTGCGAGGGTGATAACTCCCTCAAAGACTTGGGAGGTGCAGCTCTCGATCTGGTCTTGCGAGTGCTGAAGATGTAGGAATTCCTCGCAGTTAGGGCAGCCTTCGTCGCGGAAGCGCTATATTCGCATTATGTTAGTCTCGGGCTCGTGCTTGACTTTCGCGATAGAGAGGACGTACGGCGTAGGTCATGACAATAGAGCAGACCATGCATGCCCGTAGGTAGCGCGCTTGGCCGGTGGAGACGTAGTTGGAAGACGACATAGTTCGTGTTTCGTGGGAGACACCGTCGATAGTGTTTTGTTTCGGCGATCGGTCTTGGGCGTGGAGAGTGGTTGTTGAAATGCTGAACAAGTTCGCGACAAAGGCGGCGATGAAGAGCTGTCATGCATTTAAGCGGTGTATGCAACAACTGCGATATCCACTTAAACTTGAATCTTTCATTGAAGATGGATCAACTTGACCATCAACGAACCATCTTGTTATTTCTATTCAAAATGACGCAAAATTCAAGCCAGGGAAGCCAAAAGTCAATCTTTCAACAGAAAGATCTGGAAAAGTCTCACGATCTTCTCGCATGCACAATTAAGGCGCCACCATTCTCATATGTACACCTGCAGCTTGTCAGCCTCAGCGGCTCATCATCTGTCACACTTGACAACCTTTCGCTAAAGAGCTACTGCACAACTGCTCTTCGACGATGTCTGGGGATGGTAGGAACTGCAATTTCTATGGATATACTCAAAATCGAAGCTGACCATGCCTGGGTCCGTATTCCAAGACCAGACCTTGGCTCCTTTGCGACGGCAATCACAGCATGGCAAGGCACAACCGATGATGGCGAGCAAGTAAGCCTACAACTACGACAATGCTCAGACTGGCTAGGCGCCATGGTTGGAGCGGACGGACAAGATCGACTATGGAATGCTTGAAGAGTGGCATTTTGTCATATTTATCATCATTCAGCTGGAACCTCATTTTATCATCTCATCTATCCGTAGATGGGGGTATAAAAGTATGCATGTACATCGCCCATCGGCCTACCCTGCAAATGCACCGTTTCCAGACGCCAGGGACCTGAATACATCGTGAAATCGCCGCCAGTTTCGCTTTCTAAAGGCTCTCCGTTTTTTCTACATCAGAGAAGACATGAGAGAGCTTTGCGCATATGCCTGGCAGTTGATCAGTATTGGGGGTTACGAGTAGGGCATCGAGGACCACTCACCATAGGCTTGATATCGGGATGAGGCACGGCATCAAATTGCTCGTACTGGAGTTTGTAGTCGGGGCCAATGTTGATGTAGGCACCCCTGTTTTCTGTTGAGTCACAGTATCGAGGGGCAGAGAAGACTAAGGAAAGGTCAGCAAAAGTTCAACAAAGATACCCAGAATAACTCACCGGTAATACAGCGGCCATCGTGCTGCACCTCATAACCGTCCATGCGAACCTCGTGACTTCGAATAACAGCCTCAAGACCGTTCTTCTCACAGAACTTCTTGGTGATGTCGGGACCGAACTGCATACCGACACCACGCTTGCTGGGTCCTCGGCCGTTCTCCTCCTGGGGGTCGGTCCAGAGCATCTCCATCATCAAACCAGCTTGACCGGGTTGTCGCTGGTTGTGTCGGTTGAGTTTTCGGATATCGTCAAGAGTGACGCTGTCATCAGAGAAAAGACCTCCGTGAAGGACAAGGTACTTCTTGCCGATGAGAGTGGCCAGAGCAAGAGCAGAGAAGCTCTCAGAGAACAGCTTGAAGACCCTTCATACTCAATCAGTACCGTCACGTGGATACGTGGTTCGCAAAACTTACCGCTCGTTATACTTGGCCTTGCACTCGCCCTCGAAACCGTACACACGGTTCATGTCATCCGTTTCGTGGTTACCACGGTTCAAGAAGAACTGGTTAGGTCGCAACCACTTGTAAGCATAGAGGAGCAGAGCGATCTCAGTCGACCAAGAACCTCGATCCACGAAATCACCGTTGAAAAGATACCAGTGCTTCTCGTCGGGGGTTCCGTTACGGCGGAACAACTCCATAAGATCGAAGTATTGACCTGAAGTGGCGAATTAGCTTGGCAAATCTCTGACCGACAAGTTTCCTTACCGTGAGTGTCACCACAGACAGTGAGCTTCACGTCGCTGGGAATCTCGACCTCAACCATGGTGGGCTCATCGTATACGAGCTTCTTGACCGCGATGATGATTTGGTAGACGTATTTCCGGTGGATCTTCTTGCCCGTCTTGAAACGTTCAATCATATCATCGATGAACTCTTGTGTCATCTCGTCGCCTAATCGCACACCATCATATCCTGGCTCAACCACCATGGAGTCCAGATCAAGACCCTCAGCCGCAGAAGGCTCATCGCCGACCTCGATTGCCGCAAAGAAGGCTAGCTGACGGACGATCTTTTTGCACTCCTCCAGCTTGAGTCTGGCATCTTTGTTGCTGGGATCGAGAGACACACATGTCTTGAAGTCGTCAATGGCCTCCTTAGGTCGGAGGATCGCAGTCTTGGCCAGTCCTCGTCGGTAGTACGCCTAGCAAGGTCAACATTTCAAAGCCTCTTCCTCCGGTTCGTTTGTGGTCTTGTGGCGAACCTTGACAAGTTTGGGGTTGAGCTCGATAGCCTTTGTAGCGTCGGCAATGGCATAACCGTAGGCCTCGGTCTTGATGTATGCCTAGAGTACCAAGTCAGGAAAGGTTCTGGGGTTAAGATCGTGTGGTATATTGACGCACTTGGGCTCGGTTGGTGAAGAAGGTAGGCTCCTTGTCGTTCAACTTAATAGCCTGGCTGTAAAAGTCTACGGCACTGGGATAATCTCCCGCTTGAAAGGCCTTGTTGCCCTTGTTCTTGAGTTCGACAGCCATTTTGCGAAGTCAGCGTTTGTTTGGCGAAGAAGTTCGCTGCACAGAAGGAGATCGAAGGGGGAGGAGGGGGAGGGGTTCTGTCGTTTTGCGCCGAGCGCACCTACAACCGCTGAAGTCGGTCGCAAAGAGAGAAGAAGTGGATTATGAAAGAAAGGATTCAGAAATAAGCTTGTGGAATGCTAAAGAAGCGAGATAATCTGCCAAAGCGGCTTGGTTCCACAATGTGAGGAAGGGGAAAGAAGTTTTGGACGTTGATGGAGGGCGGCTTTTCGGTGGAGTTTCTCCCCGCTGCCGGCGTCATGAAGACGAACCTAGAACGCCTGGCGGGGCGGGCTTAACGGGCAAGGCTTCAGGGCTTTCAACCTTTGTGATAGGTTAGAATGCCCCTGTAAGCGATCGCAGCTGGGCGCAAATCAGCAATGCCTAGCGTGACTACGCGCCTAAAGTTGGGGAATCTTTATCAATCGCCACCGACACCGATGTATGTGTGTGTGTGTTGCTGCATTGGAGCCTAGCCTCGGATGCGAAAGGGAATAGATGGTCTATTATTATTGTGCTACGTATCAGCAATCCCAGCCGAAGTTTTCGTACTTTTGATCACCAGACTATTGTGGTACTCTTGAAGCTTAGAGTAATATATCGCTTACTTCCTACTACCTTAGGTAGGGAGTTAACAAAAGTTACCTACTTAGGTACTAGGTATTCAAAGGTCCCTTGGGTGGGTAAGAATGGTAGATATTACCATATTTGGGCTGCCTTGGCCAATCGGGGATCGGTTAGTTGCATATCAAGATCTCGGCCCCACTTCTTCATTGTTGGAACCTCAGACAAAGTTATCACAGTCAACAGACAAACCAAACTCATATTTAAAAAGCACAAGTCATAATATTTAAAGCACATCCAGCGACATCTCGTGGCCCGACAGCACGACGCGGCACTCATTGTGAACTGACCACGGCTGGTGCGCGCCTTGCGCCTAGATTGAGCCCATTATGGACTCATCAGGGTCAGGGACCTCAAATGCGCTGGTACGCAAGCGGACAGACACAGACTTGATGCCCCCGCCTCCTCAAGCCAAGAAGATAAAACGACCCAAGAAGGTACTTGACGAAGATACCTACACAGAAGCACTGTCACAAATCATCGCCCGGGACTTCTTCCCAGGACTTCTACAAACTGAGATACAGCAAGAATACCTGGATGCGCTCGAGTCAAAGGATTCTGCCTGGATCTCAAGTGCAGGCCGAAGATTGCAACATGTTATGACACCAGGGCGCCGAAATGCACCTCTCTCATCACAGGCAAATTCTTTCACTGCTGGTGATCGGACACCTTCAACATATGGCGGTGATACGCCAGCTTCAGTTACCTCTAATGTTCCGGATCCGCAACCACGGCTAGGAGCCAACATGAGCCTGACAAAATTTCAAGATACTTACACGAGCGAGGATAATGAAAGCTTTTATAAGCTTGTTGACAAACACAATCAGAAAAAGGCTGACAAATATGCCTGGCTTTGGCGCGGTAACAAACTACCGTCAAAGCAAATGATCAAACAGAAAGAGGTTGAGGATCGACTGAGCCAAACCCGAAGCCTCATAGATGACGGATTCAAGAAGGATTTGCTGGCCATCAAGGACAAAGATGACCGTCCAGCTCGCCCAGATTCCTGGAATGCCAACCCTCGAAACAGTTTGATGTTCAGACCTGACGGGTTAGAGGATGGTGTCCTCACTGTTTCTCAGAAGGCCGAGGAATCTTCAAAGATGGCTCCAAAGTCAATAGTCTACGAGAACACGAGAATGCCACAACCGCGCATCACACCGAGGCCACCATCTCCGACCATGTCAGCGGTGCGAGACGCCATTGCCGGCAAGCCTCGGAAAGATGACCGAGACTCCAGCATCGTTAGCGGAGGCGAGACACCAAGAGTTAATGGGTATGCTTTTGTGGACGACGAGGATGATGAAGATGAGCCAATCCTCCCTGCTCCTATTATCAACCTCGGCCCGGGAGATGCAGCTCCAAACCCTTTCCGCCTACAAGAGCAACGTGACAGAGAAAGTCTACACGAACGCATGGTGGAGAGGATATCTCAGTCGAAGAAGGAATCCTCAAGGAATGGACTTACAGGGAGAGTTGACAAGACGCCGGTTCCAAAGTTTCCGAGTAGTCCTCGGGTCAATGGTGGACTTACACCTGCAGCACAAAGGCTTTGGAGTAAGATTGGCACACCTGGACGTGGATCAAGTGGGAGCTCATTTGGAAATTCCAAGCCCATGACTCCCAGAGGATCACTTTTGAGATCAGTGAAGAGACCTGGCTCAACATCTGGAAAGAAGTAACGGTTGAAATGAGATACCGCGGTGACAGGATTTGGGGCTTCTCCTACTTCTTCCATGTCTCCCGGAGTGCATTCATGGACTGACAATTGCGCCAATGATTCATTGTTTTCACATGACCTGTCACTATCCTCATCGTTTTTTAATAAATAGCATGGTGTTGTGTTGGCGCTACATACTTTTCACGATACCTGCCGCGGCTCAAAAGAGAAGCGCAACCATTCTGGATTATTTACAGGATAAAGCAAATAGAATTAAAATTCAGATCAGCATCTTCTTACTTTGGCCGAATAATGTGTCTGGTTCCTACACCTCTCAGATGAGGCCATTTACAAGGAACCCGCTTAGTTGCATGACCCATCGATTAGATCATGGACTTTTTTCATTGAACCTTGGAACCACCAACCCACCAAACCGAGCTGGCAGCCAACGCCAGCAAGCCAGGCAATATCAATCACCTCCATTCAATGTGCTTCTGGCCCAAGGAGGCCGTATAAGCCCGATGAGGTTCGTCGACTTCGCAATTGACCTTGCGGCAGTGCTCAATGCCTCTCGAGGTGTTGCCGCTAAGCATGTCGCGCTCCGAGGTCGCCAGATCGATACCTACAGTCGAACTTCGAGTGTTGCCGCGGCATTGAGGAAGCGAAATGCTCAAAGGAGCTCACCGACGGGGGAGAAAGCACAGAATGCTGCGGGGGCGAGCGATGAGGTTGTATACGAGCAAGCTGCACCGGCAGCACGAGAGACGAAACCTATAACCGAGACACCGAACCAAAATGCTCCACCTGAAGTGACGAGAACCGAAAGAGCACCCTTCAATAGCCCGATCCCCAATTTCAGACCGAGCCCACAGCAACAGGCTACGTCGGAACCGGCGAAAGAGGATGATCTTGATCTACCACCTGGGATCGACGTCAATATCTTCCATACCACGAGAGGTTCCAAAGTCCTCGACTCTCTACGAAAGCAAGGTCGACCTGGAGCACCTCCTGCACGCCCCGGAGTTGGGGGTCCTGTGAAGCCACATCCCATGCGAGACTGGCCTCCGCGCCCACCACCCCTCGAAGAGAGCTATGAAGAGGAGCCCGTAAAACCTCAAGAGCCTGTGTTCAAGCCAGTGGAACCCGTAGAGCCTGTAGAGCCTGTAGAGCCAGCTGAGAAGGAACCCCTGGTCGAGAAGTTTGTGCAAAAGAAACAGTTGGAGGAGAAGCCCGTCGAGCAGAAACCGGTGGAGGAAAGCTCCGTGCCTGAACCAGAAAAGGCCACTCCGTTATCCCCTACAGCCGACAAAAAGATCGACGAGGATGTCATTCAAGCTGCCAGAGAGATTGCTGGAGAGACAACAACGCCCTCAGAGACACCCTATGCTTTACGAGAATCCAAGGTCCCCTCGTCTCGTATCAGCCGAATCTGGAACTATAGTGGTCTTGCAGCAGGTATGTTGGGAGGCGCCATGACCGAAGGCTTCAGTCGAGCCTTTGGCGGTGGTGGCGAGGGATCTGTCCTCCTGAGCGAGAAGAACATGGAGCGTCTGGTTGCAAAGCTCTCGCGCATGCGTGGTGCTGCTTTGAAGCTTGGCCAGATGATGAGTTTCCAGGATACCAAGATGCTACCTGCCCCCATCCAACAGGTGCTCCAGCGTGTTCAGGATCGCGCTGATTACATGCCTGCCTGGCAGCGTGATCGCGTATTAGTAGCAAACCTTGGTCCTGAGTGGAGAGAGCTCTTCAGCAATTTCGAGGAGAAGCCTATCGCTGCTGCTTCTATTGGGCAGGTTCACAAGGCCACATTAAAGAACGGCAAGCGAGTCGCTGTCAAGATCCAATTCCCTGGTGTCGCTGACTCGATCAACTCGGACCTCGATAACCTAAGCATTCTCCTCACAGCTACCAAGCTACTCCCCAAAGGTCTATACCTCAACAAAACCATCGACAATGCGCGATTAGAGCTTGGCTGGGAATGTGACTACGAGCGAGAGCTTCAGTGCGCTCAACGCTACAGGGAGCTTCTCGGGTCAAGCGAGAAGGATGTTTTTATGGTGCCAAATGTTTATCCTGAGGCATCGGGTAAGCAAGTCTTGACGATGGACTTCATGGATGGTATCGGCGTGACTCGCATCACCTCTTTTACCCAGGAGCAGCGTGACTGGATCGGTACACAGATTCTTCGCCTCTGTCTCCGCGAGATCACCGAGTTCCGTTTCATGCAAACGGACCCAAACTGGACAAATTTCCTCTACAACGCAGATGTCAACAAGCTGGAGCTGCTCGATTTTGGCGCTTCTCGCGAATATCCTGACGAGTTCGTCACACAATATGTGCAGCTTCTCGCTGCGGCCTCACGATCCGACAAGGCCGCTGTAAAGGAGTTGTCAGAGAGCTTAGGTTACCTGACCGGCCATGAGAGTCGCACCATGGTTGAGGCACATACAAAGTCTGTCCTTACACTCGCGGAGCCTTTCCTTGCTAGCGCGCCCGATATTTATGACTTTAAAGACCAGACTATCACAGAGCGTGTCAAAGCTCTCATCCCTGTTATGCTCCACGAGCGACTGGCACCTCCACCAGAAGAGACATACAGTCTGCACCGAAAGCTTAGCGGTGCGTTCCTCCTGTGTGCCAAATTGGGTAGCAAGGTCCCTTGTAAGTCCATGTTTGAGGAGGCACTTGCCAAGGGGGGATATAGTAGGTGAGAGTGACGGAGAGTCAAATGTAATTATGTACCATATAATCTCATGTGTAACATTATTTAGATGATAAAACGGTCGAGGGATGTAGAATAGAAAACGGGATTTCATGATAACAATGTCTCGTCCAGAGCACTCATTCCAATTATTATAAAAGTCAATTTGACAACTTATTTGATGCTCATCAAGAGGCCGTGGACAGCGTCAAACTTGTCTGCGGATCGAAATGTCTTGTTATAACCTCCAAGCCATTATGATTCGGACGATCGGAGATGAACCGGTATCTCGAGTTCATGAGTCTAGATCTGGTGGGGCACTGAGAGTCATTATGAGATGCTTGAATCGTAAGGTCTATTTAGGTACAGAAAAGTTCCACTGAGAAGAGTTTTATAAAGACCATAGAGTATCTCTCGGTCCACAAAATTTAATTTATCTAAAAACTGGCTTGGAAAAAACTTGAGGGAAGCTTGCTGAAGGTTCAAGACAAAATACAAAAGGCATGTAAAACAAAGTATGCCGCTATCGCAAGCTTCTACCCCGCGCGAATACATAAACTGAAGGCCCACCCCGATCTCTTCATAGTCATCAACCTTAACCTGCCTGCGAGCATTTTCCTGGACAACTTCAGTTCAAGATGGCGGATTTAATCACTTTGGCGACATGTTCTCTCAATCAGTGGGTGTTGGATTGGGAGGGCAACTTGAAGAGAATTCGCAAGAGTATTATTCTGGCCAAGGAAGCTGGAGCTACGCTCAGAACGGGCCCTGAGCTCGAGATTACAGGCTATGGTTGGTAAGTCAGATTCTGGCCCAATTTGATAATTGATAATGAGTCGTTACTAATAAGTTGAATAGTCTTGACCATTTCCTTGAGGCCGATGTTTACGAGCATTCCTTGGAGTCACTCCTCGCAATCTTGACTGATACCGAACTCCATGGCATTCTCATCGACGTTGGTCTTCCTCTCATGCACAGAGGATGTCGATACAACTGCCGTGCTATTATCTTGGATGGAAAACTGCTCTGCCTTCGCCCCAAAATCTATCTTGCCAACGATGGGTACGTTTTGCTGTCCATAGGCTAAATCGCCTGGCTGACTTGTTTGTATAGTAACTTCAGGGAGAACCGATTCTTCACTCCTTGGAACAGGCCAAGATATGTTGAGAAGTACAACCTTCCTCCTGCTCTGCAGAAGCACCAGGGCGTTCGACAGGTTCCCATTGGTGATGTTGTTCTGTCCCTAAATGATACAACCGTCGCCGCCGAGACATGCGAGGAGCTCTTTACCCCCCAAGCACCTCACATTAACATGTATGTTTGAACCGTCCTTGATCAAGAGGATTACCGAGCTATTGGACTTCTGACTTATGGCTGACTTCAATCCAGGGCTCTTAATGGCGTCGAAATCTTTACCAACTCCTCAGGCTCTCATCACACGCTAAGAAAGCTTGATGAGCGTATCGCTCTAATTTCTGAAGCAACTCGCAAGAGTGGTGGTGTATACCTTTATGCTAACCAGTCTGGTATTTTTCTCCAACAATCGCCTCAGTCTTGCTTTGTCTGACGATTCTCTAGGCTCTGATGGAGACAGGCTTCTCTACGATGGTGCATCCCTCATCATGGTCAATGGCTCAATCGTAGCTCAGGGCTCCCAGTTCAGCTTGGATGATGTCGAAGTTGTTACCGCAACCGTCGACCTTGAGGAAGTCCGCGCTTATAGATTCGCCCCATCTCGCAACTTCCAGGCTGTGCAAGCACCTGTGTATGAGAGAATCGAAGTCGATTTCAGCCTGGGCCATGAGGATCTTGACCTCCTTCGTGCCCCAACAGCTCCTAGGCCAGCATGTTATCACGTCCCCGAGGAAGAAATTGTACGTTCATCTGGCACACAGAACTCGGTTGGAGTAATTCGACTGACTTAGTGTTATGTAGGCTCTTGGCCCGGCTTGCTGGCTTTGGGATTACCGTACGTCTGTCCTTGTCGCTCTGGCGGTCGGAGCTTGACCTCGACAGAGCTGAAAATACTAACTATTGAGCAGTGCGACGAAGCAGGGCATCTGGTTATCTGGTCCCCCTCTCAGGAGGTATCGACTCCTGTGCAACCGCTACCATTGTATTCAGCATGTGTAGACTTGTCGTTGATGCTATCAAGGCAGGTAATGAGGAGGTCATCGAAGACGTCAAGAGAATTGCTGTGTACTCGGATAAGCTGCCTGAAACCCCTGAGGATTTCTGCAACCAGATCTTCCACACTGTTTATATGGGGATGGAGAAGCAGAGCAGCAAGGAGACTCGACAGCGCGCCAAGGACCTTGCCGAGCGTATCGGTAGTTACCACACTGACATGAACATTGACGATACCTTCCACGCTACCAAGAACTTGCTCACTCAAGGCACGGGATTCGAGCCTAAATTCAAGGTTCATGGTGGATCAGCGACCGAAAACTGTACGTTCTTTTACTCCACACAATGTATGCTAAACCCCTTTTAAGTGATATACTAACTCTTGCAGTGGCCCTTCAGAATATCCAGGCACGCAGCCGCATGGTCATCGCCTATTACTACGCTCAGATGCTACCAACAGTTCGGCAGCGACCAGGAGGAGGAAGCCTGCTTGTTCTAGGATCCAGCAATGTTGACGAATGTCTCCGAGGATGTGAGTATGCCTTAAAGAAGGGTACTACGATGTTGACTAACGATATCTTCCAGACCTCACAAAGTACGAGTAAGAGCTTCGCCCGTATTACCCCTGATGTGAATCATGCTAATAGATGACTTTTAGTTGCAGTAGTGCGGATTTGAACCCTCTAGGTGCTATTAGCAAAAGGGATCTCAAGAGTTTCATTTCATGGGCGGCCAAGAACTTCGACATGCCGATTTTGGAAGAGTTTATTCATGCTACACGTACGAAATCTATCACGCTGGTTGGGTCACGAGACGACTAACACCAACATAGCCACGGCTGAGCTAGAGCCTATCACCGAAAACTATGTTCAGTCAGACGAGAGTAAGTGATCATCTCCTGTTGTAAGTTAACTTATTGACGTAACCGCAGTTGATATGGGCATGACCTATGACGAACTATCTCGTTTTGGAGTAAGTGAACCAGCTACGGACCAAAGCCAGTATTGCGATGAAACTGACACCTTGTTGCAGAGACTACGTAAGGAGAGTAAGTTAGGACCTTACGGCATGTTCCTACGACTTGTCGAAGAATGGGGCGGAGAGGGCAAACTGAGCCCACGAGAAATCGCCACCAAGGTGAAGCGTTTCTACCATTTCCATTACATCAACCGGTAAGCAATATTCCTATTGAGAAATGGTTTTTTTACTAACAAGATGTAGCCACAAACAAGCTGTGGCAACACCAGCTGTTCATGTGTAAGCGGGTCTCTTGAATCTTTCATTGCGTTGAAGATGTTGACGTTTACCCAGGGAAGATTACTCGCCCGACGACCACAGATTTGACCTTCGCCCTTTGTTCTACCCACCTGCCTTCCAAGGCTGGTCGTTCCAAAAGATTGACAAGCGGGTGGAGGCTATTGAGAAGGCTTTAGAGAAGAAGCAGAAGAAGGCTGAAGGCGGTTTGCAATAGAGAATATAGATTAGAACCTTGGGAGTTAATTGAACAGCTGTACGAGATTTCTTTTTGTGCATGTGTATGAAATACCAACTGCAGGATGTTCAGCAGTAACGTACGAGATTTTAGATTTCGATTTGATATGAGAGACATCGATCTGGGGGCACACTTGATAGTCCCCGACTGGAGAGTTGCCCCCCCAACACCAAAGCGAGTCATCGTAGATTGAAACCCCCATCTGGGAATACCTTCGCTGTATAGTACTCGCAGTCTGTCCTTGGAAACTGCATCGCGAATACTTCGGATTCAAAGCGAGATGTTATATAAACACTCGGACCAGCCTAAGTACATTCACCCAGCTCTGAAATCATGGTACTCACTTAACAAAGAGAAACGCTTTGTGTTTGTACCCAAGTCTACAGCTTGCTTGTCTTAGTTTCCTTTGCAGGGTACAGGGTGTATTTAACATATACACATTGTCAAAAGCAATAGCTCTATGTGTTTAGATAGGTATTAATGTCAAAGCGGACTGAAACTGGTGGCAGACGAAGGCTGGCAGCTGCCGGCAGCTGCCAACAGTTGCATGTAACTGCTCCCTCATGCATCGTAGCACCCACCGCTCATAAAATAATTGTACTTATCTGCGGCACTCGCACTTTTCTCTGAAATCCTCGTCTTCCTATCATCTTTTGATCTTCGTTTGATGTTCCTAAGTGCGAATAAGGAAACCTGAATCGTCTTGGAACCGAACCATCTGCGGCATGGTCGAAGCCCCTGAACTCGCCGTACGAGCTTTTCAATCCCTTTTGAGTATGGAGTCGAAAGTACGTAAATCTGCTGTTTTGGCAGGGCTGGTTGTTTATACTTGACTGCTGGTTTTTAATTACCTTAGTCTGAATGATATAGGCATGGTGTATAGGGTAACTAATACAAGAGCATATTGAAACAGGGTTTCTTATCGTATCCCGTTACCATAACTCACTACTTGTAGATCTCGGTAGGCTACTTGGTTAGTGAGCAGAGTATCTATAAGTTACTGTTGTAGCTACAGAAGAGTTCGACCATATAAAAAATGTACTAGTGACCGGGCTGAGTAGAGTCTGGTACGGATGTAATGTAGTAGAAGTATAATACTGCTGCCAGGCGTCAAGACTCGACTCGATCAAAAGATGCAGAACAGAGAGATATTAAATGACCATCTTTTCTTGTATGCATGACTTTACATGAGATTGCAACAGCAGAAAGTTCTATGAAGAAGCTTGTGAGATAGAGAAGACAAAGAGCAGTTTGGAATTCAAAGGCAGAAGCTCGACAAACTTAACTCGACAAAGCCCAAGCTCTTCAGTTGCACCCAGAACCGAAGTAATCAGAACGCAGAACGCTCGCTCGGTCATGCGACCATTGGGACGGACGAGCAGTAACACGATTCCTGGCGGGTTCTCGGCCTGCATAGATAAACATGTGACCAGCTTGTGAATAGGTCAATGCCAATTTGGAATGCTGCAGATGTTTGCTTGAGCTGGCAAAGGAACGAAGAGAGATGACGTTGACATTGCTAGCATCGTCGACCAAGCCATAGAGGGTCACAGCTTTCCTGTGACAAGCGATGAGTCGAAAAAAGAAAGGGCACGCCGAGTTGAAAAATTGATTTCACATGTCTTCGTCAGAGAACCTCTGTTCGTGACCTATGTGTCGGGAATGGCTCATCGCCTGAAGTCCACAAATTGTATGTCAATGCTCGTATGACACAGATCCTTCACTGACACTCCTCAGACCAGATTTTGAAAGCATATCGAGACTAGGCCTGTGCGAGGACCGACCAAGATCCTGATGGGGATGTTGATTGATGAAGTGCTTGTTTCCAAGCCAGGACGATCTGCCGATACAATCACACCGATTGAGGTGGCTCATAAACTTGGTCAGACTCAAGCTTATGTGCTATATCTAAGGCTTTCTCTTACATCTCAGTGCCGTTGACTTCTTTAAATGTGTTTTCACTACCTCCGGCTAGACTCGGAGGCCAAGCTGAAAAAAAGACTATGACGCCTTGGAAAAGGGGAGTAGTCTTCTCATCTTGCCACTTCTCGCCATCTTTTTTATCTCTTTCTCATTCTTTCTCTTCAGTTTCCCAACGACCTCATCGTGATCCTTCTTTATGGCTTCAACCTCAGCCTCATGCTGTTGCTTCAACTAGACAAGATGTCAGTTTATCTGATGGGCTCAGAAAGAGAGCGAGTGGTACCTGGCCTGCAATAAGCTTTGCGCTTCCAGATTCGATCGCCTGTTGACGAGACTTTTGGATGGTGAAAAGTACATCTTCATGTGAGAAGCCTGTTCCACTTTGCTGAAAGCCTTTCATCATTGTCTGTTGAATCACCTTGGAGTAGATGAGTGACCAGTGTCCGATTTCGAGCGCACCTTGGCGCATCAACTGAATTTCGTGTAGAAAGTCCTATCAATATCAGTTCTGTATGCAGTTAAAGAGAATACGGGACAGCTTACCAATGTATCTCCAAAGGAAAGCCCTTCAGGAATTCCTGTGGCTATTTCCTTGGACTCAGAACAACTCTCGAGAAATGATTGCATTTTGGCGAGCATCTCGTTGTGATGAATTGCAGCATTACGGAGACAATCTATAATCCCATGAAGTAGCAATTGAACGGGCTGCAAGACTTCGATACATTGTTTCTGTATCCGGCAGTCAGTATTGTGTAGCTGGGATTGTAACAGGGGCATTGTACCAGTTCATTAGCTTGCGTCGAAAGCTTCTGAATGTCGACCTCAGCCTCCTCCTTACGTCGCCTATACTCCTGACCTCTCTCAAGCTGATCTTGCATGTTACTCTGCGCTGATTGGAGATCGTTGCTCGCCCAGAGGTTGAGTATCCACGTAGCGGCCATCTGACCTCCAGCCATGAGCATCTTTCCACCGATGTTTGCAGAACCAGCAGACTGGATGATAGTTCCAATTTGATTTTCTAATTTGTTCTTTTGCCTGGAAAGATCCTCTCGCCGGGCTCGAGCAGCATCTTCGTTTGCTTGAGCCCTGTCTTGGTTGTAGATCTGGTCGTCTATCTCGGTCTTCAGAGTACCGATCTTTTTATTTGTTTCGTTCTCTTCCTGGTTCATAATATCTATTACCATTACTAAGACTGTACAGTTTGTAAGAATCCTGTGGTAACTGACCTTTGGTCTTGCTGATACGACGACTGAATTCGTCAACGGAAGCACGCCAGGCTTGGAGACTTTTGTCAAGTTCGTCGCATTGTTTTCTGCATACTTCCGTTGCGTTTGTGAGCTTCCTGAGATGCCTATCGAAAGACGCTTTCTCGCCGGGAACACCAAAAGTACTTTGTAGTGCGTTCAGCTAGTAACCAAGAGGTCAGCATTAATACGCCATGAGCTGGTTCGTTACTCTTACCGTTCCCGTATCCTGTATCATGGACTTGGTCTTCATGTAGATACTGTAGAAAGCTCCATGTGTTTCCACCAATTTGTCGAGCCCCATATGGCAATGCTCAGCCAGGGCTGTAGACAGATTATCGCTCCTGATGATAGTGTTAGCATTCAAGTTCCCGAGACCAGAGTGCTTATTGGCATGGACGAAGTTTCTTACCCTGGGAAGCCATCCGCGTCTACTAGAAAGACAGACGTGGCATTGCTTGTCGTAGAAATGTAGAGACACAATTGAAGCTTCTGAGTAAGCAATTCGGCTCTGATCAAAGGCTCTAACAGATTATCACGAGGTCCTTGAGACATCTCGGCCGGGAACCGAACTAAGCTGCCCATGTTGGAGCTGGCCATATCGGATGTTCCTAAGGGATTGAGTACAACAGACAGAAAGTTTAAAGGCGATTAAATATCCATCGATAGAATTTCAAAATCTCAAAGAAACAGCTTTATCCCAGAAGCACCGCGCCGACTGATCGACTTAAGAGGGGTTACCCATGTCCAAGAAGTACCTCAATGTATATGTGCCAACGTTTCATCTGCGCCTGTCCTTTACTAGGGAATTCCATATGCAAACTAAGGTCAGTTTCAACCCTCGCTGAGCCTATCCCCGCTCACGATAGAAGCCAAAGTTTCGTTCAGAGACAGGGGTCGACATATGCATGGTAGGCGCCCGCATTTTAGTTTTCAGCTCTTCCCAAAGGAGTACCTGATAGGTTATACAAGGGCACCATACATTGTCGTGGTTGCTAGTAGGAGAGAGCCTGTCGAGTCTTAATAGTGTATGGATTTATCAGGCTCGGCATCGCAGTTCAAGAATTGCCGAGTAGTTTCAACTCCTACCCTCAATCCTGCAATTGTATCCAATTCTACCATTTGGCCTCAATAACCAAAATGTCAACCTCGGGAGGAATCTCATTATCCCATTTCCAGGCTCGCTTGACTGTGCTGCAATCACAGCACCAGTCCCTCAAAGCAGCCGACTTAGAAATGCGAGCCACACAATCCGAACGATGCCGTTCTTCACTTGAGAAAGCCGTCAAGAGTCTATTCCAAGTCATAAATCTCGTTCGCAAACACGATAAACGTCTCGTTGCATGGCACGACCGCAGTCCACATCTCAAATCGGCTCTTCGTTTAATCGGCATTGATCGACGAACAGAACATACCGTGAACAAGACTACGGCGAAACTCAAGGATGGTGTACATAAAGTCGAGACACAGTTTGAACACGCCGGGCAAGTCATAGGAGAGAGTATCGATGATACTACCCGCTTCCAGAAGGACTTTTCGCAAATTAGTCGCTCTGGAGTTGAGGAGAACCTTCAAGCTATGAGAGCTGCTGAAGCTGAGTTGAAGCAGGAGTTAGAGGACCTCAAATATCAGATCCAGAATCAGGATGTTGAGTGTTCTGGGGCAATGGCAGAGTTGAGGCAGCAGATTCAACGGCTTGAGGAGCTCACGGCAGATCATGACTCTGCAAGAGCCTGGAAAAATACCTGGGGAGCGGTGAGGATAGCGATCTGTGCTCAAGAAATACTCGATCTCTTGCTAACTTTCCGGTCTTTAGGTCACGGTACTTGCTGCAGCGGGGGCTTTTGCAATGCCATTTG